GAGGCAGCCGTAGCTGTGTTGTGTATGTACATGTATGTTTGTGAGCTTAGGCTTTGGCTTTGGCTCAGGCGATTTGTTGCGTGCGGCGTTTCTATGCGCGGACGCCGCTGCCGCTGCCAACAGCGGCAGAGTGAGTTCCCATGTTGCTTTGCTTCTTTTTGCGAGCTTTTCCTTTTTGGCCTGCGCCCCTGCACACACATTTACATAAAGTGCCGCGAGAGTGCGCGAGTGTGTGTATGCAGCACCAGCACTACACTAAAAGTCAATTGACCCGAAACTGTTGGGAATAACTGTATATTTATGTATGTATATGCAGTGTATATAGGTTTGTCCGCCAGTGCACTGCAAACAATAACGCGCGCTGCCATTCCACAACAATAACAAACATTTTCCCAAAACTGGGTCACTTTAATATTTTATCTACATTGTCATAAAATCAGATGAAACACTAAATGTGGCAGAATACATATATGGGTTGCACATGCACAGGTTAAGTCCCATATATATATTTTCCCTACTTCCGTTTCATAGAATAGGTGCTATAGAAATTGGCGTTTTTGAAAATCATTAAAGAATAAATATTAAAAAACAAATATGTATTTTATTATTTACTTTTCGAACAGGAAATTTTACATGTTTATCCTAATAATAAATATAATGGAAACTAATTGGACTTCACTATGCCTAAACTACAAATGTAAATTGGTTTTTTTTTCTTTCATGTTTTATCTGTAACTAAAAATATTCTTCAAGTGTATTATATATAAAGGTATCCGATTCCAGACATTGTGATTATTAAACTATGAATTTTGGTTAATATTTGTGCTTTTTATACAATAATAAGGTAATTTGGCAGCATGATTAAGAAAACATTCAAGTTGATTTCATGGAAAAAGTCATAAAACGGTGTGCCTATCCAATTTTAAACCAGCTAATATCAACAATTTAGTCATTATACGAAATATAGGATATTCCACCTTTGATCTTTCTTAATATTCAAAAAAGGAAAGTGAAAGTATTTTCAATGCAAAAACAACAGTCATATTGACTGGGGTTTTTTTCACAGTGCAGCTGTATGTATGGATGAGGCCAACTGCAGGCGATTTGACTTCTTATTTTATATATTATACATTCACGGGAGATTTCCACCAAGTTGCCTGGCCTTTTTTCGGCTGCTGTTTGATGCTGTTATTTTCCCATGCCTATTTTTGCGCGCCTATAACTCAGGCGAAACTCTCTGTACTTCTAATAGTTTCTTCTGCTGCCGCTTTCGCTATTATTAGCGCAATTTGTGTGTACAGAGGCAGGCAACATACTTCGCATTTGCCTTCGTTATTTTCGAAAATTTCTGTGTGTTGGCGGCGCGGTGTGCTTTACTTTTCTGGCTAGCTTTAGCTCTGCCTCTGCTAGTTTGTTATTTATTTTTATTTTTTATGTTTTTTCAATTGTGCTAGCTGCTGTCTGGCTGTTTTGGCTGCTTAGCTGTTTGTCTGAGTCATTTCGAATTGCTCGGTGCGGTACGGTACGTTGCGATGATCATTTCTCACGCAGCCTCTCCGTTGCCGTTGCCACTTTTAGCAATTGTCGCACCGCTAATTGTTCGAAATGTCTGATGCCGCCTGCAATTTGCATACCAATTCCAATTCGAAATCCACTTCCACTTGTACTTCTATTCTACCGCTCACGTTTCCAACTGCCAATTTTAACAATTAGCTGGCAGTTAATCGTTAACAGTCCACCGTTAAACTACGACTAACTGCTAAACTACCAAGCTGTCAAACTGCATATTTGCATAGGTAATCACCCAATCGACGACGGGACACGGCCACTCAATCACAGCGGGCTAATAGACAGGTCGGGGTGCATTTTAAAATGACACAATAGGAGCACACACATTCGGGCCAGAAACAATGGAGATGGTATATACATATGTACATCACCCAACCACCCCATTCACGCATTGCGTAGAAAATTAAAATCGGCCTATGGCTGTTCACATGTCGGCGATTTCGGGAAAAACATCTCACACTATCTGACCTGGCAGGGAAGCACCTGTTCAATCGATTGAAAAACATCATCGACATGGGCAACATTAACATTTCATATTTCCAAACACACTGGCAGAGAGCAAATCTTATGAAATTAGGGAATAAAATAGATCTTCTATATTGACAGTCTCTTTGTCGCTAACGACAAGTTCAAATTGTAAACAATTGGTGGGAGAATTTCTCCTCTATGATACATGCGCAAATAATTTGCCAAAACGAACAAAGAGGTTACAACATAATCGCTATGGATTTTAATCAAACAAAGACAGGTTGTATTTTATGTGTAATTTTCCTTTCCCGTTGGTAGCAAAATGTTCGTACCTGATAGTCCCAGAAATCTAATAGTGGGCGGTTAAGTAATTTAAATAGGTAGGTAGGGGAGAGTGGGGATAGGTGAACCACTTTTTTTTATTAACATTATTATGTCTGAACAATTCGACGTAAGGGTCTGCTGTATATAGAAATCTAAAAGAGCCCATATTCCTTGGAATATTAAGTATTATGCAAACATACTATCTTTTGTTTTGTAAAGTTTATTTGCTTTCCAAATTTAGTGTAGTGGTTCATCTATCCCCGTGGTTCACCTATCCCCACTCTCCCCTAATAATAATTATATATATAACAATAAAAATGGAAATAAAAAAATTTAAATATCATTTAAATAGTGCAAGGAAAACAAGACTTATAATTGTATAAATAAATAAAATTAATTTGTATATTTTTCAATATAAAAAAATAAATAAAAATAAAATAAATTCACACTCGCATGACACTATAATTCCCAACTGGTTCTATCATCTTCTGAGTGGTAACCCAGCTGAATGTTGAGGTCGAGTTGTAGGTAGTGTGGTAGCAGTTACTCTCCACTAATAGAGTTGATCATTTTTGTGATGTTTTTTAGTGTATCGTATATCTTTCTTTTGTAGTTTAGTGCTACAGAGCTTGGGAGAGTGTAAGTTTTTGCTTTCTTTTTGTCAGAAAGTGAGAGATTGAGGAAAAGCGAGCAGATATCACCGGAGAGAGTTTGATATCGGAGAGAAATCAAGGAGATTGATCAGAGGAGGGACCTAGAGAAATGTGAGTACACAAAATATTTAAACAATGTTTTAATTTGAAACTTTTGTTGAGTATCTACACTTTTTATTTCCAAAGCACTGTTTTCAATTTAGATTTCAATATTTGGACCTTGAACCCATTGCAAACTGCAAGGGTATACAAACTTCGGTTACCCGAAGTTAAATTCTTGTTAAAAATTAAATAAATTCAAATAGATGACTATGACTATAGATGGTTTTCAGCCACAAACTATATAAGTTTAACGTAATTTGAGTAATCATTCATTTGATCATATTTTAATTGACTACAAAATAGAGTTTAAGGAACACATGAACGCAGTGCCATAACAGTCACAGAGTTGTGGGTAAACTTTAATTAGGGGACGGCTGAGGCAGGGTGTACGAGAATTTCGAATCGCGAATTGAGAACTGTGAATAGAATGAATTGAAATGGAATGACAGCGAGTTTGTGCCGGAGGTATTATTGGATGATTGACCGGGTCGCCCGCCCTGCAATCATTAATGAATTGCTGAAGCCATTCCTGCTGCACATTCCTTTCCTTGCTCCATGCTTTTCGTGGAATGCAGGCAACTGCAGGGCCCAGGAGGAGCAGGTTGGACCAGAAAGGGGACGGGGAGCAGTGACGAGATGAGTCTGGAACCTAAGGACTAAGCTCTCGAGAAGGAAAACACGCGCACAGTAAAACCTTGATATGGCATGTCCCTGGAGTTGAGAGCTCCGTTGGAGTCGAAGGACAGCAAATCGAGGGGGCAAGGGGCAGAGAGAGAAAAAGAGAGCGAAGGGAGAGCGCAAGAGAGAGTGCTGCCGAGTTGGGCAAACAAATTTCAAAGCGCTGTGGCACACGGTGCGACGTCGACGGCGGCAGCGACTGCGCAGCAGCAGCGCAAAGCACAAAAAAAAATAAAAATAAAAAACAGAACAGAAACAGAAAACGAAGGAAGAACCGTTATGTGCCGAGCCACAGCATGAAAATTTTCGTTGCTTTTGCTTGGGTGTCCTGCCAGAGACACACACACACAGCAACACCAACACACATACACATATATACACCTACACCCACTGAGGCGAGGAGAACCGTAATTTTCGTGCGGCTCTCTCCGGGAAAATCTCTTGTTTGCACACATACACTCACACGCACGCACGAAAGTTTTCTTGTTGAATTTTAACTGATATTTTCATTTTCGGGGCTTTCAGCCTTTACCGTTATGATTTTAGCACTTTTTCGACGATCTTTTGTTGCACATGAAAAAAAAATTTGCGGCACAGAGATGCCCATACAGCTTTGGCTTCAATTTGTCGTTTTTTTTTTCTTTTTCCACACCAAAGATGACTAATAAAAGTGGATAAAAAGGAATGTTGGAGACACACACACACACGTGCTGTGTGTGTATCACGTTATTTTAACCGTTGCACTCGCGTTTTTTCTGCTTTCGTTCTCATTTTCAGTTTTCCTTTTCATTCAGAAAATTTGAAAAATAATGAATCTGGCTTTTACCTGTTTTCCAGTTTAATGCAATTAGAGTATATATGCGTATGCATTCACATGGCAAGCAAGAAAAAAAAACAGAACACAAAAAAAAACATTTCACGTCTCAGTCGTTCTTATTGGAACATGTACATACAGCTGTATGTATGCATATGTATATTTATATGTATATGCGCGCGTGCCTCTGTATGTGTGTGTTTGTTGGTGGTTTGAAGCTGCTCCTCCTCCGCTCCTCCTTTTCCAACCACTGCTCCCCAAGCCTCCCACTTGCGTCTGTATGCGTGTGTGCGTATTGCACAATTTGACGTGGGGAAAAGCGGGGAGCGGGGACGAGATAAAAAGTAGTACATAATGGCACAAAAAAACCAACAAATCTGCTTGCAATTTACCTTAGCTTCGCTTGCTCAATTTTCTACCGACGCTTTTTCCGTTATTCGTTTTTCGTGTTTGCTAGTTTAATTTTCCTGATACCGTCCGATTTATTTTCGATTTTCGCGCTGAGTGGCCAGAAACGCCAGATATCATATCAGATACCAGTAAACAAACGCGCAGCAGGCAAATCGCTTAATCCAGGTAAAAACACACGGAAACACGGAACGAAGATGTGTGTGCAGGCGAAGGAAAAAACAAAATTTGCCAAGTTAGCTATTTTCCGACTATATCTGGCGTGTTTCAAAACCTAAATATAACGATATTTTTTGCCCAAATATCGAAATCGCGATATTTTTGTTTGATATTTTTCGGTATTTTCTCCTTGGTCACTCTGAATTTCAAAGCAAAATGTTAACATATTAGAGCTAGGAGCAGTGTGGCGAGATGGACCTTTGGCTTTCCCTAAATTCGAATTTCCGAGTGCGCCGATTCACGATCCAGTGTTACCAGAGGAAAATTTGCCCTAGCGGTTAAAGTAAAGTGTCAAATGTCAGTTTTACTTACAAGCCGTGTCAAATGTAGCAATGGGGTAGAAGTTATGTAGAACGGAGTCGAATTCCCAATCGGTATGTAAAACGGGGTCGAATCCCAATCGGTTATGTAGGATACTATCAAACGGAAAAATTAAAACAAAATAAATAGTGTGACCGAACAGTGGCCAGATAAAATATGGTGTACACCTAAAAAATCTCAGAAATTGACACCTGATACACTAACCACATCTGATACCACAACCTCTGGTCTCCAGGTGAGAGTACCAGAGCTTTGTTATAAAAAGGTTGAAGACATTGATAAAAATAACCCTTATACTTGGTGTGACCAGAACGCGCAAGTTTTCTACGTTTTCAGTATATTTGGCGCGGCGTTTTTCGGGTTATTGATTGGCTTCAGCTACGGTCGCACTGCATCGTATTTGTTTTAATTTTTGTTGTCAACAAAAAGAGCGCGATTTCGTGCAGAAATCGCCGTCTACTATAATAAAATGCACATCAAGCAGGTGAGTGGGCCCGCTGGCCATGCCGCACGCACCCCGGACGGAAGTTGAAACCGCCACTTCTCTCGCTATTCCAGATTATTATACAAGGCTTCAAGAGTTACAAGGACCAGACGGTGGTGGAACCCTTCGACAAGCGCCACAACGTCGTGGTTGGACGGAATGGCTCCGGCAAGAGTAATTTTTTCTACGGTGAGTGGTCCGATGAAAAGTGTTGATCCTAATGCTAACATGAGCTCGTTGCTCATCCACAATAGCCATCCAGTTTGTGCTGAGCGATGAGTTCACCCACCTGCGCCCGGAGCAGCGCCAGTCGTTGCTACACGAGGGCACCGGGGCCCGCGTCATCTCCGCCTATGTGGAGATCATCTTTGATAACTCGGATAACCGGGTTCCGGTGAGTAAACAAAGATTAAACCTTTATTACTTATTTTCCTCCATCTTGTTGATTTCTTGTCTAAAAACAACCGTCTTTTTGCCTTTCACAGATCGACAAAGAGGAGATCTTCCTGCGGCGTGTGATTGGCGCCAAGAAGGATCAGTATTTCCTCAATAAGAAGGTGGTGCCACGCAACGAGGTGGTTAACCTGCTCGAATCTGCCGGCTTCTCCAGCTCCAATCCCTACTATATTGTAAAGCAAGGCAAGATCAATCAAATGGCCACCGCCGCTGACTCCTACCGCTTGAAGCTGCTCCGCGAGGTGGCCGGAACGCGGGTGTACGATGAGCGCAAGGAGGAGTCGTTGAATTTGCTGCGCGAGACGGACGGGAAGGTGGAGAAGATCTCTGAGTACCTGAAGACCATCGAGGATCGATTGCAGACGCTCGAGGAGGAGAAAGAGGAGCTGAAGGAGTACCAGAAGTGGGACAAGACACGCCGAACCCTCGAGTACATACGCTACGAGACCGAGCTGAAGGATACGCGTAAGGCCCTGGACGAGCTCCTGCTGCAGCGCAAATCCTCCTCGGACAAGAAGAAAACCTACAACATTGAGATCCAGAAGGCGCAGGAGAAGATCAAGGATGTGCAGAAGAACCTGAAGGAGGCCAAGAAAAAGGTGCAGGGCACCAAGGAGGAGCGCTCCGTGCTGATGACCGAGCAGCAGCAGCTGCTGCGCGAGAAAACCAAGCTGGATCTGACCATTGTCGATCTGAATGACGAGGTGCAGGGCGACAACAAGTCCAAGGAGCGAGCGGATCAGGAGCTAAAGAACCTCAAGGTGACGATAGCCGAGCGCGAAAAGGAGCTCGATGACGTCAAGCCCAAGTACGAGGCCATGAAGCGTAAGGAGGAGGACTGTTCCCGCGAGCTGCAGCTCAAGGAGCAAAAGCGCAAGGAACTGTACGCCAAGCAGGGACGCGGTTCGCAGTTCTCCTCGCGCGAGGATCGTGACAAGTGGATAACCAACGAACTAAAGTCTATCAGCAAGCAGACGCGCGACAAGATCAACCATCATGCCAAGCTGGTGGAGGACCTCAAGAAGGATGCCACCTCCGAGAAGGATCTCGGCCAGAAGATCGAGGAGCATTCGTCGGAGCTGGAGCAGCTGCGCCTTCAAATCGATGAGCACAACAAGAAGTACTACGAGCTGAAGAAGACCAAGGATCAGCACCAGTCCATGCGCAACGAGCTCTGGCGCAAGGAGACCCAGATGACCCAGCAGCTGCAAACGCACAAGGAGGAGCTGTCTCGGGCGGACCAGGCCCTGCGCAGCATGGCCGGCAAACCGATCCTCAACGGCTGCGATTCGGTGCGCAAGGTCCTTGACAGCTTTGTGGAGCGTGGCGGCCAGTCGGCGGAAATAGCGAGGGCCTACTATGGCCCCGTCATCGAGAATTTTAGCTGCGACAAGACCATCTACACGGCCGTGGAGGTGACAGCCGCCAATCGGCTCTTCCATCACATCGTCGAGTCGGAGTACGAGGGCACACAGATCCTGAAGGAGATGAACAAGCTAAAGCTGCCCGGCGAGGTGACCTTCATGCCGCTCAACCGTCTCCAGGTGAAGATCCACGATTATCCCGACGATCCCGACTCCATACCGATGATCTCCAAGCTCAAGTACGACGAGCAGCATGACAAGGCTCTGCGTTATATATTTGGCAAAACGCTGATATGCCGCAACCTGGAGCGTGCCACGGAGCTGGCCAAGAGCACTGGGCTGGACTGCGTCACACTGGACGGCGATCAGGTGTCGTCGAAGGGCTCCCTAACCGGCGGCTACTTCAATACATCACGCTCCCGCCTGGAGATGCAGAAGAAGCGCACAGAATACACGCAGCAGATCACCGACTTCGAGAAGAAGCTGGGCAAGCTGCGCAACGAACTCAAGTCCACCGAGAACAACATCAATTCGATTGTGTCCGAAATGCAAAAGACGGAAACGAAGCAGGGCAAGTCCAAGGATGTGTTCGAGAAGGTCCAGGGCGAGATACGGCTAATGAAGGAGGAGCTGGTGCGCATCGAGCAGTATCGGGCGCCCAAGGAGCGCTCGCTGGCGCAGTGCAAGGCCTCGCTGGAGTCGATGAACAGCACCAAGTCCAGTCTGGAGGCGGAGCTGAAGCAGGAGCTAATGTCGACGCTGTCCGTGCAGGATCAGCGGGAGATTGACCAGCTGAACGATGACATTCGTCGTCTGAATCAGGAAAACAAGGAGGCCTTCACCCAGCGCATGCAGTTCGAGGTGCGCAAGAATAAGCTGGACAATCTCCTGATCAACAATCTGTTCCGGCGGCGGGACGAGTTGATTCAGGCGCTGCAGGAGATCTCCGTGGAGGATCGCAAGCGGAAGCTGAACAATTGCAAAACGGAGCTGGTATCCGCCGAGAAGCGCATCAAGAAGGTCAATGCCGATCTGGAGGAGATAGAGAAGCGGGTGGGCGAGGCCGTCCAGCTGCAAAAGGAGCTGCAGCTGGAGCTGGAGACGCATGTACGCAAGGAGAAGGAGGCGGAGGAGAACATCAACAAAGATTCGAAGCAGCTGGAAAAGTGGACCACCAAGGAGAACATGCTCAACGAAAAGATCGATGAGTGCACCGAGAAGATCGCCGGCCTGGGCGCTTTGCCGCAAGTGGACGCCGCATACAGCCGCATCTCGCTGAAGAACATCTTTAAGGAGCTCGAGAAGGCCAACCAGCATCTGAAGAAATACAATCATGTGAACAAGAAGGCCCTCGACCAGTTCCTCAGCTTCTCCGAGCAGAAGGAGAAGCTGTACAAGCGCAAGGAGGAGCTGGACATTGGCGACCAGAAGATCCACATGCTTATCCAATCGCTGGAGATGCAAAAGGTGGAGGCCATTCAGTTTACGTTCCGTCAGGTGGCCCAGAATTTCACCAAGGTGTTCAAGAAGCTGGTGCCGCAGGGCGCCGGCTATCTCATCCTGAAGACCAAGGACAACGACAGCGAGGAGATGGAAAAGGAGGTGGCCAATTCGGATGCCTTTACGGGCATTGGCATTCGGGTATCCTTCACCGGCGTCGAGGCGGAGATGCGAGAGATGAATCAACTGTCCGGCGGCCAGAAGTCCCTCGTCGCCCTGGCCCTGATCTTCTCCATTCAAAAGTGCGATCCGGCTCCTTTCTATTTATTTGATGAGATCGATCAGGTGAGACCTTGGCTTAAACTTGAAGCTAACTGTTTTTAACCCATTCTCCAAACAGGCCTTGGATGCCATGCATCGTAAGGCGGTGGCGGACATGATCCACGAGCTGAGCGACACCGCCCAGTTCATCACGACCACGTTCAGGCCGGAGTTACTGGAGAATGCCCACAAGTTCTATGGCGTACGGTTTCGCAACAAGGTCAGTCACATTGATTGTGTGACCAGGGAGGAGGCCAAGGACTTTGTTGAGGACGACAGCACCCATGCCTAAGACAACTCCCATCCACATTCATCCATCCATCTATCCCGCCTCGCCCCCGTCCTAGGTCTAGGCTTTCGTTTTTTTATTTTTTTTTTAACAATTGCAATTTTCCTTAACAATCAGAGTTAGTTTCGGTTGCGAATCTTCTCGAATGCGAGGAAATCCGGGAGCTGAGCAACTCTAAATCCCAGATCAATATGTAATAAAGCACATAGAAATATAATTTTAACTATATACATTATATATTTAAATTAAAACTGTGTATTAAAAGGCATTTTTAACCCAAGCAACAACCTTAACTTACTTTTTTTTATAGAATACTTTACAGAGATCTTTAATCTCGATTCTAGACAAAATGTATGTACCTTTTACCTTTCCAGAAACGAATCTGATCTAAATTTGTATAATTTATTAAGTATCAAAAAACAACAACTTAAGGTTCAACTACTGAACGAAGAATATGAATTTGCGCTTAGACTAGAGACTCCAGACTCCACTCCAGCACCAGCTCCTCTCAGCTAGCCACCGCATCCACCTGCTCCTGGATGGCATTCAGCGCAAAGATGGCCGAGAAGCACATGCCCACGGTGGCCACCTCCAGCTGGGTGATGTTGTAGTGCAGCGGCAGCCGCCACAGCACAAAGTGGTTAAGCAGGACGAGCAGTGCCAAACCCAGCGACCACCAGTGCTCATCGACGACAGCTATGCGCCACAGACAATGGACATTCCAGAGCACGCACAGGCCCAGCTGGGCGGCGTCCAGTTTGACGAAGGTAGCGCCAAGGGGACTGCGACTGCTGTTGCTGTTGCCACCGCCCAGCCATAGACTGGCCACGGCCAGGGCTAGGGCTCCGCTCCACAGGCCAAAGGCCAGGCGCTCCCAATCGGCGCCAAAGAAGTCGCCCAGCCGGGTGGCGGGATTCAGAGCCTGAAGCTCACCCACCACCAAGGTGACAAACAGAACGGAGGAGTATCTACGCGACTTGTCGCATACCAGCCTCTGGAGCGTGCCCGGATTGGGATGCGTGTGCCGCAGCAGGCAGAGCAGACTGTGCCCAAAGTAGATCCCAAAAGCGGCCAGCGCTTGGCGTCCGGTGCTCTGTTTCAGGCCCCAGCCCGAGCTGACGGCCAGCACGAAGTGGATCAGGCACAGGGCCAGGCGGGAGGAGCCGCCGCTGGCCGGCAGTAGTCCATTTATGGGCGGAAGGCTGCGTGGGTGGTGTTGATGGGACATGCCGGTGTCGGGGGTGGTTTTCTGCGTCAAATAAGTGGTTCCTTGGGCGCTTCTCGGCCGGAGATCAGCTGGTACCGGGCTGCCCCTTTTATTAGTGGCTTACTTTCAGCAGATTTGGCTAATTAGTTAGCAAAAGTTGTTATTGTTCAAAGTTTTATTTGGTTTTTTTTTTTTTGTATCTTGACAACCCTAGAAGTTTATGCCTTGAGTTACTAGCAATTCTATGTTCGCGATCTGCACGAAATTTCTTAACAACATTAAAGGAATACCTATAAATTTCATTATATTCAATCACACAGTTTTAGGGATTATTAAAGTTTTAAATTATAGAAATATCCTAAATTGGATGTATAACAGTTTTTGGACATTCTTGTTCGCGAATTGAAGCATGGCATAAACCCAGTCCCAGAGGCCTGGCAACCCAATCGGCCGAGTTCCGAACTAGTGGCAGCACCGCGTCCGCATGGCAAGTTGGCAGCTCCTCAGTCGGACAGCAGTCCGATTTTCAAGTTGACAGAAAAGAGTAAAAAAAAAAAAACATCAAAAGTGAGTTTATTGCTGTTTCAACATTTATGCCGATCCTTTTGCGGCCGATACTGATGTTGGAAAAACAAAACATCGACGATTTGCCTTTATTTCCTTTTAAACACCGATAGTATCGAAAGTGACACAGTTGTTTTTGCATTTTTTGTCAAATGCCACATTCAGTATAAATAATTACAACTACGCCTAGTCCTACGTGTCTCCAATAAATCCACTGCCCGAGACCACTGCTCTCCGGCAGTTGTGCGCCCCGTTGCGACCACAACGAAGACACCATCTTGGCGTGCGTGGAGTGGCACGAGCACCAAGGAGAGGGGCAGGAGCTGAGCTGAGACAGGGGGCGGAGGAGGAGGAGAAGGAGCTGGAACAGTAGGCAACCGCGAGGGCAACGAGAAGGCGAACAAGGAACGAGAAAATGGCTGGATCCGCACTGCGCCGCCTAATGGCGGAATACAAACGTAAGATGGGCGGGCGGACGGCGGGGACGTCAAAGTCCAAAGCGCAGCGAACTAAATTTTCACCTTGATATTTGCGCCTCTCTTTTTTTGCAGAGTTAACACTCGACCCGCCCGAGGGCATTGTGGCCGGACCGATCAGCGAAGACAACTTCTTTGAGTGGGAGGCCCTGATTGCGTGAGTGCGCCGCTTCATGTTGTTAGTCCAGATCCAATTGAATCTAATAACACCTTTTGCCCTTTGCAGCGGACCCGAGGGCACTTGCTTCGAGGGCGGCGTCTTTCCCGCCCGCTTGGTCTTTCCACCTGACTACCCACTGAGTCCGCCAAAAATGAAATTCACTTGTGATATGTTCCATCCCAACATTTTCGCCGATGGCCGCGTCTGCATATCAATATTACACGCTCCCGGCGATGATCCCATGGGCTACGAGCTGTCCGCGGAGCGCTGGAGTCCCGTGCAGAGCGTTGAAAAGATCTTGCTCAGCGTGGTGAGCATGCTGGCGGGTAAGTTGTGCCATAATTCCGCAAAACCCGCACTCCCGATCTCCTGATCTCTTCAATTAGAGCCCAACGATGAGAGCGGCGCCAATGTCGATGCGGCCATCATGTGGCGCGAGAGGAGAGAGGAGTTCAACAGCATCGCCCGACGACTGGTCCGCAAGACCCTTGGATTGCCGCAGTAGAGGTCTCTGCTGCCACAACCCTCACCTAAACCAACACACGATTCCCAGATTGAGCTAAAACCACAGTTCCCTCAAAAAGTCCACTGAACTCCTGGCTGACACAGACACAATAACAAAAAGACGTATCACCTTAGCCGAAAAGCAACAACCTTGAAGTAACATCGACATAAGCCCCCTAAGTTGTAAGACGGCCATTGGTATCCTCTTTTTTCAGGCTCTACAGTATGTGAGCCAGCTAAGAACTCCCCTATTATATTATGAGGAGACGGTTGAACATTGTTGCAAGTTCGTAAAAAAAAAACAGCCTACATATATTTCCTATTAATAAATGTTTATTTTTTATGTTTGAAGCAGAGCTCGCCGAATATCTGAGCAGCAAAACCTATTTCGTTTCGTTCGGATCCCGGGTCTCTCCCACATCCTTACACTGCACAATATTATTAAGTTGAAAAGACAGAAAGAGTGCACTCTTAAATTGCTAGTTTCGGTTTATTTTCATCTGTTATTTCTATGTTCTGTATGTTCTATATCGTTTAAGTAACTTGAATCGCTTCTGTGTAATCATATATATGTATATTTTTACTACATGTTTGTAAATGTCTTCATTTGATTAAGTAAATTGATTAATGTGTACACTTTGATAAGGCCTATGTCTTTGTATATATATGTATGTGTATGTGTGTGTTGTATCAATAGGTGTGTGGAGAAGGCATACTTTAAGTGCTAATTGCCCCGCTAAAACTATTAAATACGGACAAATAATCAGACTTTTCGGATTAGTTTCGCTAAATGCTCAAAAACGGACGCGCCAACGGACGAATAGCGGACAAGTTCTGAGGATTATACCCGCTAATGATGTCGAAATCTTATTCGGACACAAAACCCATGACTGGTGATTAACTTTATTATCGTTTATGAGTCTGAATCGGACGTTTTGTCCGCTTGATATCCGTAAAACTATAGTTTTCAATATCATAAACGAACGTTTTTGTCTGCTGGGAATTCGAATTGACCAAGCCGAGCGGTATGCCCTCTTCCTCCGCCTTTCTCTGACTGCATCTGTCATGCATCCAACTAGGTTTACTAGACCAGCAAAGCTTTCGCAAGCGCCAATGCTTTTTATGGAGCCACCGTTTCTCTGGCGCGCAGTTACGCTTGGACTACAAATAACCCAAGGCGCACGGTGGGTACAAGGTACTCCAAAATGTTTTCTATTTTAAGCTGATTTTTGTTAAGGAATATTTTATATACAGAAATCCTGTAGAGATCCAAAGCGATCCCTAATTTATTTTTTAAAATATCTCGTTCTGTACTAAATAATACCTTTTGGGGATCATTACAAACTTTCAAGTCTCTTGTGGAATTTAAATTTCTATATTAATTAAATGATTATTTATCTTTCCGTATCCTAATAATGGACCCACAGGAAAGCGCCTCTATTCATTGGCTACTTTGTCTTGGGGAGGGGGGATATTTCCCTAAAATCCTTAGTCTTTTCATATGTTGTTTTTAATTGGTGGATTTAAAAGTTTTAAACTATGCTGTCGGTATATAAATTGATATTTTAAAGTCCTGATTAATTGATATATAATACCGACAAATAAATTAAATAAAAGCTTTTGAATAATTTATAGATCTATTACAGTATTTAAAAATCTAATTTATCAAAGCATACAAAGTTTTCTATATGTTTTAGGACTTTTCCTCTTGCTAGACATCCCTAGTGTTTATTTCTTTATTTAGTTAGGCCCCCTAATAAGAGGCTCAAGTAAAAATAGACTTTTTTAGGTAAAATATGGGTTGGTTTGATGCAAAAAAAAGGCGGATCAAAGACACTTTTAATTAAGCATTTGTATGCCCCAATCGGAATGGAATTTGTTTACTTATTTTCAAAAAAAAAAAAAAAAAAAAAGATTACCATTTGGTTTGACCCTAGCATTCAGTTCTTGACCCACTGTGCGGGTGTGTCATAGCTTGCGGTGGTTGTGTGTGGCGTAATTAACCTTTACGAAACCGGTTAAATATTTAAAAATAACAAAATGACAACAGAACCAAAACAGAACGCATTAGCAAACGAAAGCAGGACTCTGGGAATGGTTAATTGGGTCTAGGAAATCTGGAAGGGAAGGGATTCGGAAGGAGTAGAGAACACGATTGATTCACTAATTGTATAATTATTACAAACAAAACGTATTTATCTGTGGGGTGGGGCTGTATCGGGGCTATATATGTACATCAACAAGCACAAAAAAACAAGGACAAACTTAACAGAGTCACAAAGTGTCAGTAAGGGATTACATTATATAGCGGGAGGAGTCTTTTAGGGACTAGAGTATATAGATGTCCAGGGCCTCGGCCAGCTAGTCAACATGGTATTCCGTTCGGTGCGGTGATCCGCGTCGCTTCTCCGCCACAAAGGCGCCACTGATGCCCGCCAAGCTGGTCACGCCCCTGATTCCAGTGCTCCGGAAGTAGATCAGCACATACTGCTCACCGTGCCGCAGCTCCACATCGTCGGCAAAGTCCAGGCGCACCTGCTCCTGGGCATTGGCCTCCTGGTGTCGCCTCAGCCGCTGGCGATTCTTGTGATGATGCCGCCCCCGTCGGTGATGCGACGGTGTATCGAAAAGATCGTGCTCGTGATTGGAATCGGATGAGGGAGGCGACTCCGCTTGATTCACGTACTCGTAGGCGGCATAGTCCGCCAGGCTGGCATATTCCAGCGGATAGATGCCAATCCAATCGTTGGGACCCTCCTCGAACTCGGCCTGCTTGCGATACTCCACGGTGTTCTCATCCCCAATCTGCCAGACGCTCAGCGGTGAGAAGACCACGCCCGCCACCCGAACGTTGGGATACATCTTCAGGGTGAAATCACTGGTCACCGGCTTGTGATCACTGATGGTGTACACCGGGTGTGACTTGTACGAGCACTGCTCGATGGCTAGCTGCATTCCTGGCTGCTTGTTCAGCGGTTGGACGGCGTACATGATACGGTCCGTCCAGGCCGGACGCCGCTTCAGATCGTAGTCGGAGGTGCCCTCGCGGAACTTGAAGGTGGGCGGAAAGGCGGGCAGGCGCTCGTGCAGCACCTGAAAGGCCTGCTGCGTCCGTTCGCGCACTTGGTACAGCTGATCCCGCTTAATTAGAGCCTCGTGCTGGGCCTCATCCCGCACCAGGTCGCGCACCTCGGTCGACGAGTCATCGCCCTGCAGCCGGAAGTTGAGATCACCGAACCAGAAGACATAGTCGTGATCGTAGATCTCCCGATAGCGTTTCACATGGTAGTGATGATTCTCCAATATCTGGCGATAGTCCTCGATTCGCTCGTCCAGCTGATGATCGTGGGCAGCCAGGTGGGCGACCACGAAGGCCAGTCCGCAGCCGTAAAGGGTGAAGCGGACGCTCACTGCTCCCTTGTTGCCCCAGATGCCGCCGAACCCAGTGCGCGTGAACTCCGCCTCGATGTCGTGCAGATGCTCGACATGCTGGCGCCGCACGAACATGCTGAGGAGGAGTCCCTGCATCTGTTCCGTCTTAACTGCAACGTAATCGTAGGCACGCAGCAGCTCCTTGGCCTTGTGCGTCCATGGATCCTCCTTGAACAGACCCAGCACCTGTTGCTGCGGCTGCGCGTTGACCTCCTGCAGGCCAATGGCATAGATATCCGGCAGATGGTCCTTGCTGGTGGTGTCATCATCCACGTCCTGCAATCCCAGCAGCTGGCGCAGCGAAATGTTGTCCGGAAAGCGACTGCCCACATTCCAGGTGACCACATACACCCGATAGGTCTCCAGCTGTTGCTTGGCACTGCCCTTGGCTGCTGCTGCCGCTGCTCCTGCCTCGTCCACCTCTGTTTTGGACGCCTCCTTCTCCTCAGGCTGGCCTTGGCTCTGACTCTGGCTCATTTCGGTCCGATATTGATAGCGCGGTTAAGTCAAGTCCAGCAATCTCAACGAGATTAAGTTGTTTGTTCACCTGATTGGGTTTGTTCCTGGCTACCGCCGCTTGTTTGTTGCTTTTGTTGCTACAATTTAGGCAATTTGGATACGACTGGCAAGCAGCGAAGACGCTGGTCGAGCGGTAATTGCGGAAAATATTGCACCACAAATAGTTTATAACACTTGTTTGTCAGTCGACAAAAACAACAATAAGCAGCAGCGCAGCAGCTGCAAAAACAACAACGACAACAAGTGCCCTAACAACAACAAGAGCTGGCCAACTTATCAGAGCCCCAAAATACCGCCATCTTCGCCAGGCCTGGTCACTCTGTAATAATGAGCTTGTTTTGAAATCGATAAGTTATTCGATAGGCCAGTTTTATTCAACCCGTGCAACTCTGGCCACACCTGCTACCCAAACAGCAGCAGCGACAACAACAACAAGTAACGGCTGCCAGCCCCCGGAAAATAAGTTGAAAATAATGAGCCAGCGCCGTAATTAGCCCGCGTGCCAGTTTGTCTGTGGGAAGCGATCTGCACCTCGTCGTATTCCGCCGTTAAACGTGCCTCGAGAGCGGTCAACAGGGAGCCGGGGAGCTGTAATTATTGTCATCGCATTACCGATGAATAATAAGTGTTGCCGTTTCGTGCGTGTGAGAATGCAAGTGTGTGTGTGAGCGATACACCCACCTTGAGCGACGACAACGACAACAACAACAACAACAACAATAAAAGCCAGCAAGAAAACAAACAAACGGACGGCCACGGTTACGGTTACGGCTGCGAGATTACGGTTGCAGAGCTCATTGACGAAGAGCAGGGTCAGGCCACCAGAGCCGCTGCTGCATTGCCTTGCCACCGGAAGCCGCAACCGAAGGGTGGTGAAGAGGAAGGCGAAGGGCAAAGAATTCCAATCATCGTTGGCGGGCCGCAACGCCAACTCTAAAAATAGAAACAAGCAAGAGGGGGGGCAACAAAACTATTGTCCATATCCATATCGAAGCAGAAGCAAGAGAAACCCCTGCAAGTATTATTCCTCATTCCGAGATTAGCCGGCCAGTCAGCCAAGCAACAGAAGCGGCAGCAGCAGCAGCAGTATTCATCAGACAAGGAGGAGGAGCAGTCAGGAGTATTTGGGAGAATCCCCTCAACAAATCCATATCAGCAGAAGGAGAGTGAGGCAGAGACAACATGGAGACCGTGGGCGACAGTGTGCCCAATGGCACAGCTCCGCCCAGGACGACGCTGGACATTGTCAAGGAGCGGTTCAAGGAGGACGAAGTTATACTGAGTGTAAGTATCTGAGAGTCGAACTTTAAAGTACGGTCAATTCGAAGGGCTATTTTATTTAATTAATTTTTAAATAAATTAATTTTAATTATTTTATTAAATTAAAATTAAAATTTATTATTATTATTAAATAAATTGATTTTAAATTTAAATATATTTATTAAATAAATTTATTTTAATTTTAAATTTATTTATTATTTATTTAATAAAATATATTTTATTTTTTATTTAATTATTTTTAAAATCATTTAATCATAATCATTAAAAATCATAAATTACATTTAAATTAAAATTAAAAAAAAAGATTGATAAAGATAAATAAATTTAAATAAAAAAAAAAAATTAAATAAATTAATTTAATAAAATTTAAATTTAAAATAAATTAAAATAATTTTATTTTATAAATTTAAATTTAAAATAAATATTTTTAATAAATTTACATTTTAATTTTATTTTTTTAATAAAAAAAAAATAGATTGAATAAATTTATTTAACAAATAAATAATATTTATTAATTATTACATTTATTTTAAATTCACAATAAATGTAATAAATAAAATTAAATTAAAATAGCTTTTTTTAAATAAATTAATTTCGTTTAGTTTAAATTTATTTGTTAAGTATATAATATTTAATTAATGAGCAATGTTACCGCCCTATTAGTATTATCAAAAAGCAAATTGCATTCTTGTTTGCACTGACAACTTGCAACCAACACGGCGGAGTCAGCCTACGTGGTGGCGGTGGGGACTGGCTTGGCCTGTTATCTCGCCTGCTCTGCCCTTCCCAGAGATAGCAACAAACCACCGTGTAGTTCCCAGACTGCTTCTCCCTGTATCGTTTGTGAAAATAAAATATTGTTTCTCTTTTGGACAGATATTCGATGCCTATCAAATCATTGGACACGAGTATACCAACCGTCTGCTGGCGCTAGTCTCCTCGGCTTCTGGCGGCACCTTTGCCATTATCGCCTTCTCCTACCTGCGCACACCACCGCTGACCACGGTGAACGAGTTGATCATCAACAAGGTGTTTGCCATCGACAGCAGCTTCCAGATAAGGCAGGGTGAGCCAGGATTAAAGTATTATCAAAAACGTAGAATAAACATTGTTTAAGAGGCTTGTAATCCTTTGATTGGTAATTGCCACTACGTCAAGAACTATCCACTTGGGTTTGGAGGAGAAGATTACGTTAACTCGCATCTGCCAAGTTACTTAACAAATAAAGTACTTCATTTAGCAAACAACAGACTACAGGCAGGCGCTGAGGGCTCGCTAATTGATGAACAATAAATCAAGTTAAATATTTAGTTAATTAACTTGCCGCTCAAAGCAAGACTGTACTTTTTCGCTTATCTAAAAGTATGTTTTTGATGTGTTTGCAAGCATTGATTAGCTTTCAAGGGCTAATTAATAAGATAATAATAACAACAGATAAATAATAATACTAGTTTGTACATAGATAATGACATTAATATTTGTTTTTATAATTGCATACCCACAGATTCCATGGGCTCCATAAACACACAACAGTTTGACTTGTCAACGGCCGAGGATGGGCCCTTCAAGTACTATTACTTTCCCACAGAGAGCTCCAACTACGAGGACTTCCATGCCAAAATAACATCCTGCCAAAGGTCTATGGCCCAGTACGATCCGGAGGCGGTGCTGAACTTCAGGTGGCTGAATGACTACCGTCAGATCGGTGAGGTCAAGCAGGAGCTGAAGAAGCGGGAGAGCGAGTACATTGTCTACGAGGATATTCAGTGAGTGGACTGACTTACCTTCTGTCTTTCAAGTTCGATGATAATCCACATCTTGCAGCATCTTCTGCGCCACCTGGAATGTGAACAATAAGCCCTGCGGCGATGGCGAGAATCCGCTGCGATCTTGGCTGGGACACACCGCCCAGCCACCCGATATCTATGCCATTGGCCTGCAGGAGCTCTATGCACCCGCCAAGGCCATGGCCTATGAAATGGTAAAGACCACCCAGATGGGGGGCATCGAGAAGACGTGGATGTGAGTGACAAAATGTGGATATAACTTTGCAAACTTTTAACTTTTAACTCGCTTTGTTTTTGCAGCGATAAAATAATGGCTAGCCTTCATCCGGATGCCAAGTACGAGGTCTTGGGCACACAGCGTCTGGTCGCCACCATGCTAACGGTGATTGTGCGCCAGCAAATCCGACCGCAGATCACCCGCTGTCGCCTGAAGACGGTAGCTCGCGGCGTGTTCAATGCTTTGGGCAATAAGGGCGGCGTGGGCATAAGCCTGCAGCTGAACGAGGGCAATCTCTGCTTCATCAACTCCCATTTGGCCGCTCACATGGCCAATGTGGAGGAGCGAAATGCGGACTACAATGCCATTGTCCAGGGCATGACCTTTGACGACGGACGCACCATCAGCGATCATGAGTGAGTATGTCCTTTTTAACCAGGGAACCATTTTAATAATTACAAAAAATTATAACAATTATATAAAATACGCTTATTTTTCACTTATCCCTTCTCTCTGTCTCTTACCCAGCCACATTTTCTGGGTGGGCGACTTGAACTATCGCATCCAGGAGCCGCCGGGACAGCAGCGACCCGGTCCGATGAGCGATGCCCAGACATACGAGCTGCTATTGCAGTACGATCAGCTGCGCCAGGAGATGCAGCGCGGCAAATGCTTCGAGGGCTACACCGAGGGCGACATCAAGTTCCGGCCAACATACAAATATGATCCGGGGACGGACACTTATGACAGCAGCGAGAAGCAACGGGCGCCGGCCTACTGTGACCGCGTACTCTGGAAGGGGACGCGCATCGAGCAACTGGCCTACAACAGCATCATGGAGATACGCCAGAGTGACCACAAGCCGGTCTATGCGGTATTTCGCGTCAAGATCAAGACCCGCGACGCCGTCAAATACAAGCGGGTGCAGGAGGAGGTTCTAAAGGCAGTGGACAAGCGCGAGAATGACAATCAGCCGCAGATAAATGTGGAGAAGACGGTGATCGATTTCGGGAGCGTGCGATTCAATGAGCCGGTCACCCAGAACTTTACCGTCTTCAACAATTGCCCCTTGCCGGTGGACTTTAGCTTCAAGGAGAAGGATATTCATGCCATCTGTGAGCCCTGGCTCCATGTCGATCCCCGTCACGATTCGCTGCTAATCGATTCTGCCCGCAGCATCCGTTTGAAGATGCATGTCAGTGTCCGCACGATTGCCGGGCTGTTGCGCAAGATTCGGCAGAGCGATAACTTTGACATACTCATTCTGCACGTGGAAAATGGGCGAGACATCTTTATAACGGTAACGGGGGACTATCAGCCCAGTTGCTTCGGCCTCTCCATGGAGACAATGTGCCGCACGGACCGGCCATTGGGCGAGTACACGCAGGAGCAGATCAAGCAGCTGGTGAGTAAGCTCTTATAGCTTCCTTTCTTGTTTCGATTGGAATTTAATCCATTACTTTTTTTTGTATTATTCAATTTCGATTAATTTCTAGATAAACGATGATTCCCCGGAATACCGAGTGACCATGCCCCGGGAGTTCTTTCTGCTGATCGATTTTCTGTACAAACAAGGGCCCAAACAGGAGGGCGCCTTCCCCTCATACGACTCCCGCCAGTCGCTGGGCAGCCAGTTTAACTTGCTGCGCGATTGGCTGGACAGCTGGTCGGATGAGCCATTCCGTAAGTGAATTGTTACCTTCTCCATCTTCTCGGACTGACCAATTCCACCTCTAATGTATGTAGCCGTCAATGCGGAGACAGCTGCACAGGCGCTCTTGCTGCTGCTCGATCTGCCCGAGCAGGCGCTGCTGGAGCCGTTTGTCGAGGATCTGCTGACGTGCAGCAATAAGTCGCGGGCCATGGACTACATCTCGTTGCTGAGTCCGCCCAAGCGTAATGTCTTCATGCATCTGTGCATGTTTCTGCGCGCGGGCATCGAAAGCCAGTACTACGATCTGCAACAAGTTGGTGGGTGTTTCTACTTGATCATACGTCTTACTGCTCAGAGTTGGTTATATCCCCTCTTATGCTTCACCGTTTTCCCACCCCAACAGCCTCTATTTTTGGCCGCATTCTGTTGCGCAGCGGTGAGTGCACCGCCTGGATGGATTACCACAGCCGCTGCGTCCAGTTTATGCGTCTGTTCATCGACAACGATATGGAGTCTCTGGGGAATGGCAATGATGGCGCCGGATCCGGAGATAGGACCGCCGGGCTGCAGGCATAGATCCGCGAGGGATAGTTGTTGATATTTAACTGTACGCATAGAGTTAGTCTATTTATTTTTACTTGTTGGTACTTTGTTGGCACGCCTACAAGTAGGTGCGCGCTCTAGGCATTTATATGTACATTTCACATGTTTTTTTTTTACCTGTTAATTGTTTGCCCGCCTTCCGTTCATTCCAACTTGGCTTCACATCCCCGAGCTCACTTTGTTCTTGTTACGACTTTGCATCACATGAAAGGATTGAAAGATTGAGATAGAGAGAGATAGGAAAGGACACCCAGAGCTCACAGAAGCAGGAGGCGCCAACCTAGGCCAAAATAATAGAATTCTGTAAATAAGCTATACGAAATCTGTTCGCGATGTATCCTATGTATGTACGTCCAGGTTCGTTAAATCAATGTTTAGTTGAGCACGAAATTCGCTTATTAGTTTAGATTAATGCAAGGATTCCCGCAGGGAATCGTGTTACCTCGAAGAACTCCGGTTTCAGTTGCAACTGAAAATAAATAACAGCGTTACATACAGTACAACAAACTCGATTTCTTTTTACCATTCTTTAAAATGTTTCAATTATATACTCGGCGCGCGCTGTGCTTTGTTTAAAAATTAATGGAAATCGAACTTTACATCTATACTATCGATGACACTTATCTGAAAACAAGATGACCATACTCTTATAAAAATGCCAAATATCACACCAAAAAGACCTAAAATGCTAGTATATCGGGGAAAATACTAAAAATACTGTTTGAAATCTCTGTTGCGCCCGAATCCAAATGAATTGCTGTTCCAGGTGAAAAATAACAAGAATGGCCAGTGATAAGGGTTCCATACGCTTGCCATGGCATCAGCACAGATTCGCAGGACAGTTCCGGGAACCGTTTCCTGATATGAGCCGGCCGAAGTGCATCGGATGTTGCAGCATTACTGCCAAGCGGGACTTCGCCAACGATGCCAGGAACGGCAGCTATTTGTACGGGCCACCGTTCCCGGATTTGCCGCTGGACCTCAACGCCGGCATAGCCGATGTCATACGTAAGCCAACGGACTTTGAGCAAAAGGATCTGGAGTTTGTGCTCCGCTACATAGAGCACCACCAGGCGGAGCTGCTCCGGCCAAGGAAACGGCAACCAGAGAGCTTGGGTCTCCACACTCACTTCGTTACGCTGCGCGGCATTCTCCGGCAGATAATGTGCCTGCAGTACGATCGGAACTGCGAATTCCGCATAAAGGCAACGCTCCTGAACGGCACCATATACATGGCCAAGGAGGCGACTGAAACTCAACAACTGCGGAACGAGAATATGACGACGAAAGAGAAGAACATGTGCTCCTGGGGCTTCAAATTCGAACAGTATTTGACCTGCCATCATCCGCAGTCGAAGCCAGTGACCGATGTGCCGGTCAACGAGGGTGACGAGTTCCTGGCCATGTTCAGCAGCCAGTTGAGCGGAATTGACTTGCTATACGGCGCCGAAATGGACTGTGTCGTCAGCAAAGAGCCAGTGTAAGTGTGCAAACTTCACAGGGAATTGTCCTACTTAGTTCTTATGCGTTTATTCAGTGACTTTAAGGATCCCAAAGTTCTGGACTCGATAAAGTTCGTGGAGCTTAAGACCAGCGCGTACATCAAGGCACCTAATCAGAAACGCAACTTCGATAACTACAAATCGGCCAATTGGTGGAGCCAGTCGTTCCTGGTGAACATAGATACTATCTACGCTGGCCTACGGGATCATCAGGGAATGGTGGTTGACATCCAGGAGTTTAACGTCCGACAGTTGGCGCGCAACAAGCCGTGGAGTCCAGCGGCAATGACCTTGTTTCTAGTGCAGTTCCTCAACAAACTAAAAGATCTACTGGAGACAATCGATGATCCCTACGCCGTGGTCCAGGTGGATTTTATTGCCTGCGAACAGATTGTGAACTACAAGGTGCTAAGAGGCAAGGAGCACCAGATCCTGCCCGACTGGTATCGCGATATCCTCAAGGCGGGCTAAAAAATCTGGACAAAACAAAGGTGGCTTTTAGTTTAAAACTAACTTAAGTTAGCCTAAGGTAATAAAATCGGACTAGTTGCATTTTTGGCCGTGCCCGAAAATTGTTTTCATATATTTTCAATACAATCTTAAAGCTATAATTGAATGCATACAAAGGGAAAACATCACTTGAGGTCGTTGGTGTCCAGCAGTGGAATGGCACTCGGTTCCATTCTCATCCCGCTGCTGCTGCTGGCCGGACCGCCGTATAGAGAGTACTCTGGCAAACTGGTTGCCGAATAGACTGGACGGCGACGGTCTGGCGGAGCGCCAATTCCAAAGCTACCAAAGTCTTGCGACCCACTGCCACCGCCCAGCGATTCACGCTTCTCGATCACACAGTCAAAGAACCGCGACAGTTTCACCGAGTCCGTTGTGCCAGCGGCCAGGCTGCGCGTGTCTCTGCAATTTAGCCAGATTTCCTCCGCACCGCATTTGTCAGCTGTAAAAGAAGAAAGGCCTGGTTATTAGCAGATACCTAGGTGGTCCTCTTCGAGTCTAAGGACTTACCTATTCCGCCCGCCTTCTTCACAGCCGTCTTGGGCTGCCGCTTCTCGTCAATTAGATCCAGCTTGGTGCCCATAACCAAAATGGGTGTTTGTGTGGCGCCCAGAAACTCCTCCATATCGAAACGCGCGGTGGAGCTGCTGCCACTTGTGCATTCCGGTGCATTTGGGGTGAAAGCAGTCCGCGGGGGAGACGACGAAGCGGGCGTGGAGCTGCCGCGGCATTTATACGTGTCCTTGCCCTCCTTGTTCACGATCTCGTATAGCCAGTCGAGAAGATGCTCTTGCGATTTGCCATTGGTGAGGTCGTGCACCAGGATAATGCCATGCACGCCAGCGTAGAAGACGCTCCGGGTGTTCTTGTGGTTCAACGAGCCGCCCACGTCAAAGAGTTCGACGAAATAAGGAGACTGTCGGGCTGTGCCCTCCTTGAACTCGTGAATCTTCACCTGGATGTTACAGCCCACCGTCCAGCCGGGTCGGATCAGGGATTCGTGGTGAGCGATCAGGTGCGTCAGACAGGTCTTGCCCACACCTGGAGATTGGGTTTGAATGGATTAGGCGGCCAAGCAATCGAAGGAGAAGGCTCTACTTACCCGAGTCACCGACAACAACAATTCGCACCCTATTACTCATTGCGATTTTGCTGTGGACACATTTGTTTTTTATGTATAAAATCTATCAAAAGTTAATTATTTTGTCGTGTTTAAAAAATATGTAGTGATGTGCAAGCAAATAGAAACTTGTCGATATTTTAATAAATTCAACTGGTATATTCTTGAATGCCGGATGGTATATTTCGGGGATCCAAGTGCGGTCACACTGGACGACGCAAACACAAAGCAAAAAGCGAAAAGAAAAGCAAAGCAGAAGTAGGGAGAAACAGCAAGTGGGTAGAAAAGCGAAGGCAACCCGGAAAGAACAGGATGAATAACGGATTTAGCACCGGCGAGGAGGATAGCCGCGGGCACACGGATCAGACTTGCTGCCTTATCGACGACATGGAGCGGTGTCGCAACCAGGCCGGCTACGCCAGCTACAGCAAGCGCATCCAAAAGACGGTGGCCCAGAAGCGGCTGAAGCTAAGCAGCGACCCCAGTGCCCAGCACATCTACATTTGCGACCATCACAAGGATCGCATCCAATCGGTGCGAACAAAGCGGCGGCGCAAGGACAGCGAGGATGATAGCAACGAAACGGACACGGATCTGCACGAGTTTCCCGATCTGCACAAGCTGGGCGTCAGTGCGCTCCGCCGCTACAAGCGACACTTTAACGTCCAGACGCGGCAGGGCATGAAGCGGGCACAGCTGGCGGATGTGAGTTTGTACCTTCCTTTATACATAAATATGTTTTGGCACAGCACAGTCGCGGTCAACATAGTAGTAGTATTTCACACTTGACGAAATACCTCATCGCGTTCCCCTATTTAATCCAGTCTTTTGTTTCTCCACATCGTTTTGTTTATTAGACCATCATGAAGCACTTCAAGACGATACCCATCAAGGAGAAGGAGATAATTACGTTTTTCGTGTACAGGGTAAAGATGGGCTCGAATAAGTTAGACCAGAAGAATGGAATCGGTAACGACACCACCTGAAGGCGTGGCGGCGGCGGCGGGCGGAGGGTTAACCAGGAGGAAGAGGAAGAGGAGGATGCCGACGATGTGTACTCCTTCTAACGCTAGCCATTCCGCCACCCGTCATCCAAGAGAGCTCTTACACACACACACATTGTTGCTGCATTTGCCTTTGCCGGACGTCCACGTCCCGTTCCGGCATTGTACACCCCACAAAAATATATGGAAATCGTAAATATTAGTAAAATGTCCTCCTCATCTCCCGCACACACCACTGCCTCACGGATCCTACCCAGTCCAGTCCACTTTCCCGAGAAACAAACGAAAAGCTGCAATGTAATTAAAACGAACAGGAAAAACAAAACACAAAAAAACATAAGGAAAAAATGAAAATAATAAAAAAAAAAAAAACAGCGTAGGGTAGTAGTGGCAATCGGTGCTCGCAATAAAATATGTAGTAGTTAAACGCGATTTAATATAAAATTAGTTTTAAGCAGATTTTACAAAACTAATTGTAGCATTGGTCCGTTGTTAATAGCTCTTTATAATTATACACAACAACAACAAACACCCACTCACTTATACACATTACATAAAATAAACTATGTATATTTACACCGAAAAAAAACACAAAATCAAACCGCAATTCGTATTCTTAGGCGATTGTTTGTAATCTAGCTCGAGTCAAGGGGGGCTGGAGTGGCTTAGGAAAACAAACAACGAACAGATAACCAACAACCAAACATCAATAAACCTTTAAATGCAATATCGACGCACTATTACATTACTTGGGAGTTCTTGAAATATAAAGAAAAACCACCAACCGATATCTCTGTAAGAATATGGAGTATAAATGAAAGTAACTCGCAATATTTTTAAATTAAAACATCGTCTCGGTTTTCCCCTTTCAGGGCGAATATATATATATACATATATTTAGAGCTCTATCTTTAGTCTTAGTTCCAAGCCAGTAATTGGAGCTACACTTGAAACAATTTCTGTTAAAGCCTAGACTGATTTTAGCCGTACTTTTAAGCCTAAATAAAACTGAACAAAAAGCACTTTTCACTTATCTACGTGACTATCATCGAAAAGTATGTGTCTAGATGACTTGCGTTACTTCCTCCTCCGAGTCGCTGTGATCTGAAAAAAGAGTTTTATGCAGATTCATTAGTTAATAGTCCGTTTATTCCTGGACTTACTTTATGGTGAACTTACTTTGCTTCTTTGCAAGCTGCTGTTGCTTTTTGTTGGCCTTGTTTTTGGCCCGATTTTTTCCCTTTCCCACTTTCAACGAGACTACCCTCGAGGGCGTCGGCAGTTCCTGGTCGTTCGTAGCCTCCTGTGGCAGCCAAGTGCTGGTGTCCATGGGTTTGGCGTCCTGCACCAGCTTACCTGTCTCCTGTTTTATGGGCTGCTCCTCCTTTACTGGAACTTCCGCCACATTCGGCTTCTCACTGGTTTGAGCAGCATCCACCTCCATTTGGGAATCTTGGAGAGTCGGAGAGTCTTGCTTTTGATAGCCCTCCATTAGCTGCTTGAAGCTTAGTTTGTGTTTATTTTCTCCCAAAAGAGCCAGCAGTCCTTGGCTCGGTCCAGTTCCCTGCAGTCGACGCTCCTCGTCCAACGCTAAGGTCTTTCTAATGAATTCCACGATAGCCTTGCAGCGTGTCGCTGCATAACGGGCACATTGCATGATGGTCCGGACATTGGTGGGCACAGTGCCGCCCGCATTTAAAGTGCACAGCTCCTGATATGAATTAAAGCTGAGCACAATTACCGAATCGGCGGCATTCTCCTCCAAGAGTGTCGGATCCACCAGTGGCTGTGGATTGCTCTTATAAATGCAATATGTGACGCTCACGGGGTAATGGAGGAACAATAGGGGGATCAGTTCGCGCTCCTTTTCCGTATAAATGCGCAGCTCATCATTCGCATATGTGACATCCGGTCGGCGAAAGTGCATCAAGGCAGCTAATGTGGCTATAGTGCTTGCATCTAGACAAGTCAATATGAAGAATTAGTTTACAATAAATTATAATACCTTTCTTCTCCCTTACCATATAGATTCCCGTCGTGGTTCAGCACATTGATGTCCACGCGGATGCACCACACATGCTTCTCGGCAGCCACGCACAAGGACTCCAAATCGAGGCAACGGGAACTGCGGAATGTGCGTTCCAGCTGGGAGTTCAGTGTAAGGAATCGCTGGTCATATGTGGACTGCATTTCGTCCAGGAATGCCACGCCACCAATGCTTACGTTTAGCTGGAGCTTGCCCTCGTAGGGCCTGGAAGTAGTTGGTGCTCCCATGTCGCAGGTAACCTGGGCCAGCACCTTGGTGTCGTTAAGGGAAACCGCAACGGTGCCCCAATCCGAACCGAAGGTCAACTCCACATCGCGACACTCGTTGGAGCGTCTGCCATCGAATCGCTGGTTTTGCTTCACCGCCAACTGGATGAACTGTTTCTCCTGCTTCGATTTGCCTGGTTCGAAAAGATTGGAGTTCATAAACATCCTGGTTTTTCGAGGATCCTCGTTTTGTTTTGGATTTCGATAGCCGGCTTTTAAAAACGTGCAGGCAACTGGGCCGGCGTTGCCACTTTGTTCAAATAGCTGGCATCACTGGAACTTGTTCCGATTAACCAATCGCGTTCGAAATATTTTATGATACAAATAAACAAATAACAAAAATCCCGCATATACAATGACTATAAATCAAACTAGTGTGGCAATTTAAAATTTCTTTAATTTTTATCACTTTGTAACGAATATAAAAAAAAAAATTGTTTATCTAAGCTGCTCAAAAATGGTGCTGTACGAATTGTGTCTACTTAAAATCTCTTGGGTAACGATCTTTCTGTATACCTGGTAAATAGCTATTATCCTTAGTGAATATTTAAGAATTGGTGGCTCTACTATTAACGAAGGCATACATAAATAAATTTAATTTGATCCATTTCAATTGTAATTATCAGTAATTTTCTGGTTGTTAAAAATGAATTTAAATTCAAGAACATATTTTAAAAGTAGTACAAAACAATGGTTTTTTGCGATATTTATTTGTTTTAAAACGCCATTAGCTGACTGGTTCAGAACCTGCTCCTCAAAAATCGAACTAGAACGGAACCCTCAAACAATCTGGCAGCACTGACTCTGAGTGTTGGTTCTTTTTTGTGCTGGTTTACTACACAAAAGTGCTACTTGCTTGTCGCTTGGACGGCTAATAAATTGGAAGAATTTAATATCCAGCAGCCTGTCTACGGTTCGGTTCAGTGCGTCGGGCGAAAGGAACACAATTCGCATCCTGGTAACTCTGAAACCAAGTGCGGACAATCCTACGTGCGATTGCCTGTGTAGTGGTGTGCTTCGTGTGTGCGTGTGTGTTGGTTTGGTGCTGTCGTCGTAGCAAAAGAAGAAGCAGAAACAGCAGCAGAAAAGGAGCAGCAGCAGCAGCGAAGAAGAAGCGCAGGGAGTCCAGGCATTCGCCGGATCGGGAAAAGTAAAACCAGAGCCTCAGAGCTCCCAACTGAGGAACAGCTGAAGGTTAAGAAGGCAAGACACAGAATGCAACAGCAACCGGAGTCGGGCGGCGAGGAGAGCTGGCTGGAGGAGCAATGTCATCGTGAAATCCACGGACAGCACGATGAGTACGAACGGGAGTATGTGCGTCAGCGAGACAACAACCTGAGCACCGTGTGGGGAGCATTCCAGGATTCGGCCACCGCCGTCGCCCAGCTTTATAGAGGTAACGTTCCGACAGTCCGGAATTCTATGTATCGAATCTCTCCCCTTTTCCACTTCCAAGGGCGTAGGCTTCATGCTTCAACATTTTTTTTTGTTATGTTCTTTGTGTTTCCATTCGGTCATGTGTGTGATTGTGTGTGTCTGTTGATATGTGTGTGTGTGCGTGTGCAGTCTCTCTTCAAAAATAGTTTTGGGCGAGGTATTAATAGAACAGTCAGAGGAAGGAGAAGAATAATAAGAAGAAGCAGCAGCAGCCCGGCTTTCATGCAACTCCCCTCTCTCAATCGCTCTCGCTCTCCCAATCTACGCATTATCAAAATGCAGAAAAGGGCTTTTTTGTTTGTGTTGTTGGAGCGGGGCGGAGAGAGATGCAATAGAACTGCTAGCCAGAAAAAGAGAGATGGCTAGAGAGGCACGGCGACGGAGACGAAGACGACGGCAAGTGCAATGGCAGAATAGGGAGAGAAGGCAGCTCAGCAGCTGGAGGGCAGAGGCCTCAAGTATTTTCCCTAATGTTGTTGTTTGCTAGTTTCTTTACACTGTCTTCTTGTTGTTGTTGTTGATATAATTAATCAACATGTGCGTGCAGGCGAAAGTATGTGTGCGTGTGTGGGTCGAACAGCTGTTCTGCTTTCGTCATTGCGTTCGACCTGGCTAAAAAAGGGAATAACAATAATAATAGTCATGTTGTAAAGATTTGTCAGCTAAATATATTTTTTTATTGTTTTTTTTTTACACACTGCTGGTGAGTAGTATTTATGTCTTTTTTAATTTCATTGCAAATTATTTTGGGTTATGACTGAGAGTCTATTGCCATCCCACTTCCACTTGCTGCAATGGTTTCGGCTTTTTCTTGTCCTGCCTCCACTGCTTTTCGGTCGATAACGGCACAAGGGAGGTAGCCTCCTCTTCGACGGTCTGTTCTCTTTTGCTCTTCCCTTTCTTCTCTTGCTGTCGTCCTTTTTCCTCCCATGCAGCAGGTGTGTGCAGGGAGGCAGAGTGAAAGAATAATAAAAGATATGTAGAGAATGGGATAAACTAGACAAAGGCAAAAGCAAAGAGAAACGTACGATCAACATTTTGCTGTCCTGATTTTGTTTCCGATATTGCGCATTAACATTTTGTTTGCCAAGGATTTTGCTAGGTGTATTTTATAATACCGTAACTTTTCTCCTAATTTTCATTCTTATTTTGTTCTTATCAAGTCAAATTTATTTAAAATTATTGGGTTAATAACGATCCAACCCTTAAACTCAAACAATTTAAAACAATTTTCAATGAAATTTGCATCTTGTTTTTGCAGAGCGCTCATCAAACACATTTTCCTCATCAGACACAGGCGCCCTTTGGCTGCCCTTCCAAACCGCAGCTGGCACTGTGACAACTCTCTACAAAGGTAAGCTTGGCTTCACATCAATTGATATGCTGATATTTAACCGATCCGATCTCTTCCAGAATCATGTGATGGTCTCAAACGCACCAGCGACGCTGCCGTTCAGTGCGGCTACCAAAGACGCACTCGCGAGTTGGCCGATTGGGCGCGCAGCAAAAAACGCCGCATGATCCGCCGCGAGGATCTATTGGCCTATTTGGCTGGGAAACCTCTACCGCCATCCAATACAAATCCACATGCCAATCGTCGGTGAGTTGCTAAAGCCTTTCTTCACGAACAAAATGCCTCTAAAAAAATATATAAATTTTTTGTATAATTTTACTATTAGCTCACCCAAGCCGGAGCATCATCAGAGCGGAAGTGGCGGCTCCGGACTTGGATTTCACAGTTCCGGTCTGGGCTTAAACAGTGGTCCGCCATCTGTCGCTGGCGGCGTTGGTCACTTGCTATCCGCCGGCGCAGGTGGCGGCGGTCAGGCGGGAGCGGGCTGTGCTCCCGGCGGTGGAATAGGAGATGATTTGCACACCTTCAAGGAGGCCTTAGTTCTGCGTCCACGGTTAGTAATATGTATAATATGATGACTTTTTCATTGATGCATCTTTGCCTCTATTTGAAAAACGTTTAAAATATAATCAAAAAGTAATAAATACAAATGTTTCGACATTTGTTCGATTAAATCAATATTTTAGGTGTGAATGTGTTTGGAATTAATCATTTTCGTAGATCAATTAATTAGGATTTCTTGATTTATCATAATACATTACTTAATTCATATTTGTATTATCTCTTCAGCGGTCCGGAACTATTTGCATTTGTTGCCAACGAAATTGCGCGCCATTGCAAGCGTCCGGGCAGTCCCATTGACGACAAAATGGACATATGTCATTACAGCAGTAAGCGCCAGCGCTTCATGTAAACCCATCCCCACCCAGCCCCATCACAATCCCCTGTACGCACCCACAGTAAGCCAACAAACACACACACAAAGGATCTTTCCTTCTGGGATTAAGTTATATGGAAATTGAGTGAACGCTAAGAGAGATCCTTGCGGACAAAAACAAACAAAAAAATTGTATATTATCTTTGATCGTTTAACCTTTTTTTTTTTTGCTAGCCCCCAATGTAGTTATTATTCTTTTGCCCTCCCGTTCAGTCCTTTCACATGCAGCATATGTACGTAAAACACAAACACATACATACATAATGTTAAGTTACATTTAGTTCGTAGCACTTAAGTAAAAAGTATGAATTAATGCCGACTGTAGTGGTGACATGATGTTGATGTCTCGGGGATAATGCCCAAAAAGTGGGCAATATATCGCCAACTGTTGATCATAATTGTCATTGTCTTCATGCGCGGCGTAACGACAAAAAAGAAAGAAAAAAAGATATATCTGTTATAGGCCACCTGTGCGTCTGAGTTAAGATTAAGCAAAAAACTAAAGTAAATATGTTGTAAAATGCATGCCCCCCTAAGTTAGGCAAACCCACAAATATGCAGCTGTGTAAATAACAAAACTAAAAAATTTATAAAACAAGAGATGAAAAAACAAATCATGAAGCCCAAGACAGAGAAGTTCAATGTTATTATATACACACATATATATATTCATATATATATATATGCTACTTAAACCGTTTACCCGCCTCGCATTCCCATCATCCATCCTTCCATCCCGAAGATCCAAATCCTCCAGCTGAAGATGCTATATATTGTGTGTCTTTAAACCCGAAACGAAACAAAATAATTAGCCCAAAACAAGAACATAAAATTCCACCTAACAAAAATCTAAAATCGATAAAATTTCAATCCAACAAGAACAAGAAACCCATATGATGATATACAACAAAAATCTGTGGTGAGGCCGCCAACTTCTAGCTAGCCAGGTTATACCATATAAACACACCATCTATTTATACATATACCCATGTATATGAATAGTTTACGATTATATATTATCGATGATCCATACTGTTCGGTATACAAAAACATATGTAGCAAACGATCCGAATGAAATTACTAAAGCTAGTACTAGCATCGATGCAAAAATGTTGTAAGCGGAAAAGCTTTATATAAGAAAAAACGAAAATAAGAAAAACTTTCAGATTTTTCGTTCTGTTGGGTACTAAAATGAACGAAATGACGAAAATTGTAAAGTATTGCCAGGTCGAAACAACAAACAACTGTGATTTTGTAAGTTTAATACTATTTTGCACAGAACGAAGGATGGAAAATTTCAAGAATACAACTTTTTTCGCTATTCCAGATGGAAGAAAATAGGCTGGATGTAATATTTTATTCAATTTAAATTTCAAGGGACTATTTAATTTGTGTTTGAATTAGTTTCTCTTTAAAAAGTTTGTTCACAAACATTTTGGACCCTTTTCATAAACCCTTTTTCTTTAATTTCGTTATTCTCAATGGTTCCCAAACGAAAGTTATAACACTGAAAAATAAAAAAGCGATTTTGATCGATGTTAGTACTAAGCTTAAATAAAAACCGGAGTGCAAAGTCAAGCGGCAAGTCGAGAGTGGAAGAGAAAGTCCTATGAAAATATTGCGTTGTAATTACATGTACTAAAATAAAACCTAAAGAATTATAATTACAAAGAATTAAAAACAAGCAATGAGAAATTAAATATGAGAAAATCATAAAAAAAAGAACTACAAAAAACAGAAAGCAAAAATTGTAAGTTAAATAAAAACATACGAAAAAAATATTTAAACAAAATATCAAAAGAAATTGTTTTATGGGTTGGTGGGCAATTATTTGTGTATTTAAAAAGATAAATAGTATACTTTACTGCGTTATAAAAACCTGTGTGGAGGGTATTTCAAAAATGAAAAGTAATCACAATTTCACACATTGAAATTCATTGCTATTTTTATTTCGTATTTCGTATTTATATTAATTACATTTTGTATATATATTGGGTGTATATATATATATATTTATATATATAATTTTATTTCCATTTAATTTGTTTCGTTTCTTGATTTTTGTTGACTGCTCAAAGCTGGCAAATATGTTCGTTTTGAAGGTTCTTTCGGTTGAGCTACAAACAAAAATGAAGCCGCAACAAAGGGATACAAAATAAAATATATCATGTCATGTAAGTAAATAATAACTGTTAGAATACACTGCGTTTTACAATTCAAGATCTATTTTTCGGAAACCAGAAACCTTATGAGACCTGGAATATTCATTAGAGTTGAAGGTTTAAATCAAATCAAATCGATTTCAATTGAATTTGCATTAACTACAGAATCTCCAACCCACCCAGGAATGTCCTTAAATAAACACACCCTAAAACGCACTGTTTCTAGCAATTACCCATAACTATACAAGTAGGATACGCTATAGATTAAGCGATGAAAGTGTGTGCCAGTTGCAGCCCTAATTGTAAACATTTATGGAACAAATATATAGTATATGAATAACTTCTTTTTATTTGTATATATTTTTTTTGTATGTGTTGTAACTTTTTCTTTGCCCCGTTTTTGTTTTAGGTTAATCTTTTAACGGGAACAGAGAAACAAAGACACACAGTTCTCCGGTGATTTTTTGTTGGATAGAAACAAACAAGTTTAACAATTGAATTCAGAGCTAGCAAGATTTCCTTCTCTACAAGTATGTGTGTGTGGTTTATTAAATACATATGGATATTTCTTCATATTGTATATTATATATATATATATATATAATTCATTTGATTTACTTAATTGCTAAGCATGTATGTGTGTGTGTTGTAAACGAAACAAAAAAATATATATATGTATAGATAGATCTGTATTGTTTGCGGCATGCCATATACATATATAACCCATGGATCTGGTAGAATTTCAGGAGAGTGTTAACAATAAATTATAGATTGGTATGTTACGACGATAATCGATACTTTTTTTGTTTTGTTTTTGCGGAATGTCCTTTCATGTGTTGTTGCGTGAGAGAGAGAGAGATAGAGTGTAATGTGTGTAAGTACTCAAAAATTGAATAATTAATTAAAATTTTAATTCAACTCACATTAGTTTAGCTTTATAACTTGGTATTTAAACTTAATTCCCTTTCCGGTTTAGTTGCAATATCTCTCGATCTAGACTTTAACAAATTACACTTTCGAATAGTTGAATTTTTCACACTCGTTACTTTCATTTCATTTATACAAATAACAACCAGGCTAAATACATAGTTTTACTAAAAATCCCCGCCCACTGAGAACTCGGCCTCTTTTTTTTTTCTTCAACTTTCTTTTCTCCTTTCTCCATCAAATAGAGCGAGTCAAAAAGATAGAGACAGCAAGAGAGGGAGAGAGAGAGAGTGGATGGGCGAGGAAACTAATACACACTTTCAATTTAATAAAAAAAATATATAATAAAAGTTATCTTTAACGCTTGACGCTTGTCGCCGCTTCTGCTGAATGTTAATGGTTTTCTGTTGAAATTTGTATGCTTTTGGTCGTGTTTTGGAACCGAAACCGAAACAAAAATTTATATTATTATAGGCTTGCGAATCAATAGTGAATAATAAGGGAGAAAGAAATCTGGTCAACCATCTTAAACCATAATGTTGGGGTAGAAAAAAGCGCAGCAGCACCAGCAGGAGGAACAGGATGATGTATGTCTATCTAGAACTGCACCCAGTTGGCGTTGGCGTTGGCATTGGCCGCGTTCTGTTGTCCCTGGTTGCCACTGAAAGGATATGAAATATCAATAAGTATAGAAGCTTCAACGTGTAATTTTCAGACTCACCCTGCGGATGCATAATCGGTCCATTCGGATCCTCCGGCGGGTCTGTGCGCAGGCGAAACGCCCGGACTTTGCCGCACCGTCGTGGCTGCAGCGGCTGCCGGTGGTGGAGCGATCTTGCCTAAGCCACCGGGTGGTGGTGGCAACACGCCGGATGACCCCTTGTTCTTGCCGGTGCGCGAAGTGCCCTCGGAGCCGTCCTTTTTCTGCATTCCAAGAAGAGAGAGAGAAGCTTGTTAATTAAGCTCGTTAAAAAGGCAAAAAGAATTAGTCCGGCCAAGGCGAACCGATATTAACCGCAGCCAGCCAGATAATCTTGAATAAGATTACAATAGCCGGCTGCCTGTTCAAGGTTATAGAATCTTATCATTTGGGTTTTGTGCGTTGTTTTAACACCCACCGTTATTCTCATGTTGATCTTAATGGTCTCGCCCTCCTTGAATCCCAGATCAAGCTCCTGCTTGGGTTCTGTTTTCTCCTTTTCGATTTGCTCCTGATTCTTCACCCACTTAAAATGATCCTGCAGCGCCACATTCAGGTCAAAGGAGTCCGATCGATCGCCAAAGCCCAAGCCAAGGAATGCCGAGCGACCATTATCATCCTGGACGCGGATCACAAAGTACCGAGAGCTGTCGGATACCGCCTCGATGGCAACGCCGGGATATGTGTCGATGGGGCAGTTGGCAAACAGTGCGCCACTGGTCTTGTCCTCCAGCTTTAGAATGCAGGCGGTGCCTTTGGCCACCAGCCGCATTCGGCCTGTCCAGGTGGGCTCCTTTAGATTCCAATCTGCCGCTCTGCGTAAGGGAATGAATGGTGATTAGCAATTAGTTAAAGAAGTATCCATATATCGGAAAGTAATCGGTTTCAAGGGGGCACGGGCACTCTTTTATTAGTTAACCCCGCCGACACTTATGTACATATATGTGTTTATACACCTGAGCGCAGTTGACTGAGGAATAAGTAGCAGTAGCAACAACAAAAAGAAAACAAAGAAAGCATTAAAAACCAACAATTACACACACGCAGTGAAGCTTTTTTTTCGTTTTTTCTTTTTTGTTGTTTTTTTTTTTTTTTTTTTGGATACGTGTAAGGGAAAATGTACAAGAAAAACCACAAATGTTTTTATTGTTGCAGCCTGCACACACCACACAAAAAAATCAATTGGAATTGAACTTCAAAAGAACAAAAACAACAAGAAGTCGGGTGTTTTAACCTTGGTTAAAAACATAATTTATGCATACACACACGGAAACACACACACACGAGTGCAATGTGGGGGCGTCTCTCTTGCACTTGCATACGAACAACTTTGAATTTAGAATCTCTCTGGCGAAAAGTGAAAAATAAGCAGTCACTTTTTTCGTTTCGATTCGTGTCTTTTCGGGCCTTTCCCAGTGGGTTGTTGACTCACCTATAGCCTCGATTGCTGGCGCGCGGTGGTATTTTGTAGATGAACACCTCCGGCTTCACGATCAGCACACTTTCGTATTCCATCTTATTACAAATTCAACTATCTTTGATTTTGTTTATTATCTGAATTTTGCCAAGTGTTTTTTTTTTTAGCTAGAGCTTTCAAATAGTGTGACCGTGGTGGCTATTATGAAATATGCCTCGCGAGCCATCACAGCAATGGTATATTCTATATTTTTTATACTTTTTTATTATATAGCTATTATACAGGTTAAAACTAGCGAAAATAGTATATTCTTATGTTAACAAATTCTTGATTTATATAACTTGAAACAATTAAAAAGAAAAATAATGTATAAACAATTAAAAATACCAATATTTAAGTGGTGCCCATAAAATACTGTTTGCTTATCGACTGGACGGCCACACTTATCGATATACACCATCAGTCTGTTTTCGATAGGCCCGGCTATGAAGCGATTTTTAGTGTGATTTCTTAAAAAGTTTAATTAAAATGCCGCCCGGAACGCAAATAACGAGTGACAGCGACCTGGATGGAGTCCTGGAAGAGTTCAAGCAGCGCCAGGAACGTCAAGAGCGCCGCAATAGCGTTGGCTCTGCCAAATACTCCTGCAGTATTGGGAATTGTGAGGCCACCTTCAAGCGTTTGGACCAGTTGGACCGCCACGAATATCACCATACGGGAATTGTAAGCCTTTGCCAACGACTCCAAGCAATACATGTGCTTTATGCTTTAATGATTTCCCCTGCAGAAAAAGCACGCCTGCTCGCACGAAGGCTGCGACAAGACCTACTCGATCTTGACGCATTTGAAGCGCCATTTGCGGAGCACCCATGAAAGACCTGAGGCGGCGGCCCAGAAAACGGTCAAGTGCTTGCTGGAAGAGTGCGACAAGATGTTCATCTCCTTCAGCAATATGACGCGGCATATGCGCGAGGCTCACGAGAGTCCACGGGTCTATCCGTGCAGCCACTGCGACAGCAAATTCTCGCAGAAATTGAAGCTGAAACGCCACGAGATTAGGGAGCACACGCAGGACTATCCGTTTCGCTGCACCAAATGCGCCAGGGGATTCTATCAGGAGTGGCAGCGCGAGAGCCACGAGGGCAGCTGCAAGCTCTACACCTGTCCGTCCTGCCCCTTGACCTTCGACAAGTGGTCGTTGTACACCAAGCATTGCAAGGACACGCAGCACGGCAAGAATCGACATCGGTGCGAGCATTGTGGCACCTGCTACAGCAAGCCCAGCGATCTGAAGCAGCACATCGAGGCCAAGCACAAGGATTCGGAGGCGAGCTTCACCTGTACCGAGAAGGGATGCAACAAGACCTATTCCTACGAAAGGAATCTCCGCCAGCATGTGCTGTCTGCCCATACGGGCAGGCGTTTCGAGTGTCAGGCGATTGATTGCGGACGCTGCTTCAGCAGTGCCCAAAATCTGGCTAAGCATGTGGTCAGGGACCACAAGAATGCCAAGGGTAAGACGGACGAAGATCAGGATGCTGAAGAGAAGCAATCCAAAACGAAGGAAAGCGCCAAAGACAAAAAATCCAAGTCTCGAAAGCGACGTCGCGATGCTGGCCGCAGCAAACAGTCCCGACTGTCCAAGCTGGCCTGCCTTCAACTCAAGGATAAGGCTGAAGAGGAGGCGGTAAGGGAGCGTGAGCCGTTGGCACTGGAAAAGGTCACCCAGTCGCTGGAAACTGATCCCGTCGAGGAGTTGCTGGCACAGACTCTGCAGGACGAAGAGGAACTGGAGTAAAAAAAAGACAAAAACATTCTTGTAACCTTAACCAAAACCAGCAGAAAAGGAAGTGGAAATAATATCTCATGTAGAAGTAGAAGTCGAAACAAGACCCAAGGCAAACTCTGTACAAAAAACGAATAGTCCTTAAAAACAAAGGCCAATACATAGAAATTATCTTGCTTTTACTTTTAGAAGCCATGTACAAGCTACAAAAACCTATTTTCTTAATGAAAATAAACTAGGACAAGTTTCTCTACTCCTTAAATTATAAATAAAAACCTGCTTTTATATAAATATAAAACCAAACATTCCAATTAGTTGTATAGTTTCTCTGGTTTCTGTTTTATTAAACAAATTTCTAAAAACAATATGTGTGGGATGGCCGAAAGACAGTAAGGAAAGGGAGCAGTACAGTGGAAGTTGGATTGGCTGGACTTGGGCGACTTAGCGAGCGGAACTAGAGCGAGTTGATGATCTTCCGGCTGCGCATTTGCTCCAGCCAGTGCTCGTATTGCTGTTCCGGTGTCTGTGGCTCCTGGTAATAGTGCTTTGGCGGCTCGCCCTCCTCCAGTCTCACAAAATAGTGACAGTGCTTGTACTCCACGTGACCGAAACGACCACGGGCATGCCGCCGCATTCCCTTGAAGACGCGTCCCTTGCCCACGAAGGACTCGGCTAAAAAACAGGTAACACTCATAGGTTAGCTTCACATTGGTATGTAATGATTCAAATGAACTCTCACCTATCCACAGATTGCTTTTGTACTCAACGTTGTGACGCTGCACGGCCATTTCCTGGGCCTCCAGTATGGTCTCCTTCACGTCGGTCGCCCCCTTCTTGAGCACGAAATTGAGTTGCTTTAAGGCCTCGTCGACAGACATACCCCGGACAAAGGCGGCGATGTACCACATCTTGTCCGGACTGTATTTAATATTGGAGCGCATATGGCAGACGTACTGAAAGGAGACCGTATTAGGATAGGATAATCGCTGGGTATTCGTATAGCTTACAGCCTTCCGTGGCTCCTCGTCGGTTTCCTGCGGCGGATGCACTGTTTTGTTGTATTCCAGCCACTTGCGCGGCCCATAGTTGTGTTTATTCCATTTGGCACACAGAAAACCGCCCGCAGCTCCCGTGTGAATGGATTTCTGATTGAAAGCAGGTGGCGACGATAGCTGGCTTAGCATGGGCGCTGGTGTTTCTCCTGTTTTGAGCAGCGCCGCTCCTTGCAGCGGCTGCAAACGCAGCTGCGTCATCTGCCGGATAACCTTGTGCATCTTTCGGACCGGTTTGTTCGTTGGATTCCTCTCAAGAAATCAGGGGGATTCAATGGGGGATACGCAGACCTTCTTTTTTTTGGTCGCGTAATCTGGCAGCCAGTGTGGCCGTTGTTCGAAGACACAAAATACCAAGGGACTCGAAGCGCCAGCTGTTGAGCTGAACCTGTTCAGTATTTTTTAAATAAAATTAATTAAATTTAATTAAATTAAGAACAAAATAAAAATAAATACAAATAAAATATTAAAATTTAAGAAATTCAGAATCTGGGCACTCAGTGGCTTGAATTTTGAAATAAACTTTTTGTAAAGGAAAAAAACTTATAAAATACTATATTTATTATTTTATTAAACATTAAACCTAAAAATGTAGATAACTGCGCTAGTTAGTTATTATTATTCTTCATTTTATTTAATTTCTTAGGCTTAAATAATTATGAAAAAAAACGACTTAATATTGCCTTATAGCAATTATTTTATACAAAATATATTTTAAAGTATATGCAAATTGCGAAATTGTAAACATTTAAATTAATTAAAAAAAATATAATATTATTATAATAATAATATTATAAATTTTAATATTATAAATAATACAATAAACAAACTCCTTGCCGCCCTCATTCAACCACAACGCCGAAAAAACGGAATAACGAGCTGCCAGCCGAATGTATCTCATGGATTGCCTGCAATCCGCCACTCGTTCGCGTACAGCGAAACACATCAGATGGTCGTCGTGCGGAGCGCGAGCCAAATTCGAATCAAGTCGAGAGCGCCCGAATTCAAAGATTTAAATAACCGATCGTGTGCATATGCAAATGTAATTTGGTAATTAAAATGCGAAAAGCGAAGCTATTTTTGTGCGATTCTGTTCATTTGTTTGTTTGTTTGTTGGTGTGTCGGAAACGTCAGTGGATTTGTTTGTTTTTACGTGGCATTGCTCAGTCTCAGATAGCCGGCAAATTGCAATAATATAAAAAAAAATTCGACCAAAATTAAACGGACCTATGAGCAAATTTAATTCCAAATTCCATGTGGTGTTCTATATATTTCTTGTTGTTGTAAGGAAAGGCTACGGAATTTTGAGGAGTTTTTATATGGTTTTTGAAATTCAAAAAAAAAAGTTTATTTGATAAAATAATAATAAATAAAAGAAATTTCATAGATCCCTATAAAAAATATCAAGCTTATCCAAAAACATTTACTTTAAACATTTAAAGACTAAAACATAAATTTGTTTTTATAAAAAACTAAAAACTAAAATAATTGCCTATTCAATTTAAAAAAAAGTTATTGAAAGAATTTAAAAAACAAAAGTAAAATTAATTCCGTTTTAATTTTAAAATTTTGAAATATATATCTTATAAATTGAAGTAAATTTTTAAATAAATTGTAGTTGAACAGCCCAATATCCGTTTCGATCAATATCTTGTATATTTTTAATATCAAGCATCAGGCCGAAACTGGTATACCCTTCAAGTTTCAATTTCGTTGAGCTTCAAAATTGTATAAATAAATGAATAAAAGTAAAAACAAATTAAGCCTGAGCAGGAAATATATTAAAACTACATATATATATATTCGTGCCAAAGTAAAGTTTCTGCTTTGCAAGTCAACCAGAAATAAGACCCATCAAGTGTATAGAAAATGAGATCTGTGCAGTCTCATTTATGCAGCGATGCTTCCCACGCAACACCTTTAAGTCCGTTTCCTTTTTTTTTTTTTTTTTTGTCGCGAGTGGGAAGCCCAAACATAGATAATGAAAATATATAAACTTTGCTATCATTTTGGCCGTTAGAGAGCTTTGAGATTGCGTCTCTCCGCTGGTGCCGTGTCTCTCACCTGTGTAGGCGATCTGGCTGGCTCAGCGCTGATGCCTCTATGTATCTGTCTGCCTCTGAGATGTATCTAACAGATAGTTTTTCGCTCGCGTAGTCGGTGTCTAAATGCTGCGGCGTTCACTGCTAAGGTACGAGCTCGAGCACGAGCTAACTAGCTGAAATAAAAACTAATTAACAACTAGACGAGTTGCGATAAATACAAATAAATAAATAAAGAACGCGGCGTGATTAACACAATTTTTTGTTCGAGTGAAGAAAAAACCAGTGCACAAATAATAATAATAATAATATAAATAAATCAAATAAATACTCAGATCAAAGACAAATACATATATGCAAAATCAATAAAGTGACTCAATATGCAGCTTTAACCTTCGTGCAAGTGCTATCTCAGCTAGGTTTTGGCCAGTGTAGGCAAAAGATCTCTATATGCACGTCTCTCTATATATGTATATAAATATATATATATATAGATATACACCTAGTTATAGGCGGTGCTGGGCGTAGCTCGCAGCATCAGTATCCAACTTTTCAATTTATTTTTAGACAAATGATGTTTTTTTCTGCTGCTGATGTGTTTTTTTTTTGGTTTTCGTATCTGCACCATCTGTCTTTTTCCGTTCTGGTAGAAACTCCAGTACAGATTTTAAGCTAATAGCTGAATTATTATCCTAAATAAGCATAGGGACATGGGACTTGGTTATAAAAAAAATCTAAGACCAATTTAACAATGATTTCATTTCAAAGCCAGTCCAGATTTAAATGCAAATTGTTTGGCGGCTAAGAATTTCTCTCAATTTCTTTTCATTTCTTTCAATTTCTCCAGTTCCCCGTCTTTATGCAAATTTGCAACTAGCAAACTATCGGCTTACAAATGAGTTTTTTTTAGAATAAATTTCGAATTTTAGTTTTCTTTTTCTTTGCAATTTGTGGCCTACACACTTTTAACGGTCGCCTGGGCATTGTAAATGCAGCTCATGTGATCAATTGTTGAATATATACATATACTATATTCCCACACCATATGGCGTTCGTTCTACAATCATTTTTTAATTATTTATTTCTATGAATGACAGGGGCGACCGAGTCTATCAATGAACTCGTGTGGCGCCCATACACTTGCCGGAAAAACTATACAGTATATGAACGGAGAGCGGAAAATGAAAATGTGTCAAATGTCACCTGCACTTAAACATAAACGCCCACGCCGTTGCTGCCTACGACTTGTTTTTTATAATTTTTGTTTATTTTTTTTACTCATTGAAAATGCAAGGCAAGGGAATCTTGGTCACACTAGCAGAAAAATAACGAGACATGTTTTATCATGAATGCCTAGAAGAAATTTAATTAAAATTAAAAATTATTAAATGGGAGAGTTAATACCAAGGACCTGTGGTTTCCAGTCAAATCGTTTCCTAATTCTTTATTTATTTTAATTTAATTTAATTGATTATTTTAAATATTAATATTGATCCTCAAAATTCATATATCTGAATTTCTTGTTACTTTTATTGATCTTGACATGAAACACTTTTATTTCTTAACTTATTTCCCGTGTGTTGGTGTGTGTGGGAAGGGCTGTCCGTCTGGTTTTGTGGCCTGTCCGTTATTTGGACGTTTTTCGAACAACCTGTTTTTTTTTTTTGGCGGCCCATTACGTCATTGAAATGAGATGCTGAACCGAGTAAGAACGCCAAAAAGCTTAAACGCAAACACACACACTCGCAGAAGAAACCGTCAAAATGCTAAAGAGACAACAAATCTGATTTCAAAACTGATTTGCCAAAACAAACAAACGACTAAATGTTACCCATGTTTAACCAAGAAACTGAAGAAAATATTTATTAGAAAAGTGAAAATGTGCATTAAAAAACTAAAGCAAAGCAAATATATTTTAAAGTTCCTTTAAAAACAAATACAAAACCGTTAAAAAACCAATTTAAAGTGAATCTAAACTTATAGAATGTTAAAAAAAAAACATGTGTGGATGACATAAGTTTCTTTTCTTTTTTTTTGCCATTGAAAAGCCTCGCAGAGTTGTGAAAATAAATGGAAAAGTGTAATAAAGACCAATTTGGTATATCGTAATTGCCTCGATATCCGACCAGCCCTAACCACCCCGCCCACCTAGGCGGCGGTGGCTCAAGGCCGCAAGATTTCGTCGCTGAGATAGAGGAGATATAGAGAGACAACACACACATGCACACTTTTGAGATCGGAGAACTGAGAGTTGAGAGCTGCTGCTGCTCTTTGCTGAGTTGAAGAATATTTGTTTTTATTGTTTTTTTTCCACACTGATTTTTGTGCTCAAGCTTTTTTCGGCCAAGGTTGGATTTTTATAAGAAAAATAAAGCTTGACGCCGCCGCCGTGTGTATATATTTTGACCATATGTTATAGTAATATTCTCGGTCCCGAATCGACAGCTGTGAAGATGCAAGCGTGAAATAGCCCGAGTTTCTTGATGCAAGCCCCACGAAAGCGAAACAATCGAAAGTTTAATTAGAAAAGAACTCAACGCGAAAAAAAGCAAACTAATTCAGACAAGGACAAGCATGGACCTGTCCTGGCTGCTGCTGCTAATCGCCGCCCTCTCCACCACCCATGGCTACAACATCGATCTGCCCAGTTATGTTCGCTTCCGGCAGGCCACCAATTCCATGTTCGGATTCAGCATTGCGATGCACAAGGGACGCAGCAATTTCTTCAGCAATCAGAACAAGTGAGTCAAAAGTATAATTCATATTTTTTTTTAAGAGTATAAAACCCGAACATTATCGGGTTCATAAGAAATTTACCCAAAATGTTGGGGAAATGCTCAGGCTGCACTCATTTCCCTTTCGGCTCGTCGTCATTGCTGCATTATGGCATTATCGCACAGACTCGCCAGAAATATTTATCTTGCACTGAGAGAAATGAAAGTGATTGGGAAAATATATAAATATAATATAATGTAATATATATATATTATTATATATATTTATATAAATATATGAAAATATGCAATAAATAAAAAGATTATTTAAAACCATCAGAAAACACTTAAAGATATTGTCAAAACCAAGAAGCATGATTGATAAGGGAAGTGTTTGGAAATACATATAAATATAATATAATCTAAATATATATAAATATTGATTAAAGAAACGGCCATAAAACCATCAGAAAATACTGAAAGATCTTTTTAAACCCAAGAAGCAGACTCTTCTTTGGCTTTACTTTTAATTTTTATTATTTAATATTTATAATTTTTTGTTTTTATAAAATACCCAAGTATTTTCTTTTATGAAACTTTCTTAAATTATCTTTTAATAAACAAACTCAATTCTTTTGCTGTAAGATTGTACAAAGAGAAAGTTACCGATCTCTGCCCTTTTACAGATAATAATTTGTATAATTAAATGTATAAATTAAATATTTATGTATATACATGTATGTATGTATATATATTTCTTTATTTATAACATAACTTATATCTCAGGGGAACGCAGATAGCTTAAGAATTTCATAGATTGCTCAATTTTTAAGAAACTATTCCCTAGAGTATACATTTTGAAGAAGTTTGAGTGTTTGTAGTTAAGCGATAAATCTTGGCTCTTAACATTAAACTTTGCTTTTCTTAAAACTGACAAGCTCAACAAAAAAAAAATGTATACACAAATATAATGTAAAATTCAAAGAAAATATCTTCTATCTAACTTTAAATTATATTTTTTTTTCCAAATATAAACTTTCTGCTTTTAAAAAGCCTTAATTTGTGGTTTCTTCATTTAAGTTTGGTTAGTTTTTAAAATATTTGGTTGTATTCTAATATATTTTAACACAAATTAACTTATATTAAACTTATTTTCATATTCTCTAATCAACTTGTTAGATTATCAATTTATTAAAATTTTTTTGAAATACTTTCTGCTTTTTACAAAATTGATTTAAATGCCAAAGAAGACTTTAGTCTCTTGGTTTGCCATACAGCTGGCTAGATAGAGACTCTCGTCTTGTGCAGAGCCCGTCAATTCCGGCGATAATGCGGTGACATTATAATCTCCCCAGAGATTCTAGCTATCTGCACTATGCTCTCGTGCTGGGAGCTGCTGCCGCTGATGGCACTTCCCCTATCCCAACGAGCGTGTAAATATGCATTCAGAATGCTAAACGCCATTAATTTCAATCTGCCGAAGATAACGGAGGCCCGTCTGCAGATTGTGGCTGCAATTGGAGGAGATTCATTGATAAATTTACGAGTTTCTACATCATATATAAAAATGTGTGGAACACTTTAGACTTTCAGCTTGATAGTTTATTGGACATTTTCGAGTAAGTTGGGGTCCTGACCCCCAAAGGAAAATGGCAAAGAAAAACTAAAAGGAGGGAGGGAAGGGGGAAATATATTGCCCCAGTCCAGGCCTCACCCAACACTTTCCAATAGTATTTCATGTGAACGGCTCTCGGTTCGTTCAATATTCTGATCGATAGCCTCTGTGAACCCGAAAGGCTCAGGCTCGGTCCCTGTCTCAGTCTCAGCTCGCTGAAGCGTGTTAATCAGTATAGTCTCAGTCTTAGTCTCAGCTCTACACTTGGAGAAAACTATTACACTTTTAATAAGGCAAAAATTTGGCTAGAAAAGAGCTCAGATTTATGACAAAAACTAAGGAAAACTCAACACAAGTCACTTAAAATATGTAACTTTTTAGAGAAATGTTAAGGGAAAGCTTAAGCAATGTTTAAGAAATATTTACTATATTATTATACCTACATATTAACTTTCAGTGTAGCATAGTACTTGAAATTAGATTTTTCGCACGTCTGCTGGATGGTCAAAAAAGCTGGTGTGGTTCGTATGGGACGATGAGGTCGTAGCTAGAAGATACTCGATAGAGAGAGTGCCCGTCGAGGGTATCGGAGCAACAGCATCTGGCCGCTAGGTGTGTGAATGGCCTTTGGGTCGTCGTTTGCACTTCTTACTCTTGGCTGCTCCCAGTCGTAATCCATATACACACACACACAGCACACACTGTCCCCCCAGTCCACACTCTAAGATACAGATACGAAGCGCGCGCTAAGTGCACTTTAAAAGCAACGAAAATTATTTAAATGCAGCGTTAAAAATGTTTACAATTCAATAAACAGGCGCAAACATACAGTCAGAAGTATAAGAATAAAGAAGATCTTTGGCCAGAAGATACAAAGATACACATAAGATCTTCGGCCAGAAGATACAAAGATACACAGTGAAAGGTAAAAATATTTATACATATGCCAGCGAACAATAAAAGTTAGCATCACGCGACTTATAGCCCAAGTTGCTTGTAAACTCTGCGTCGTATCTGAGAAGTACTATATGTATCTCACAGAATGTATCTTTTCTGAGAGTAAAGAAAACTACAGACAGAGAGAGATGCACCGAGCTTAGGGCTTACATAAACCACGTGTTTTGTCAAACTATGTGACATTATTATAGGCCCTAATAAGTCTATATATAGTTTATTACCGACTCAACCTTGATAGCATTATCTCCAAGCGTACTTTCAATACCAAAAAAGCTTTATATACTATAAGTAATATAAAATATTCATATAAATGTGTACAAAATTAATGGAAAAACTGTGAGGTACTCAAGTCTGAGTTGTTTGCTGTTGAGTTAAAAGCTTGAAATTACCTGAAACCATTCTGCAGCCACAAAAGAGATAATTGTGTGTTGACAAAAACAATCTGAGGCAAGTCGGCGGGGTTTGCGGGGTCTTTGCTAAGTAACTAGTTGTGGTTATTGTCTATAAGGCAGTTTATGTGGTTTGCCCTGAGAGCAAAGAGCCAGCAATTAATACAGCATCCGTGTATCTGTATCTGCAGACGACGACGAGGCTTTTGTGTTACCAATGCCGCCTCCGATTTGCTTGCCTTGTATCTGTATCTCATGCTATAGTCGCACCTGTATATCTGTGTATCTGCAACTCTCCGTTTGACATACTTAGCTTGAGCTATTTACGGGCCAAGTGGAGTGTGTCCAAGCCAAGCCAAGCCAAGGTTGTCGCAGCTTCACCCAATTGGCCAAATAAAGTCGTTAGTCCGTTATCCAAGTTCAGGTTTCCTTATATACGCATCTTACTCTCTCATTAGCTGCCCGGCCAGACTGACCCCGTTCCCCCTGAGCTCTCTGCCTGCTTTTGGGCTTGCACACAGATCCTTTAATGTAGCCAGTATCTGGTAGCCAGTATCTAGTATCTAGTTCAGCCTCATTATCTCTCACCAACCGTAGTTGATAAGCACATTCTGGGAGTTACAGAATTGGTAATCTCTAAGATACCAAGTAGTTTACCCGAAACTCGGCATCTTCCCCTTGAAATACTTTTTATTTTTAGATACATTTCTGGCCCACCTACGTTGAGAAGGAGCTCCTCGCTCATTAGGTCCGTCTGTTCTTGCAGCATACACTAGGTTCTCTGGGTCTCCATTAAGTGGGTTGCCTAGGCCTGGGCAATCCATCTATTGCATAAACTATTGTCAGCTGCAGCTGTGCCACCGCCACCGCCACCGCCACCGCCACCGCCGCAGCGGCAGTGCAATGAGATCGTGTCGAGCGTTTATCCATCGACCGATGGTCGGTCTGCCTTTTGTTGTGGTTATGAAATGGCAAAAAAATAAATAAGAAAAAAAAAAAACTAGCGGCGGCAGACAATGAGAAATGTAATTGATTTCAAATATTTCTGCGGTACGTACACGGTAAAAAAATAAGGCATCATTTGTAATACATACATAATTATACTAAACATATAAATTATAAAAGGATAAGCGAAATTATCTGAATTTTAAATGTATTTGCTTAATAATTCCCAACTGGTTCTAGCTCTAACTTACTAATATTCAGGCTGAAAGTTGAGGGTTGGTCAGTGATGAGTAAGAGACCTTTTTAAATGTATTAAAATCGTATGTAAGTTCATTTCAAATGTGTTAAATGCTTAAAATATCAGAAAATTATTTACTATTTATTTTTATTAAAAATACTTTCTAACATATTAGTGTTCTTCTCACAGTGCCCACTCTAAGTTTTTGTTTGGTTTTCGGCCGTTGGTCGCCTTAATTGCCGCTTGATTGCGGACTCCCAGCAAAGATAGACATCAGAGATCGTCCATCAACGATTAGCGATCGTCGATCAGCGATCTCTGATCACAACTACCGATCAGCTGGCGTGCAGGGCCTGCAGGCAAACGGAAGTGTCAATGTGTTAAAAAAAAAAAAAAGGGCAGAAAAACCACACACGCCCAAACAATAGAGGGATAGAGAGTCAGGGACTTAAAACACATTTAGGTAAATGGTACGGGGAAAATGGTAATGGAAAATGCGGACAAACAGCGTCGTCCATGCCTGTCACGTGTGCCCCACGAAGGTTCTCTTTATTTTACCCGACCTCCGGGGAAAATATCGGTAGGCGCACACACATGTTTAGCGCCGACACGCCCTCGCCATCGCCCACTTTTCCAGCATTATTCTGCACTTTCCCAGTCGATCTCTCTTACCCTCATGCATATGTGTACATATAGCATGGAGATCCGATCCGATTCGATTCGAAGCGATCTCCTTGGTTCCCTGCAAGTGAGTTAAACACACAATATATATATTTATAAATAAATATATGTATATGTATATTATACCTACCCCTTTGCTTTCGTTTTCTAAAAGGTTTTTGGGACAGTGTCTGTTGAAAGTCTCTGCTCGAGAGCGTCGGCTCCAGCGGAAGTTGGGTTCAAAGTTCTTGCAACAACAAAGGCTGAGGTTCTGGAGAAATTCAAATGATTTGTAACACATTCAATATTTATATATTGCTTGTTTTTGTTTAAATTTATTTATGAATTTATTTGCTTATCTTAGATAAAAAATAAATAATATTAAAAAATATTAACAAACAATGTCATTAAAAATCTTTTTAATTTTCCCACACTCATAAAAATACTTTTATTTTTTTTAAGAAAAGTGACCCCAAAACTAAAAAAAAAATTATTCTAAAATGAAGAAAAAGTTTCCATTAATTAATATTAATATATTTCAATGATAATAAATTTTAATATTTATATATTTAGGGATAAGTTTACCATTTTTTTAAATTTAGTGCGTTTTTTTTTTGGCTTTAGGCTTTGTTTAGGTCTTTTTTAATTTTTAAAAAGAAAATTTTTCATGAAAAAAACAATATTTTGCACTTGTGCACATATAATTCCCCACTGGTTCTAACATTCTTGGAATGAAGACTCTTGCCGGCCTTCGGTATATACCTGTTTGTGCTGTTGCAAGTGCAAGTGCTATTAAACATGTGCTTAGACATTTATATCCTTTAGTTTAGTTGGTCCGTTTTATATATAAATATACTAGTAAATAAAAAGTAAAAAAAAGTTTTCTACCTCTTTGATTTATTTCTTTATAATTGATAAACTTTAAAGTGACTTTTTCAATGCTATAGTAATTTTTTTTTAATTATGTGGAATATATATATATTTTTTAATGTCGATAAATCCCTGTCTGTACTTTTCCCACCGACACTGTGGAGTGTCAGTTCAGGCAGGAAGCATGGGTTTGCGCATGCGCAGCCTCTCACCCACGTCACATCGACATTCGGGGGGAACTGGGACAGGGAATTGGAACTGGATACTTGGAGTGGGACTAGAAATTGCACTGGGGACCTGGAAAACAAATACAAAGATAGTGTGTGTGTGTGTGTTTGTGTGCCTGAGCACTCGTGCCTGTCACATCCTGCGAGCATGTGTTCGGAAGTCGGACTCAGGGCTCAGGGGCTCAGGCACCAAAGCAATTTTCGACACAAAAATGTTATTTTTAAAACATTATTTTTATTGCCACAGCGGCTGCTGCACGCGACGACGCTCGGAGTCGGAGTCGAAGTCGAAGCCAAAGACTGGGCAATACTCAATTTAGCATTCAAGGCGCGATCATGCCGAGTCCTCTCCTATTTTATTGTTTTCTGGCCTTCGTTCCCTTGAATTACAGGGCCTGGTTCTTGATTTCAAAGTGAGACATGTGTGTGGAAAATTGGTTTTCAATCTATACATACGTACGTATGTATGTACTTCCTTCCAAATTGATACATTGACCTGTGACGGAATATTCAAAATGAAATAAAAAAACATTTCAACATATTTTCACTCTTTTTTTTTTCAATTGACTCGCATTGATTTTGATTATTCTCTCAGTGAATGAATCGATCGGTTTGTGTTTGTTTGATCTTTTCACGGTCCACTGGCCCTCGAATAATAACGCATTCTAGGCGCTTGACGCGTGCTCTTCAATTTACGAATACAAATAAATTACGTAAGCCTCGGTTTGAATCTCTGAATTACCTCAACTAAAGGCATACATATATGATTAAGAAATAATTTGCATTCTTGGAAAATCTTTTGGGAATGAGTCAAGTAAACAAAAATATATGAATCAATGGGAAAAGAATGGTCTCCATTGATTCATTATTATTATTATCAATATTCACTCCACTCATTCGCAGAAAAGCAAGAGAAAATGCAATGAGTAGGCGGAGAATTTCTCACTTGGACCAGTTTCTTTGTATCTGTGTGTATTTGCCCATAAATTAATATTAATTGTTTACCCGCAAGAGAATGATCGAATCGAGTTTCTGAATGTTATTCAATGAATGCCAATGATGTCAGCTTTTTAGCGCAAAAAAAAAGAGACGCAGCTTCAGTGAAAAATAGAGCTTACGGTGCTTTAAGTAGTAAAAATAAAAGAGCTTTTTGTAATAGCCTATAACTGGCATAACTTGAGTTTCGTCTCCCCCGCCTCTGTATTTGTATATTTAAAAAAATATATATATTTACTTGATGCATACCAAATGGTCGTCGAATCGCAAGCTTGCGATCATTAGAAGGCCCGCTTCATTCATTTTTTTTATAGTGATCCGACCCGCCCAGTTCTTAGTTTTTTTAAGAGACACTGAGATAATAATAATAATAATTTAAATAAAGTCTAAGAAAAAATACATATAAATCAATTTTAAGAAATAAATACCACAAATAAATACAACTAAATAAATTTTAAAGTTTATTTTGTTCTTATTTTTTAAAAGCATTGCTTATTTTTTAAGGTGTTTCCATTCATAGGATATTCAGTTTGCAATCTTTTTCGCTTTTTTCTGTATTTTTTTGTTGTTGTTGTTTCGAGTCGCTCCCTCTCGAGTTTCACGCATATGTGCGATTTTTGCTTTAGTGAAGCGTCAAATTGTTGCATGTGGGTTGCTGTAGTGCAGGTCGTCCAAACGGGGGAGGATCTCGGCCAAAAAGGGGGTTACAAATGGGTCGGAGGAGGGCTCTTCTTTTAATCAACTCTGAAGTGTTTGATTTGGAAACGTTTGCGGCGGCGGCATATTGCCCTGAATGGCATTCATCTGTAGATGTCCAGAGAGAGAAAAGGAGTCTGAAAACAAATATAAAAATATGGGAGGAAAAAAGGTTTAAAAAAGGTTAAAAAATATATCCAAAATACATCAAAGTACTTTAAAATATCTATAATTTGCTTAACTGAACAATATGATTAAAACAAAAAGGGTTAGTTAAACCAGTATCTAGATTTAAAGAGGTCTTTAATATTACTTTTCTTACATAAATAAACATAAAATATATAAATAAAATATATATGACATATACTTTGTTTGGTAAATTATAAAAAATTTTCGAAAACCCTGAGAAATAGAGGCACAGCTAATTCAAGAACTCAAAGTTTGACTATGATATAAATTCTAACAAATTTCCCAGGCTCTATTTCTATGCTTTTTGAAGACTTTTTCCTCAGTGCACACATTCACTTTCCGTTTGATTATTTTCAATTTAAATGAAGGCCCATTTAGTGCACCCTAGGGTTAAAGCCGACCGTAAGACTGAATGACTGAAAGACCGAACCGGGCACCCATTCGCCGGCACTTCCGCATTCAAAAGCCATTCAACGACAGCTGTCGATGTGCGTGCGCCGTGATGAACTGCTGCCAGGCCGGACCTAGGGCACCACTAGAACCATCAGTAAAGCACCAGAACATGACTCCCAAAGACTCTCAGAAGAGAAGAGGGAGAGGGAGAGGATCTCGAGCCAGGGTGCGGGTAGAATACCAGAGGGTTGCCGATCAAATTAGGGAAGTTTATTACGGAAATGTACGTATTTCAAGATATCCTCGTTTCGAGTGTTCAAGGAAGGGTATTAGTCTTAAAATAATGACAACAAATGATGGTTAATAAGGGCTAAGCAATGATATTGCAAATTTTTGATTGTTTTAATTGAAATCTCACACGTTTGCACATATGATTCCCAACTGGTTCTAACTGTTTAAGCAGTGGTAAGCACAGATTGATACATGTTTGTGCTGTTACTTAAGTGCTATTACATAGTTAAATATATAACTCAATGTTTTCTTAAATCAAGGAAATTTTGTTCCATAATCCTAAAACTAATTAAATCTTTGTAAAGATGAGAAAAATTCACCTTTCATTTAAGGCAAGTCGTCCGAAATCCCTTATTTCTAATAATTAGCACCTAATTATACATCCAAAAACTGTCTTTTTATGGTTAACATTTTTTATGAGTGTACTAATATTTCATAAAATTGTTGTATCTTTCAGCTGCAGCCTGATTGTTGGGGCCCCACAGTTCGACACCTCCCGTTACCAGCCAGGTGTGGAGGTGGGCGGCGGCGTCTTCAAGTGCAGCATGAACGATGATGACTGCAAACTGGTGACATTCGATTCCAAAGGTAATTCTTTTCTTGATTTCTTTCTTTTTAAGACACTTTGCCGGGGTGTTTCTCCTGAGAACTCAGGCGCCAGTTGAAGGGGTCTTGGCGCCAGAGAGAGAATCACAAATTGCAATTAGTTTATTTATGGCCTACACGCAGGCGCAACTCTTTAGTATGCAAAATGCAAAGAATTCACAACGTGCAGCCAAGGCAGCAACTAAATGGGAATAGCTAAAGATATATATAAAGATATATATATATATATAACTATATATAATAAAGTAGAGAGTATATTTTTAGACTGTAACATCCTGGGCATAAAACGGAAATGATCAACTCGCTCCCAACTTCCTCTGAGGTACTTAGCATATTTTTTCCATTAACTGTTGCGCCTTGCCTTGCATTGTGTGTGCAATTTGTGGAGTTGCAACAAAGATTGGGGACGTAAATATATACACACATGTGTGCAAAAAAAAAAAAAAAATAGGGGGGAAAAAGTTATTGACACGTGCCTGTGTCAGACTGCCTTAATGGCTGATAATGTGTCCTGGGTGTGGGGCTTCTCTCCGTTTCACTAAAATAATGCATAAATTTTCTGCTCAAACTCATGCTGGGCTAACCAAATATGTACGACAAAAAAAAAAAAAGGAGTCAACAGGTGCTTCATACAGCTCGCAGGTTCGTTTCTTCACTCGTCACTCGTTGTGGGCACTCGTCATCACAGTGATTCATCTCGTTTTCGTTATGATTCAGCCACTAGAGATACCTACATCATGCACCCATTCATGGCTAAATTTGTTTAAATAATCACCAAATTATTTAGATTTTTTTTGTTGGCGCTGCCTGAATGATTGATTTACTACAATTTTTAAACAACTTTTATTCGTAAAAAAAATTAAAAAAAGAAATATTAAAATTTTTAAGTAAACATTTTAGTCATCCCTTGATTCAGTCAGTAATTCGCAGAATTTTTATTAACAAAACGAAAGGTCTAAGCAAATATAAGTGGCATTCATTAGGTATGAGTTGTTACTTACTCATTTCAGATTTAAATTTGTACTTTTAGTATACCCCTTTGAGGGCCTTGTAGTATTTTATTTGAACAAGAAATAGAATACAATTTTAATAACAATTTATAATAATAATTTAGATTATTTGGCCCATCCATCACCTTGAACTCAGGCTGAGTCTTTGTATATTTGATGGATTTATTCGCTGTTCGTTCATCCCTCATTAGGCCACCGAATAAATTTGTACAGCCTGCACAACACAGCAATGCTATATCCTATATACTATCCCCTATTGCAATTCCACCTCGCTTTACCCCCGAAAATTGTGTCATAAATCACCGACCGAGCAAAAAGGAAGTGACCATCATCATTATCCACATCGTTGTTGTTGCTGTTGTTGTTGCTGTTCTCAAGTGTTTGATGTTCTCAGTGTAGCTTAATGAGTTTGCTTTTCATTTCTTTTCTTTCCTTTTCTCCCTCTTAAAAATACATATTAATTTCAGTAAATTGTTCATTTCCGTCCACAATTTTTGCCAGAATTATATCGGAGCCTCGCGATTTCTACTCTTTATTCGTATTCTTATTTTTTCCCTTTATATATATATATTTTTTTTTTATGGCTTTGATAATTTAATTTTTTTTAATCCAAAATGTCATTTATTTGTTTGCCAAGCTAATTATATTATTTTTTCTTCTTCTTCTTCCTAAAAAAAAAAAACTAGGTAACAATCGGAATAGCGACCATCAGATTGTGGACAGAAAATCCCATCAATGGCTAGGAGCTACGGTGGCCACAGGACGCGATAATGATATGGTTGTGGTAAGTCAGTAACTTAAATATATATTTGAAGGGATTTTTTACATTAAATTTAGGAAAATATTATACAGATTATATTATAAGTTGAGTTATAAACTCAATTTTTTCTTATCCCTAATTTCAATATTGAATTCTTATTTATGAAGCAACAATATAAAAGTATTATTTACATGAAATTTAAGGACACTTTTGAATTTTAGATTATTCTGTTTTATATATCTATTATTAAAGGGGATATTTTCTTGACAACTTAAATTCTTTCCATGCCTAATTTCAATAAGAATATTTCCATTTAGTAATCAAGAATTAACGTCCCTTTTTTATGAGCAATCAAACTATACTTTGAAGGAATTATAAGACATTTTATAGTTTAATTTTAACCCTCAAAAGTATAAAAAAAACTCTCCCAAAGGACTGCTTAATTTCCTCAAGTCAAAAACCAAATTTTCCTGCTTTTATCACGGTCTTTTAAGACCTTCAGCCCCCCTTTTGGGGGGTATAATTCTAATTATCGCCCCTTTTAACAGCGATTTAATGGGCCAAACAAGGTCTAAACCGTAGCAATACTTTCATTTTCAGCCAGAAGGGAGGTGACCCACTGACAAATGTGTTACCTCCCAACACCGCCTCCCTATGCCCCGATTTTCTTTAATGTGCATCCGATAATGATGGCATCATCGTGAGCTCGACAGAGCTCGTTAAACTGTCAGATCGCATCGAAAGTGCAAGGGAAATATGTATGTGTGGAGTATGGATATGGGTCTTCCGTCGCCCACCTTGTTCGGGGTAACCAATACCTTCCTTTACAAAAAAAAAGTAAAGAAAAACATGGGAAATCCCTTTAGGAAATTACCTAGTTTTATGTCTCTCTCGCTGCATTCCCCGTTAGATGTCAGTGGGGATTCAAGAAAACCTACTATATGCCTTTATGTTCTCAATGCGTTCGGATTTCGATTTCGATTTCTGTTTCGATTTCTGTTTCCAATTGTCTCGTATCTCTTGTTTTGTCATCGTTGCGGCTGTGGCTATGGATTGCGTCAAGTAAACCACAAAAGAAAACCCAGTAGATGGAAAACCATAAGATACCGATGCTCAAGCACAGTGCGTGTTGTTGTAACACTGAAAGAAATCAAATTAAATTATATTTATATTATTATTTTTTGTTTTTTAGACATTTAAAATATTAGACAAAGCTTTCAATGAGAATTTAGTTATATATATATACATTTTTGGTATAAGTTTCTCTTTTTGGAGCTAGAATCCGTTGGGAATTTTAGTGCTACCTAGGTGATAAATGCTCGAGATGGACTAACACCGCCGTTTGCCAGGACATCATCAATGCGAGTCCATCTCTAGCACTTATTTTCCGAGTTGTACTAAAATTCCCAACTGGTTTTAGCTGTGAACAGGGTACTAATAACGAAAGTTTGGTGGGGTAAGGATATTTAACATAAGCTACATGAACAATAACCATATATAATCATTATCTGAGTTTATAACTTCTACGCGGCGTTATTGCTATTCCTCTGTGCTTATATTTATGATATTCTTTGACCAATAAAAACGGCTATATACTAGACTATTTCCCACGGTGTATAAATGCTTTGTTGTCTTGGCTAGCTTTAAGGTGCGCCTTCCAGTCGCAACTTTGGTTAATTGCGTTGGCGTTGGCTTCTTTGGTTTGTTGACCGACCGACTGCCCGCCCACCATAAACATTTGATTTTCACTTTAGTTCTCAATTAACTTTGATTTGGCCCATTTGATTTTGGCCGTGGCGCACCAAATGCCGTTAAAACCGCTGAACATTTGATGGCCAGTACATTGTCCTCTATGAGGGGAGAGAGAGCAAGGGGGAGAGCCAGACCAGGTCAGGTCACTTCCGCCACGCGCGTTCGGAAATGGGAACTTGGAACTGGGTCTGGGACTGGGACTGGTCCCTGTCCCAAGTCTGGCCTTCAAATATGCCCATTAACAGGATGGGAAGGAGGAGCAGCGCACTGGTCATCGATTGATTTTTCGACTTACAGGACTACATCACCATCATGGCATTACATCAGTCGTCGTTGGGCAGGTGAAAAGTGCAAGGGGGATATGAATTTAGCTCTCGGGAAATGTAATCAAAAAATTAACTTAGGATATTGTTAATTTATTTAAATATTCTGGGAAAAAAACCTTTCTTAAACAGGGAGGGAATGTAAAATAAATAGTATTAATATTTATCGATTTAAAATCGATTTTTAGAACTGAAAACTTTGCATTTAAAATATTAATATTTTTAAGCAAAAAAAAAAAACTCTTCTAAGCCCAATAGTATTTAAGAAATTCCTTCTTATTTGTTGAAAATTCTTACACATTGATATTTATCGATTTAAAATCGGTTTTTATTTAACAACTTTGATTTATTATGTTTTTATTTAATATTCATATACAAAATAACACTTTTTAAGGCAAGGAATTCAACAAACGCCGCAGAAATTCAAGAAAATCCTTAAAGCTTTGTCATGACTCCTAAGCCCTGTATTTTTTTTGTAATATTTTTTATTCATTTATTATTATTTTTTTTTGCAAGTCAACCTAAAGCCAAAATTGTTTTGTCGTGTTCTCGGTTTATTTCCTTGCCAGCTTAACATATTTTGAATGTTTGGTTGGCTTTTGCTTTTTTTTGGGCTTTCTTTTTGGCTTGGCTTTTTTTGTAGTAGTTTTTTGAGGTCTCTGTCTGTATTTGGGCTTTTGTTTTTTAGTCGATTTCTGCTGTTTGTTGTTTGTTTCATGTGGTTTATTGCCCATGTTTGGGCCAGAGTGCATACCAAAACGCCAACGATAAATTGTTGAGACATTAAACTGCACTTTTGCAGACGCTGTCGTTTCTGCCCGATCAAGGAAAAATATACAGAAGAAAAGCAAAAACAACAACAAATTGAAAAGGAAAGAAGAAAAACAAAACCGAGCTAAAGTCAAAAGTCAACACGTTTGACATGGTCGAGATGCAGACGTTACCGTAGAATACTCGTATCTGGGTGCCCTGGGGCCAGATGCAGATGCGGATGCGGATGCCAAATCGGCTAGGCTCCGGGCGCACCCCCCTTTCCCCCAAGACTCGATTCCAGATCCTTTGAATCCTCCATAATGCAGTTCAATAGCTCTGGCAATTTCACAGATCGTGTCGATGATCATGTCGCAATCGAAGTGAAGCAGAAAAAGGCTTTCGAAAGGAGCATAAAAGTAAAGGGAGGAAATGACTTTAGGTTACCTCAGGATTTGTAGAATTTTCTTTATTTTTAGAAAAATAAATTAGTAAGTCAACCATTGTTATATGTTTAAAATTTGTTTATATATTTTTTATATTTTTTTATATTTTTCTATATTTTTTTATATTTTTTTATATATTTTTTATATTTTTTATATTTTTTTATATTTTTTTATATTTTTTATATTATTTTTAATAAATTTTTTTTTATTTTTATATTTTTTATATATTTTAATTTATTTATTTTTTGTATTTTTTAAAATATTTTTTTATACATTTTTTAAAATATTTTTTTTATATTTTTTATAATTTCTTATTATTTATAAACATCTATATGCCTCGTTTATATATTTAAATAGTGGGTATTCAAATACGACTAAAAAACGCAGCAAAACGAGACTGCACGACCAGGCAAAGGCAGGCACATGCCCCAGGCCGGTGCGCCCCAGAAGAGAGTGGAGAGTGGCCGGTGGAGAGTTCACAGTGATGTCATCTTGGTTCGGCTGTGCCGCTGATTGCCGATCATGGCCATTGTGGGCGCTAGTGGTCAACGCCCACAGCCAGAGCAACACGCCCACTCCGCGACAAGTTGCTGATTGGGGCTATGATCTCATATCCCACTCTACTTTATTTTTTTGTGATTGCTGATCCTTGGCCCAAATTAAAGCTGACCCAATTTTTAATTTAAGGGCAAAACATTTTGCAAATGAAAGAGCCCAGACAGCGTCAGTTTATAGCCTTCAAATTGTTTAATAAATAATTATTAAGGAGACAAGAGTTCAAGTACTTCCAAGATTTTTAAAACCTTTTTTTGTATAAAATACAATCTTTGTTAAAATTACAAAATTCATAAAGTCTCCAAAGAACCTTAACCTACCTCGAAAGCCACGACTTTTACACATTAAAATTCTGTAATAAACTTAAAAATTTAGCAGTTTTTCAAACTACAAGCTAATGGCTTCAGGAAAATGTATACTCCTTTTGGGGACATTATTTTTTTAGCTGGAAAAATGTCTTTGCAATAAAAATACGTCCTTAATGGTGGCATAATACCAAAGTAAAGCAAAGTCACTTTACTCTGTTCCCTCTCTCGTGGTTTAAAACCATATTCATAAACATCATTTTTGATTTCCAAAAGCCAAGAAAAAAGATCAACTTATGGGGAATCTTTTGGACCCATACCCAGACCTGTTTGTGGGGATTCTTACTCCTCCTCCGGCCGCTCCTCATTTGCATATCTAACTATTTTAACGTGAACTGTGCGCGAGCAAGATCCAGCCACTTGGAGAGTACCCATTCCAGTACCAGTCCCAGTCCCCTGCAAGAAATCCCTCTTCTGGCCAACTGATAATAAAGTTTTTAATAGGAAATTGCTATTAACTTATTGATCATGGCCTGGACAATGGTCCATGCGGGCAATTGTTGCGAATTTCAATTGAATTGTTTCAACGCTGTGGCTCCCCCGAGTGCCCAAAGGCAGCAGCGATTGCCTGCTTGGGATTTTTGTTTTTATTATTTACCCATTTTCTTGTATTTACACTTTAAAAAAGTTTTTATATTTTGTAGCTCAATAAAATTAAAACTAGATTTTTTTAAGTTTTAAATTGGCTAAAATAATGGAAGATTTTTATTAAAAGAAGAAGTTGGTTTTTTATAGTTTTACTTCTTGATACTCATTAATGTTTATTGTTTATTATTATTATTCCTTTGTTAAAAGTTGTGTTTAAATTATATAAATAATTATTTGAAATCTTAAGTAAACCATTATATTTTATATAATAAATAATGGGTATTAGCCTATGTTCTTATTATTATTCCTTTGGTAAAAACTCTTCAAAAACTTAGTAAAACTATTTGGTGACTTTGTAAAGTTCTCTTAAATATATTTAATAATATTTTTTTCAGAAGTTAGCTCAATGCTCTTTATCTTTTCAATGTGATTCCTCTGATAAAAAAAGTTTAGATGCTAAATAAGGCCATTTAATATTTTAATAAATTAGATAAATATTAAAGAATATATTAGTTTTACAGATAAGCTCATTTTCTTCATCAGTATCTAATGGTTTCTATTATTTCATTGGCGAAATCTGATTTAAAATGATCACTATTAAGGCAACCATATCACACATTATGGTATCTAAAATATATATCTCTCGGGTGATACAATAGATCTAAGAAGAACCTTGCTATTTGTTCTTGTAATTTTTTACCGTGTTGGGTTAGATGCACTGTGATTTCTTTAATTTTTCTTTTACCTTTTTCCCTGCCGACTTGCATAATACTTGGGCCCGACCCCTCCTGGCCTGGCCTGGCCTGGCCTGGCCCGTCTCATAGATTTGTGATTCAATGGGGCATTTTGAATGGCCCTGGCTCTTGCCGGGCCTCCCCATCCGATATGCGATCAGCATGCATTTTTGGCGATAGCGCGTCATTTTGAGTTTATGTCAGAGTTTCCATTCCTTGTGGCCGAGGGAAGGTGGAAAAGGCGACAGATACAGAGAGCCACTGGTTGCCATAAATGGCACAATATGTATAAATTTGTAAAAGTAATTGCAGTGCGGAGACAATGGCCCGGCCTAAGATCTTGACGCTGATGTGGCTGTGGCTATAGCTGTGCCCGTTGGATCTTTTGGATCTTGAATGTTTCTGCCTGATGCCACCTCCACCTCCTCCTCCTCCTCCCAGCCTCTCCAGAGCCAAAGCCAACAGCGGCTGACCATATTTGGCCCGGCACTGCGACAGAGATGGCTGGGAGCCTGGGTCTCGTGCGTGTTTTATGTCCAACTGCCAGCCATTTATACATTATAAAACTATATAAACACACAGAGAACGGCCGTGATGCGAAGCGATGCAATGCGCAGAGGTTAACTCACTCTCCATTCCAAGGCACAGTGTCACAAGGCAAATTAGCCATTTTTTAAATTAGATCTTTGAATTTTATTTTTAATGATAAAAATATTCTTTTAAATTTTAACTTAAATTTAAAGACATATCTTTTTTATATCGAATTATTATGTTTTTGCTCCTTCAAGCACTTTGGCCCCACTGTGCCCCGGGTATATGGGGTCTGTTAATTCGCTTTGTCCATTTTAGGAGGAGCTTCATGCCTTTGCTGCTGCTAGCCTGCCATTGTCTCACATCTTCACCAAATAATTTTCATGCCTACACCGAGAACAAATTCAATAAATTATAATAGGAAACTCAAAAGTTGTTAAATGTGTTCTGGGACATTTCAAAAGGGAATCGAAATTGGCAATAAACCCATTAAAATATATTTCTATGTTTAAGATATAAAACTATGAATTTTTTATGAAATTAGGAAAAAGTTATCATGCATTTCTTATAATTTTAGGGGGTTTATTTTAGGATTTAAACATTCTTTAGGCTCTTTCCTAGTTTATTTGCAAATTGCTCCTATTTTGCTGGTACATTTTTAATAAAAAAAACCCATCTGGTGCAAAAACTCTCACACTTTTTATTATAATATTTCTTTCTTATTTTTATTAATTATTATTAATTTTCGGTCATTTGTATATTTGCAGGCCTGTGCCCCGCGCTATGTGTTCCATACGATGACACCAACCACAACGTTCCGCATTGATCCCGTGGGCACCTGCTTCACCTCGCGCGACTTTGAGCGCTTCCACGAGATCTCCCCCTGCAGGACAAGTGAGTATCCCTATCCGCATACCCGTAGGGATTATCCCCTTGCTATGCACCCGCCATAATTCGAGCCACGATTCGTTGTGATTCTGTAATTTGAGTGGCAAGGGGAATCCCTTGAAAAGCGAAATTCAAACTGTCACTCACTCGCTGGGACTCCCGAGTATCGAATGACCATAATTTGAGGGTGAAAGTGAAACGTGAAAAGTGTGAAAGAACAATGATCAAGAGTTCGTTTCGTAAATAAGTTTAAAAAAATATACAAGAGAAATTAATTCAGAGTAAAAAGCTCCCCAGATATGATCAAAAGTTCAGCTATATCTGAGAATATCTCCCTGTTGGACCCAATTTAGAAAATGGAGTTGTTTTCATTGTTAATGATAGATGATACCGCTTCTGTGGATAATTCACTGGGCAGCTGTTCCCAGGCAAAGCTTCTTCCATTTGGATGTCAGGGACAACATGTTATATACATATGTGTGTTGTTATTTTATTTTTTCTCTCCCAAAAGTGACTAATTCTACGTCAGATTCGATCGTAAACCTTTCTCCACCCACCAGGTATCACATGAAAGATTAATGCGAACTGACAGCCGAAACAAATACCTGAGTGTTGGGTGTAGAAAAAGGCTGGAAAAGCACAAACATTCTCCTGTAGTTTGTATATCTAAAAATATTGAATTTCTTGTTGAAAGTCTTGTAAGTTCCCTTGGGTGCATTTTCCTAACTTTTTTCCCCCTGTTGTTCTTTTTGCTCTCGGGACAGCCTGCCAAATTTGTTGTTGTTTGGGTTAGTCATCACTTTATACCGACTATATCTAGGTCTATATAAACGGCTATATGTGTATATGTGCAGGCACACACATGTGGCATCGTCACCTCCGCCTTCCGCCTCCTCCGCAAAGTTCCGATGAGGTGTGATTATTTTTAGCATTCTCTGCACATATATATGTATATATTTCGGATCTGTAAGGCGCGGTATATACATATATGTGTGTTTACGCATGAGTGTTCCTATATAGCGGCCATAGCATATGGCCATTAGTCGGGATTTTGACTCTTGAACTAGTTTATCATACGGAAGAATTGCTTGTTCTGCTTTATGGCCTGTTCTTTTACATTTTAATTTCCATTTTCTTTCTACTTTTACGCCTTATTGCCTGCCTTTATGACTGGGAAAGTTATTGCAAGTGTATAGGTTTCAAATTCATAGAAATATTTCATTTAAAATTACGGAAAAAATAAATCTAAAGAAAAATTAAGACAAACATCGATTTTAAATCGGTTAATATCTAAGCTCTGTCATCTCTAGTGGTAAAAAATCGATGTTAAAGCGAAATTAGTTTCATTATTATTCGTATTAATTCATTTCTTGTGTACAAGTTTTAAATTCATAAAAATTAGTTTTCAAATTACACAAAATATGATTCAAGGCAAACATCGATTTTAAATCGATTATTATCTAAGCCGTACCATCCCTAATTAAAAAATATAGATGTTAACTAGTATTAAACCAAATTTAATATAATTGATTATTCATATTAATTTATTCTTTGTGTACAAATTTTAAATTTATAGAAATATTACGCAAAAAATAAATTTGAAGATGAATCTATCGATTTTAAATCGATAAATGTCTAAGCTTTTCCATCTCCAATGGGCGCCTCTTCTAGATACCATTTTATTTGCATTTAAAATTCAAAAAACGTCTGATCAGAATTGAATATTAGAAATAAATTCCTTTGAACTATTTAATAACCTTTTGCATATTGACCCAAGCAGCAGCCACAGCTCCCTTTTTAAGAGGCGATTGCTCAATCCAATCCACAATTCCACTGACCATATGGCCGGGCCAAGGGCAATTTATAGATTCAAAACACATTCGGATGTGTCGGTTGTCGATTGTCGGCCCAACTCGATTCCCATTGGTCTGGTTGTTGTGTTATTATTAATGCTGCCGCGGTGCAATGATTAGCAGCAACATCGGCAACATATCAGCGCGGCAGCAACTCATCCTGACAGTTGGCCCAGCACATTCCGACATCACTAAAAGCAATAAATACCAACTTAACGCACAAAATGCCAAACTAAATAGTTAAACGAAACAAGACACACAAAAACAAAATACAACAGCCAGTGAGGAAAAAAGGCCAGCAAAAGGGGTAAATCAAGGCGGAATACTCGCCAGAGAAGTACAAACGATCGTCGGGTGACCAAGCCAACTTGAATACACTGAAAAATATAATATCGTATTTTCTATTTATGGGTTTTTGTTATCGGGGAAGTCTTGGGGAAATTGGTAGATATTTTAAATGAATTTTTTTGATGGGCTTACACTGAAATTTACATCTGAAATATGAATAATTAACATTTTTATTTCATTTTTTTTAAATAAAATTATTGAAAAATAAATGATAATATATTTAGCATATTTTTGTACACCTCTTTTAGTTACTTTTCCCCGCAAAAGTCACCAAAATGTTTTATAAATTGCCAGCGTTAAATTATCAAAAATATCGCTCTTCCCATTTGCGATAATTATCAATCGATAAAATATGCTATAATCGATGTAAAGTCCTTAAATCGATCATCATTTTCTCTTAATGTATAGCAAAAGCCAGGGAAAAGAAGCCCAGCGCCGAGCTCTGAGTCTTCTGCCTCTGCCCTTTTGCTAAAAACTAATTGTAATTCAAGACGGGGCGATTTTATTATGGGAATTACTACAACTGCGAAGACAATGCCCTGGGTATGCTCACGTACACATGCGAGCTCTACCTGTACCTGTACTTACTGTACTGTGTGTGTGTGTGTGTGTGTGTGTGCGAGTCGTCGAAAAAGTTGACTTATGCGATTGCCGCTGGCAACAGCCAACAGGCAACATGTCTCTCCGCTCAAATTGAAACACTTCGAGACAAATTGTTATCGTTTAATTTGATCAAACGCACGATCTGCTGTTGATTTCTCTGTTTTGCCTCCTTCCCTGGCTCACAGTCAGTGCTGTCTCTGCGGTTTCCCTTCAGAGCCTGCGACATAAAGTTGTTTTGTCGCTAGCCTATACCCTATTCCTGGCCAGGAGTGTCCTGCAGGTTTTGGCACAATAAACGTTAAATAATATGATATTATACATTATACATTAGTAGTATTTGGAAGAATTTTTTAATGGAAGGAGTTCCGAATTAATATTTAAGAAATGGTTTTCCTAAAGGATATTAAATAAGACCAGAAAATATCCATCATTCATTAAATAAAAGAAAAGAAAAATCGCCCTATGACTTAAAAGTTTTCATACAATTAAGAACAGGCTTTCTTGAATTTAAGGCAAGATTTTCTAAAATAAAACCAAAGACACCATAAATATATTTTTTTAGAGTTAATTTCAGAATTTTTATTAAATTGTAGACTTTTTTTTAGACTTTAGGGCTGGTTTAGGTTCTTTCTAAATTCAATTTGTTATTTTCTGGTGAATTTTTTATAAAAGCCATGTCAAATTCGCCCGAAAATTTGTTGTGAAAAGAATCTCACTCGCGTGCACATATAATTCCCAACTGGTTTAAGCATCCCTGGAATGAAGTGACCAGCCAACTCTTAGAGTTTTTTTTTCTTTTTGTGCAAGTGTAGTGGTGTTACCAGGGCAAAAAGGGGTGTAGTTACTGGTGTTGTTTAGGGATTGGTTGTATCAAATCCCATCTTTATTACCACCAGCGGTCAGTCTTTAATCTTAGTAAGTACAGCTCCTTTAGAGTATCTCAGGCTTCGACTTGGTATCCACATTCTGTGATTTTTTTCTGCTGAAGTTACGTGATTTCGTATTTGGTAGCAAGGCAACATTCGCCAGACACTTTGCCGGACAAATAAACAAACAAACAAAAGGCGGGGCCAACAACAAAAGGATGTGTGGATGTGAATGCTTGTGCGGATGTTTTTTCCCTCCCCCCACCTTATTTTTTTTCTTGCTGTCTCCACTTTGGGCCTCGTCTTGATCTTTTTGTTTGCCGCTCGGACTCGGCTGGCTTTATTGTTGTGCTTTCATTTCAATGTCCATCGCCTGGCCTGACCGGCAATGGCAGCTCGTTTGGCAGGCGAGAGGATCTGGCCCCAAAGGCGCGCTCTAATCCTTTTAAGTTGCCTGGCGGTCTCCACCTCCATCGTCCATCCAGAGCGACGAGCAATTTATTGCATTGCTTCGGTAATTATTTGCAATTTATTGTCCCACACACTGCTCCCCGTTTGGATCGGGATACCGATCTCTGCGGCCGTTTATGATGGAATCGGAAATCGGACTCGCTCTAGTCGTTGTCGGGAGTCGCACAATGTGCCTAAATGGTCAACTGTGACTGACAGTGACTGTGACTCTCGTTCCCGTCCGTCCTTTAGCCCAATCACTCACTTATGCAATGCATTTCCATCTCTCCTTTTGCAGACTACTGGGGTTATCATCGCCAGGGCTCGTGTCAGGCGGGATTCAGTGCAGCGATCAATGGGGTAAGTACTTATTCACCAGTTACACGGATGGATACCCTATCATGGATGGAGTATCTACATTATATTAATAACAAAGGTGCCAAAGAGATATGTATTTTTATTATAATATATGATTTTCAGTTTTATCTATATCTATCTTTATCGCGTTACATAAGATAATTTAGATTTATTCAAGTTATTTAAGATAAAGCTTATAAAGATACTTTTCTTATTGAGCTACCGCGTTTACATTTTTCCAAAAAGAAAACTAAAGTTTTTTATATCATTGTTTGCAAAGATTTATACATATTTGGTTTATATATCGATACTAAAGTCGATACCTTTCAAAATGTATAATTTTGAGTACAAACTTGGACTTCAAAGTCAAATTTTGATAACGATAACGTAACGATATACAATATCTTTCTGATTTATCGAGCTTGCATCGATTTTTTATCAAGATTTTTAATATTAAGTGATCAAACGTAATATATTCTTAGTTTTCCGGCTCTTAGAATGTTGAAAAAAATACATATATTTTTTATAAATTTATTTTAAATAAATATTTTTTATATTTTTCCTAATCTATTTTTTATTTATATTTTATATTTATAAAGTGCTATTGAAATCGACACATTTTTTTAAAAATAATTTCCCTATACAATTCCGAAATTAATACTTTCAAATACAAACCAAGGCATTTGTTCGCTTACGTCCAAACTTGAAAAGTCGAACCCAGTATCTAGAGTCTAGACTCCTCCTCCGCCATTCCCTTTTTTTTTTTTTTTTTTTTTTTTTTGGTTTCATTGAGTTATTATATGCAGGGAATCGTTTGGAAAACGGGCGGACGGATGGACGTGGGCACGTTTAGTTGGCACCTCGTTGGGATCGTGGCATAACATTTGCATTCACAATTGCATCTCCGTCTCCAATGCTCATCCAGCATTCGATTCGCCCATTAAATATACACATTTATACATATAGGCATATATTGGTAACCTCTTTTTTTTCTCTGTTTTGTTGTAGAATGGCTCGCGTCTGTTCATTGGCGCACCTGGCAGTTGGTACTGGCAAGGTAAGTGCACGTTTTTCCCACATGTACCGTGTACCGTTGTTCTACTTCTATTCCACCAACGTGTGTTACCTTTTTTTACCTTACATTTTTATTTATTTTATTTATTTTTTTTTTTTTTGTCGTCGCAAGACGAGAGTTACTTTTACTGTATGTATGAATTTGAATTGCCGCTCCTTGAACTTAGTAGTATATCTCGTACCAGCTCCGCGAGGAGTCAACTGTACTTTTTAGTCATAGCTAAATTAGATCGTTAAGTAATCAAAACCCAAGATATCCTTTATCCTTAGATACACACAGACACACACACACACTCCCGTTAACTGGTTTGAAATTTGAATTTCGTTATCCCTCAATCATCACTGATAATATAGCACTCGTCCTTGTCCTCGTCCTTGTCTTAGTTAGTACCTTGTAGTACCCGATAAATCGATTGAATTTTGATTGCCTCCCCTCCTTCCTTCCGATGTACAAATATATCAAAGAAAAGTGATTGCATTTCAATTTATATATCTCCCCGTACCTAGCGTAGTCTATCTTACTTTTTGTGTGTTTTTAATCTGTTGTCTCTTTTGGAGAGTTCGTAACTTAAGTAATTTACACGATAATTTAATACGGGATTCCCCTTCCTTTCCTTACCCCCAAGTTACTAACAATCGATCTGTAGACCTCTAAGATGGCTCTATCTCGTATAATATCAGCATCTATAGAAGATGGAATGCCATATTGAGCCGTAGATTAAGACATAATGTGATGTATTTAGTGCATGTGGCATTGTACCGTCGTCCCTAGATTGTACCGAAGTGTACCTTTTCGTAAATATAAGTTAATTTCAAGTCTAGGAGTTTTTTTAAGGAACGAAACGATAATTGTGAATTTCATTTGGTTTAATTAATATAAATATAAAAAACAAAATGAATTAACAAATTCTACAAAAAACAATAAGAGGATAATTAAAAAAAAACAGTATTTCAATTAAATGTAAAAGATATAGAGCTGAAAAAGATTCCAAGCAAAAATCGATTTATAATCGATAAGCAGTGACCTTTTTTCCAGCTCAAATGCACAGTTATCGTTATCGAACGACTAGTGTACCTAAGTACCGTATATATCGTATCGTATATATTTATTGTGTTGTCGAGTTGTTTAACCACCCAATTGGCCTTAATACCCATTCATGTGTCGCACTGTTTGCTGTACCGCAGCTGCCCAGGAAGCTAACAATATTGTACCGTAAACAATATTGTACCCTTAGGTACCTAAAACTAAATTAAAAAAAAAAAAACACAACTCGACAGCAGCAGCAGCAACAGCAGCAGTATAACCTTAAATCGTTTTCGTAATCGTAATCGTAATTATTGTAAAACCTATTTGTAATGTATACCATTTAACCCTTCGAAAACTGAAGTAAGCTGCATTTATTGTACCGTATTTGATACACGATTTCGACTATAACTGTAATCTGTAATCTGTATTCTGTAACCGTAATTGTAACCGTACCTGTACCTGTACCGTATAACGCGTCATGTTCTTCTGATTAATCCAAATGATGTTCTCTCTTTCTCTTTATATTTTTTGCTCCTCGTTCCACCTCTGGCTCACTACACTCTCTCAATCCAAACCTTTTGTATCGGGGCAAAATGCATGCGATTTGAAAATTTGTGAAAATGAAAAATGCATTCTGTGCCGATTCCCAAATCCGAACCGCACCATTCGATCACAAAAAATAAATCAAAACAAATATCCTGAAACCGAAACCCGAATCCCCAACAAAACAAAACCCTGATTTACTAAAACCAAAAACCATAAAAAGGACAAACCTACTCAATACCGCCCGATGCCGAGTTTCCATTTAAGCCGCCTTTGTATCAGCCCTTCGGCACTGGAGGTAATAATAATTAAAACAGAAAATAAATACAACAAAAAATCAATTAAACAAAAAAAACAAACAAAGACTAGTAACTACGCTTTTCACCACTTGCCACTGCCTCAAAACTCAACCGAAAGTGTACCTACGAACATTAACGCAGCTCAAAGAAAGTACCTAAACCCACACCAACACACACATACTACATAATATTTACCCAAGCGAGGGTCTCCCATTAACGGTGTCTGATCATCCAAATAAAAATGAATATACATCATCCAAACCATCATCAAAAAGGCTACGTACTTGGCCTCCCTCCCATCGATAATAAAGCAAACTTTATAGATTTGATTCGCAGGAGGAGGTCGCCTAATAGCTTCGCTAAACCTAATATAATATCTGTGGTTCTGCCAGCGGCTTTAAAAACCTTTTGCCTTTTTTTTTTGGGTCAAATTAGATGAAAGAAAAAATGTACATATTTAATTATAACAATGAGCTATAGTTTTTTTCTTTCATTTGATTGCGGTTGCTCTACTTATAAAAGGGGCTGGCTTAGACGAAGGACTCACGGAACGGCAGAGAAGGATCTAAAAGTGTTATACAAATCATTATCTTTTAAACCGAGTTCGATTTGGCGGTCTTTATTTAGAAGGCAGATAATAATTTGCCATGATTTCTAGACTCAGTGAGGGCTCTCAACTATTTAAAGCTGTTTTTTTTTAATTAATAGCCCGTTTATCAGATTTTAGATCAGAATTCTGTTATATTACCTTGGAAAAAGAAAGGATAAAACCTATAAAAATTAGCTAAGAAATAAAATGTCCTCTATACTTATAAATAGATCAGAATTCTGTTATATTACAAAAAAAAGGGATAATACCTATACAAATTAGCTAAGATCTACACTGTCCTCTATAGTTATAAATAAGAAACTGTACTTTTTATAAGATTCGAATTATGGCAAACCAAGGAGTTTCAATATTTCAAATTAAGCCAAATATGTTTTTTATATCTTTCCCTTCTTTCTCCACTTTCTCTCTGCCTGATTCTTTTCCTTTAGTCTGAACCCTAGCCCGTGAATAAGCCCCCTAATTATAAGCCTATACGCATGCATGTGCTTGCCTAATCCCTAGCTTTATCCTGGTGTTGACTGTACTAACTTGAGCCACTAACCTCTTGGTAATATATGTGCATGTGGCATGGTATAGCCGTAGTAGTAATCGGGGAAGTAACCCAACCGAAAGTAGCCTAGTATCCTGTGGTAATTGTCGTTGTTGTGGCCAGTAGTTAGATTTCCATGAGTTCCATCTTACCATCTCACCGTTGATATATACTATCTTTGTCGTATTGTCCAGCATGTCCATAGCAATTAAGCTCCATGCCGCAGCGGTGGTCCAAGGAATAGCACTTGAAGGATCAGGAAAAAAATATATAGTATATATAATTTAATGAACTCATTCCTCCCCGAGTTGCTATTATTTTGACCGCAGCTGTGGCTTAAAAAAAACTCACCCCATATTCGTTTGTTCACCCGAGAGAAACCTCGAGAAACCTCGTGAAACCCCAAAAACCTCAGAGATGAGCCGCCAGGAAAGTTGTGCTAACCGATTACCCCCTATCCACAGGTCAGGCCAGCTCTCATGACGTTACCAGGCCGGAGAACCAGGTCTTCTCCACCTCAGAGAGCTCCTCGGCTAATGATGACTCCTATTTGGGTTACTCCATGATCACCGGCGACTTCAATGGCGATCGGAGCGAAGATGTGGCCATTGGAATGCCGCGTGGCGCCAATCTTGTGGGCAGGATCGTGGTCAATAACTGGAACATGGCGAATATCTTCAACATTACGGGTCGTCAGATTGGCGAGTACTTTGGCTACTCCTTGGCCACCAGCGATGTTGATGGCGATGGTTTGGACGATCTGATCATTGGCGCACCCATGTACACGGATCCCGACAATGTCGAGGGCAAGTACGATGTGGGACGTGTCTATATCCTGCTGCAGGGTGGCCAGACCGAGGACAGGCGCTGGAGCATCGAGCATATCCGCGACGGCCTCCACAGCAAGGGACGCTTCGGTTTGGCCCTGACCACGCTGGGGGATGTGAATGGTGATGGGTATGGTGACTTTGCCGTAGGCGCTCCCTACGACGGACCCGAGGGCAGGGGCGTGGTCTACATCTTCCATGGATCGCGCAACGGTCCACTGGCCAAGCCCTCGCAGGTGATCAAGTCGGAGCAGATTGTCGAGGGAGCACCCTATCCGCGCACCTTTGGCTTTTCGCTGTCCGGCGGCGTCGACATGGACGGCAACACGTATCCGGATTTGGCTGTGGGCGCCTACACCTCCGACCAGGTGTTTATCTTTAAGGCTCGGCCCGTGGCCGCCGTGAATGCGGAGACCAGCTTTGCCAGCAACTCCAAGCTGATCAGTCTGGATGACAGAAGCTGTCAGCTGCAGCGGGATCACAAGCAGGTGCCCTGCATGCTCCTCTCCACCTGCTGGAGCTACACGGGTCGCTACCTGCCCGAGCAGCTGGACTTTGATGTATCCTGGCTGCTGGACGCCAAGAAGCTGCCCAATCCGCGCATGTTCTTCCTCCGCGACGAGGGCAAGAATATCCGGAATCAGACCATTCGCTTGAACTATGGCCAGAAGTACTGCCTCAATGAGACGGTGTATCTGATGGACAAGGTCCAGGACAAGCTGACGCCCCTGGAGGTGGAGGCCCGGTACAACCTGCGCAGCAATCGGAATCCCATGGAGCCGGTGGTGCGACGCAGGAGGAGCACCCTGGAGCCAATTATCGATCAGAATCGGGAGATAGTGCTAAGGGATGCCATCAATATCCAGAAGAACTGTGGACCGGACAATATCTGTGAGCCGGATCTCAAGCTGGAAGTCAAGTGAGTGAGATTCACCCAAAATAGGAGGTTCTTTTTCTAAACTCGATTTCTATTCCCCTCTTAACCCAGAACCGTGGACAAGTATCTGTTTGGCTCGCCCGAGCCCCTGGTCATCGAGGTCCTGATCTCGAACAACAACGAGGATGCCTTCGAGGCTGCCTTCTACATGCTCACTCCGCCGGATCTGCAGTTCCGCAAGCTGCAGCAGCTGGGCGAGAAGAAGGACACACCCATTACCTGCTCGCCGCCCACACCGGCCAACAATCACACGCTCAAGTGCGACATTGGCAATCCTCTGGAGTCTGGAAAGATTGTGAGTTTCCAGAAGAACCTCGATGCCCCTCCTTGCTCATTCATTAACCCATTATACCCATTATCCCTCCTTAGGCCCACTTCAAGATCAGCCTGGTGCCGGAGGAGAAGTACGGCAGCTCCTCCAGCTATGACTTCTACTGGGAGGCCAACTCTACGAACCTGGAGAAGGAGGGCTCCGATTTCGACAACAAGATCCGCCAGAGCGTCGGCATTTGGGTGGACACTGACCTGGACATCAAGGGCACCTCTCTGCCCGACTATCAGCTGTACAAGGCGGATGACTATACCACCCTTGAGAATGCCACCAAGGAGGATGAGATTGGACCCCAGGTGGTGCACATCTACGAGATCCGCAACAATCGTCCGTCGATCATTGAGGAGGCGGAGGTCCGCATTCATCTGCCCTACGAGACCATCGTGGGCGATCCGCTCATGTATCTCCTGAATCAGCCGGAGACCGGCGGCAAGATCCACTGCGACGAGGTGCTGGTCAACGAAAATAACCTGCTGTTGGACGAGAAGCTGGCGAGGAAGTCGTATCTGCAGGCCCAGGGTGCCATCTCGAATTCCGCGCTGGTCGCGGGACAATCCTCATCCTCTTCCTCCTCCTCCGGCTCATCCTCCTCGGGAGGCAGTGCCGCCAAAGAGGGCGGCGGTCACCTGGAAATCTCCCAGGGCGGCGGTGGTTCGGGTCAGGCCGTCTTGGTCAGCAAGACGGAGGCCAAGAACCGGCTAACCGCCAAGCAGCTGGCGGAACTGGAGCACGAGGACACCTTGGAGGTTCCCGGCGATGCCTCCTTTGTGCACCGAGATCGTGCCACCCAGGCGGCGGTCCAGGTCCAGAAGCCACGCATCAACCAATCCAGTTACGCCACCTTCTCCACCAGCAGCAGCTCATCGGGAGGATCTCCCTCGGCCCAGCTGCGTGGCCACAGCACCCAGGGTCACATCCAGATGGCCGGACCTGTCCAGCAGTCCAGCAGCTCGGGCAACTATCGTGCCTGGCCGCATCAGCAGCAGCATCATCAGATCCTTCTGGCCGGAGCGGGTTCCGGGGGAGCTGGAGCTTCCGGCAGCTTCAATGACAAGTCACAGTTTGGCGGCCGGGCGGGCAACTTCCATGCCGGCACCCTCGACCTGGGCACCCTGGGTAACCGAGGCAATGTGGACAACGAGCTGTATCAGCGGAGCCAGAGCGGTGGTCACTACCAGAGTCCCGGCCAGACCGTGGGCCAGAGTCAAGGCCAGTTCCGGGTGCAGAGCCAGGGGCTGGGACAGGGACAGTATCAGGGTCAGAACCAGGGCCAGTTCCAGGGCCCCAGCCAGTCCTACCAGGGACAGACGCAGTTCAGCAGTGCGCCCGGTGGCTATCAGACCCACCACGTCACCTTCTCCTCCGGCGGCAGCAAGCCCTACTATGGCCGCGAGAACGAGGACTACTACGACGAGGATAATCTGCAGCAGGCCACGCCCGCTTCCACGGGACACTGGAGCAGCTCCAGCTCCGCCCAGAGACGTCTGCGAAGGACGCCGGATGAGGACGAGGAGCAGCAGCCACGACAGATCGATCTGAATTCGCCGTGCAAGTCGGCCAAATGCAAGACCATCCGGTGCGTGGTGAGCAATCTGGGAACGGAGGATGGCGACGCCGCCTTCGTGGCCATACGGGCGCGTATGGTGGCCAAGACCATGGAGAAACTGGCCTCGAACGTGCCACTAAACGTGTCCACGCTGGCGGTGGCCAGTGTCACCCTGCTGCCGTTCATTGGGTCGCCCAAGGACCCCATCGAGAAGACGCACGAGATCTTCTACAAGGCGGAACCGGAACCGCAGCAGGTGCCGGATGTGGTGCCCCTGTGGGTGGTTGTCCTGGCTGCCTGTGCCGGTGCCCTCATCTTCCTCCTGCTGGTCTGGTTGCTGTACAAGGTGAGCAAACTCTTCTAACTGTTATAACATTCCGATCTAAAACCCCCGATCGTTTTACAGTGTGGCTTCTTTAATCGCAACCGGCCAACGGATCACTCGCAGGAGCGACAGCCACTGCGGAATGGCTACCACGGCGACGAGCATCTGTAGATCCTGCCCAAGGGGAAAATGATGACAGAAAAACGCAACAAATATTAACACGACGACATGCCACGAAAAATAAGTACTTCTAACATCGCACTAAACCAAAACGTACTAAAAAGCAAAGGGCGTACTAAAAAAGGCGAACTAAAAGCTGGGTTCCAAACCGAAGCGATGGTACAAGCCGTGTTATACGAAAATCAAACAGTTATCCGGCGGATAAATCCCTGTAAATTCAAAGGGGAAACCAACAAGAAAACACATTTAAACTTGCCTAGTCACGACATGAGGAACTTTCTAATATGCGTAAAGGTTTTTTTTACTCGATTGAATAATGTTAATTTCTTTGTAATTATTTTTATTTCGAGGAAAGTTCAGCAAGTGCTATTATTAAGCCCGTACTAAAAAGCAGGAAAAAGGAGAAGCCTAAGCTAAGTGTGTGTAAATGAAGTGAGTGTGTGAGAGAGCTACTGTCTGAATGCGAGTGTAAGCGAATGTGAGTGATAGTTAAAAAAAGATTTAAAAATGAATATAGAAACACGGAAATATCAGAATCAAAGCCTGCCGCGCGCTGTCAAGTTGGTCCTTTAAAAGTACTGCCATGCCCCCTTTTCTTAGGCAACTGCAGAGGCGGGGAGGCGGAAAAGCAGAGGTGCTAATTTACCGTTTTTTTTTTTTTTATTGTTTAAAAGCTATAATCAAGTTTCTTGAGCATTTTGTTGGCGTATTCAAATTAAGAAAAAATTTAAAAAAAAACTTGTTATGTGGAAAATCGTTTGCCAAAACTCAAAGTTCGCGGAAGAAGAAAGTTACAACGCCAAAATGTGTTGAAAATGCAAAAAAAAACTATATAAAAAAATGAATAAGAAAAAAAACAAATTATTGGATTAATCTATGTAATTATTTACTTGTAACTCTTTGTGTATATACTAAAAACAAGAAACGACGACGAGATGGAATCAGTTGGGAAGAGTTAAATCGTTTTATTTAAATTAATAATGCATTTATTTCCAAACTACAATGGGAGAAGCGCTGACCGACTTCTTGCAGTGTACTCTTGAAATAAACCCCTTGTACTAAGCCTTACTTTCGCCCCTCCCCCTGCTCACAGTTTAGTTTAGTTCAATTATACGCTAATGTTTAATTTATTAACTGTACTTATTACTGATTGCCCCCCACTTTCCCCACTACTTTTTTTTTGCTAATTTCTGTATTACATTTAACGATTTACAATAAAAAGATACGAATAAAAATGACGGTCGAGTTGTGTAAAATTAAAAATTAAGGAAAGTGTTTTATTTTTGAAATTAAATGAAAAGCGCCAAAGCAAAGTGTTCAACCATTTGTTGTATCAGTTATACCAAAAGGGAAAAGAGGGCAGCACTGGATGCTAGAGAGACCAGAGTTACGGACTTTTACGTACGCGAATTAGTGTTGACAACTATCGGTCGTCAAATATAGCTGGGCAAGCCAAGTAAAATAGCGGTGCGGTTATTTTTTACTCACTTTAAATATATGAGTGCACAAATTTGTTAAGTGGTCAACCAGTCATTAAAAGTGGTTAAAAATAAAATAAAAAACTGTTTTGGGTATGGAAAAACAGCCAGATCTAGCTATTTCCCCTTTTTTAGCTGTTTTGTAAAATAGCCGGATCTGGCCAGGAAATAGCTGAGTTGGCAAGAGAGTTTGCTCTCTCCAGATTCGATGAGCAAATTCTGTTAATCGCTCACAATTTGGGACTTCCATAAGAAAAATTCGTTAGGCTCTCATTTTAACAGAAAATTCTGTTACGCCTCGCCAAATTCTGTTACTCTCATCAAAGGTTGTAGTATCCGGTGTGGTTCGAGTATCAGGTGTGGTTCGAATATAGAATAAAATAAAATACTGAATTTAGGGCCAGTGAGATGTCATTTCCGCTTATTTTATTATTACAGTATCGCAATGGCTTCGGAATTTGCATTAAATGCGTATGCATACGCAAACGCTGCATAACTGCTTTGATTTAATATTTTATACTTAAAATTAAAAAATCAAACAAAAAACAACCAATTATTATTTTAAAATCTGTTTTTTTCTTAGCTATTTCTCCTTGTAATTTGGCTTATTTAGCTGTTTTGTTTGGGTAATCTAGCTTCTTTGGTTAGAAAAAAGTGACATCACTGATAAACCTATCGTTTTTTCGTCAAAAGAAATTCGAGGAAAGCGGTTGTGTTTAAAACGTCGAACTCAAAAATTCCTCAAGTGCCGCGGAAATGAATTTTGAATTTAATTCTGAAAAATCGCTTAATTTTTTAGTTTAATCCTATTTTTTGCTATTCTATTCCTTCATTTCGTGGCCGCTTGCGCTTTCTTATTCATAAAAAAAACAATGATCGCCGCGCAATAATCTAACAAAGTGATTACCTGTGAAATAATACACGAATTAAGCATAATATGTGTTAAACACAGCGGTTAAAACCAATTTCATTGAGACGTCTGAAACATAGCGGTTTTCGGTTGCAGTTGTTGTTGCTGCCGTTAAGCGCGTAAATCTAAGCCGAATTCGCGCGTACCTGTGTGTGTGTGTTTTTTTCAAGTGTCGAGTTTAAATAAAAACTAAAATTAATGTATTAGTTGTGGCGCCCTGCAAAAAACGCTAACGAGCCATGAATTAGCGCGATGCTATAAACAACAAAGGTAAAAGCCAGCGATTTTCTTTTCTGCTGTTCAAGAATTCCCACTGGCCTGCATGTGTGTGTGCGTTGGAAAGGGAGGGAGCGAAAATATGGAGCGAGTACACCTAAGCGCACTTTTTTTTATACCCATTCTTACATACATCTGTGCATGTTTGTAGATTTTAAGGTGGAAAAGTGTCCCAGTGTGTGTGAGTGTGCGACTGTGTGTGTGTGAAATGCCGGCAGAACCGGTTCAGCAAGTGGCCAAAGCAAAAACAAAAAAAAAAAATACAAAAAGGAAAGGAAAACAATAAAAAACCTGGCTTGAGATCAAGAGATATGTATTCGTCCCCACGTCGATCGGGATCACGATCGGGACAATATTTGTCGCCTCATTGCGACTAATGGAGGTGCAAACACCATTTGTTTGTGAAACGTTTTCCGAAATGTTCTATTCATCGTGGGAATTCGTTACCTTAATCCCGGGTCGGAAATTCGTCACCTTTTGGGACGAACCGGTCAATTCTGTTTAGAAATTTCCTATTCAAATGGGGGCAATTCGTTTTGAATTTTACTTCAAGAATTTGCCATACAAGTTTATTAATTGCCGGGTGCAATTGCAAAACGTGCCGAATAGTCGAAAATCTTTCACGGCTTGGCTGGAAAATTTCTAGCAAACCCAGAAAATTTTAGTTTATGTTAAAACATTTTTTGAAACGCTTGTTGAACATTAAAATTTCGCTCAAATATTTATATGTATAAATGGATTGTATATTTTTTAGGACTGCCACTGTAACAGAAAATTAATAACGAAAAATGATCAAAGAATATCGTAAATTTATGTCGTGCAATCGAACGCATAAACGAACGATGCTACACGGCTCTTTCTCCCTTCCTCCCACTCGCTTCTGCTCCACTCCCTTTCGCTCTGCCAGCCTCTTCTACTTGGCATTCTCTTTTCCCACTGCTTCGCTGCAATGCGGCTGCGTGTGTGTGTTTGTTGTTGCGCCTGCGTGTCCATTCCTTTATTTTGGTTTCCCAGTTTCCGAAAATTCCCTTAATTAATGCGTAACAGCGTAGTCGTCGACGTCGGCGTTGGCAGAGGAATAGTGCAGCGCAGCACGTACCAAAAACAACAACAGATCGCAATTCACAAATGATAAGCCGGTGACATTGAAATCACAGTAAGATAACCTTGATCTACATATGCAGTTACATATGTTTGTATGCATATGTATGCTCATAGTTATGATTATTCAATAAATCTCCTAAATTCCCCACTCTAAGCTGACATTTTCCATTGATTGATTTATTGGCTGACTTGTTTGATATTTATAATTCAAGTTATTTTGTTTGAAGCGCTTCCTGTTTCGGTCTCTCTTTGACAAATTTCCTTTCTCCTTTCTCCTTTTTCTTTTCTCGCTTCCTTTCCTTTTGTGTAGCTTCTTCTTTCGTTTACCGTTATGTTAAACATGTGCAAGTGGACCCCGCTGTTTTATTATGCTTATACTTGATACAAATACATAGGGATATTTATGTATTCCTTTGCATTGTAACGCTCACGCACGAATTAAATCTGCTGACTAAGATCCCCAAAAATCCCCCTATTTCCACGTTTTTCACCTCTGCCGCCCGCATCTGTCACTTTCCCATTGTTACGCACTTTTTGTTGCAGCTTTTGCATCAAAGAATACAACAAAAAAACCCTCGAAAAGCTAACCTTAACCGCACCTTTTTCCGTTAAACGTTTTACGGTTAATACACACATACATATACAGTTTCAACTTTCCGCTCGAGTGGTTTGCGAGAATAGAGATGGATTACTTACAGCTATGGATAGCAAAAAAATATTATTTAAAAAAGTATTGGAAAAGGTCATTAATTCCAAATATGTAAATTCAAATTATTGTTTTACTAAGAAAATGTTAAATTAATTTATTTTCCAGTATGTACATATTTACTTGAACAATACTGTACAAATTTTGTCAGAACAAAAGCTTTAATATGTTCTTGCCAAGCTCAATTAATTACACTTTCATGTTTGGAGTGTGTTTGTTCCCTCGAAAGCAAAGTTGCATAAGCAAACATTTTCTGCAGTGCTTGCAGCTCTCAATTTGTTAACGTTTTAGTGACTTTTACTGACTAGGTGACGACAAATTGTTGACACATTTAACAACTGATTGTGCTGCGGGGCTCTAGCGACAAGGTTATCAGTTAATCAAAAGAAAAATGTCGAACTCTAATGAACAGTATCACTTCTCCTACCATTCAGACAAAATAGAATGAAAAAGTATTGCATTCCAGTATAAAAAAAAAAAAAACCGATCTAAAATATATTAAAATTAGATTTTATGGATAGACAATCTTTAAAAGGCAACAAAGGGTTGCATTAAAGGAGGTAATCAAAGATCGTCTTCCTTGAAGGTCAAATTCATCCGTTTGGTTCTACTATCCTCTTTTCGCACTAAAATTTCCACTGGGATCCGCCCCAAAAGCCGGCCAATACAAAAGGCAATCATTGAGTTTGCCGTTGGCCGCAATCAACACTTTTGATACGAGTAATACAAGCAACGTGTTCGTTGCGCCATTAGCTCAAATTAAATGTCAATAGCACAGCAGAGCACAAAAAAACAGCGATACAAAAAAACAGAAGCAAAAAAAAAGGTAGTAAATCAGGGTAACAAGCTTTCGACAGGTGCGCTAATCGCTGTCAAAAAAACGCTACACTCAATTACCCACAAAGTCAAATTGATTTTCTAATTCCCTGTATTATTTCCTACAGCCTAATAGCTGTCAAAATTGTCAACACAAACAGTAAATGGTAAAGGGAAAGATATCTATAACGAGTCGAAGTTTATATGCCCTTGCTGTTTAGATAAACAGAATAGAGTTTGCTAAAGTCTTGTTAATAAAAAAGTACATAAAAAAAAAGACTGAGATCTTTGTCTGCGTTCACATTTTTACATATTTTCGCATGTTCTAAGAACTTTCTTTTAAATGCCATAGAACGACAACTAGAATACAAATTTTATATATATTTTATCACTAATGCATACCCGATTTCATCCTTTTTTTTTATAAAATATATGTTTTAAAAACTTTCTATACAGTTATGTGGGAATAATAATAATTGTTTAGTGCCTGTCAAAATTGGTCAGCATATTTATTGGCCCCCTCGCTCTTTATCTGTATCTTTTTTTGTTGTTATCTTCTGAGATTTATAAGGTCTGTTTGTGATTTATGCGCGGCATGTTCAAATATGGTAACCCGCACTCGAAAGGAAATATGTGTGTGAGGGGGGAAAACGGGAAGAGGTTGTGCTGCAAAGCCATGTCTCTTTTTTTGGTCACACAAAGAAACCCGATTACCCTTATGGGAGGGGGAAAGCGGAAATATTAAGTTGAAAATTATTACAATGAATACCAATACCTCATGCTCTTTGAATTATGTTACGTCTTCATTAGATTTTGGAAAGAATTATTGCTTCATTATTTGTGTTAAAAGGAGTATAATTCCTGAATTTAATGTGATATCTTAAAGTGAACTATAGGTCTTAAAACCTCAAAACCTAAACCTCTTACTTGAAGTTTTATTAAAATTCATTGTGGCGGTTTATCTTCTCGTCTTTTGAGACATATCCCACACAATTCCCTCACATCCTTCCCCCATTTTCATCGAACTGCGACTTAACATTGAATTGCGCTTCTCGCAAGAATAATAATAATAGGACAGGCTCCAGAATCCAGAATCCACCCCAAACTAAATGACGCATCAGCAGCTTGTTTAGATACTGCGCTTCCGAGATAACTGGGCTTCAGTTTCAGTTTCCGTCCACTTTAGAATCACCCCCCTAAAAGCCCATCGTTGAATCGAGCCTATTAAGCATAAATCAGAAATCAAAGTGATTGCAACTTGATACCGACCGACGAAACGGAGCTCTGTTTGGAGGCTTGTATTACTGCTGCAAGTGCAGCTTATATAGCTCCATATGTGTGCCGATTTGTTATTTTTTCGCCACAGTCGCAAAGGTTCTTTGAACTGGGGAAAGCGACCCATTAAACCCGAGAATAAATGTGTAATTCATTTTGGGCAGAAAAAAAAGACAAGCAACACAACTCAGCATAAAGACTCCGCCAAGAACATGATGACTAACAGAGATTCAACCCCTTATGAGAGCAGAAAATGCGACTTGCGGAATTTCAACATTAAACAGAAGCTCAAGTAAATGCTGCTCATCATCATCATCGGATGAAAGTGAGTCTGAGAGCTCAGAGTTGCATACAATTAAAGTTGCCAAAAGTGTCTTAATCAGTAAATACATCTAATTTAGATATTACCTGACAGTCCATATCCTCTTTATCTTTATGTGACTTCTTTTGAAGATCTTATCGCTTGATATATAGTTCCCCAGAAGAACCGGGTTAAGTGCTCTGTTCGTTCTCCCCTTCATCGTTACTCAACAATGTGAAACCTTCGGTTTCTTAAGTGGTTAGGCTATATAGGGCTAGTGTAGACAGATAAAGTCGGAGATAATACGAGATAATAGTTAGGGTTTCAGCTTCTCCTCACCCGGAGCAAATTTTGTATTTATTTTTTCAATTAAACACTTGGGCAATCTGCGGAACTAATCTTCCTGAATGCTACACATTTGATTTATGCTAACCATGAAATATAAAAGTGAGACTTATCGGCGGGCAGCCAGGCCAAAAGGCCTTAGTAGCAGCGCCTAGAAATGAGCAATGTATTAGGCAATAATCTCAACTCGATAAGATAACCGGGCAGTCTGCGTTTCTATTTGTTTTCCGCTCTGTTCTATTTTACTTTACGCCTTCTATCCAAATCTCCAAACTGACCGCAACTTATCGCTCTTTTGGCGCTCTGGAGATTTGCAAAGGCTTGGGAAATGGAATCTTGATTGAATATCTGTAATTAGGAAATGCCAATGCGCTGAGGGTTTGTTTAATTAATTTTTTTTTGTGATTCATAAAGATATGGTTAAATGTTTTCAAAAATAAGTAAGGTTGAATTTCAACAGAAACCCCAATAAATAGGTATTCTACGTAGACCTACCTGATCTGAGACAATGCTCTAATTGCGCTTCATAAATTCGCGTGTGCGCCTTGCAGTTCCATAATTAACCTGCTGCCGGCAGTTATGGTGTGGGTGCATTAGCTGCTCTCCTCGTAGATTAAATGACAAACGCGCTATACGATTTCACCCGGATAAAAAAATACAAAACAAAAGCAGAAAACCATTTCAAAACTAGCATAACCACAAAGAAACAATGGCAAGTGACGCCCTCTGGCGGTCAGCGAAGCGCAACTAAAGCCACCCAACTATACGAATATGTTCCCTTCAAAGATCATACCATTTTCATTGATAAAACCAATCAATAGGGGACAAACTAAGTACAACACCTTTAAATAACATACTGTATAGCCCTGTAAAGTTTCATCTCAATCGGTTGATGGTTTACCTAAATTTTTACAGTACTTAATAGTATCATGTGAAAGGTTTTAACTTTGTTTTAATTATTAAATGTAATGCTTTTGCATAACTTGAGTCCATAGGTTTCAACTAAATCAAAGATTCATTATCATAATTAAATAAAACCATTTGGACTTTTAGATTTCTTTGCAGCAACTAGTAATTAACCCAGTTTAATTTGTGGACTGCATTTTTAATTATTTGCACGGCGCTCAATGGCAACTTATGCATGTCGCTAAATAAAGTCCCAGACCAAAGTCTATCTCTTTCTTTTGGACATCTCACTCCCACTTATTTGCAAAATTTTCGCCAGTCGAAGACAGTGCAAATTGCTGGCAATTGTTGTCAATTTAAAATTGAAAAGAAGTCAAATGTTGAGCATGCAACATCCCTATATATACATACATATATACGAGTAAAGGCAGAAGTATAGCCGCTGATCTTATGAGTATTTATGAGTTACGTCTGTGGAACAATTACGGTAGAGGAAATGTAAACATTCTTACGAGATGAAGATGCAACTAATTGAAAATAAATGGAGTTTTGGTTAAGAAATCAGACTCTCTTTCGTTATAAAAAACAATTAATAACTTATTTAAAACTAGCACCTGTTGGTCTTATTTTGCTGACGGCAACTGTATATGTGCTATCTCAGGAATCGCAAATTTTCACTTATCTCTGATGCTCCACATAGCGAAAAAGGTTTCTTTATTGGCCAGAGGTTTATATACAAGCATACATAGTACTATATAGTAGTATATCATGTCTCAAGGTAATCTTTTGATTATCAAGACGGTTAAGCCGGTTGAAAATTCTTCCCACTGTTTGATCAGCGTTTTATTTTCCTGGCAATTGTCACTGATTTCGTCATTTCTTTTTCTTCTTATGTCTCTACAGAGCTATCATCGAAAACTTGAGAATTTGCGTTTAAAAATAGAAGAACAACAATAACAAAATGAAGAATCACCTGCACTGAGCGGGCACAACAACCACAGCGCAACAGCGCAGTCAAGTTAAGGAAGAAACCAACTCCAAAATGGCCATCAATCAGGGCAAATACAAGCCAACGATCTGCGCAATCGACGAGGTGGACGACCGCAGCTACAAGCTGCACAACAGCCAGGACGAGATCAGGGGCAAGCAGCAGCTGCAGCAGATCGAGGGCAGCGAAACAGCACCGCTGACCACCAACCAGCAAAAGCTTCACATGGACGACGGCTCTCATTTGACGCCCAAGGATCTGGAGGCGGCGCGCCAAGATGCACTCAACGAGATTGGCGGCGCCAGCGGCGGTGGAGCTGGTGGCAGGACTCCGGCGGCAAACACACCCAACTCCACGCATCCCTCGGCCAATGGACTGAGAGGTGAGCAGCATTATGGTTGATTTCTCATCATCATTGCATTCCCCTACATTTTGTTTATTGGTTGTGATTCCATTTACTCATCCGCCATTTCATTCATTTCCGTGTCTTTCCATGATGATAGCTTTGCTGATTCCAGGCCGGCGATCCTTCGATGCGTTGATGAGTCTGTCCCGCAAGCGCCGCATTTTGTACGTAACGACCGCCTGTCTGTGCGCCCTGCTCCTGCTGATCATCATCCTGCTGCTAGCCTTTTGGCCCGAGGTGCCCTTCTACCTAAGAGCGCCGCTGTGTCTGGATAAGGAGTGCGTGGAGAGTAGCCGGCAGCTGCTCCTCTGGGCCAATACCTCAAAGAGCCCCTGCCACGAGACGTACGAGTGGGCCTGCGGTAACTTTGCCAGCGACTATGCCAACCACGACTACTTTGTGATCAAACGGGGCGAGTGGAACTACAAGACTTACAATGAGTATCAGGGTGAGCTTCAGCTTTGGCTTATCTCTAGATTTTAAATACTATACAGAAATATATATTTGTGCCGCATTGTTTGTTTCAGAACTTAACGAACTGAACCGCTTCATATCCATGCTTCCAAATACTGGCGAAGGCGCCTATTCCATCGAGTCCACGGTGACTAGTCTGTATCGAAGCTGCCGCGAGATTGACTCTCTGGACAAAAGTCAGTCGGATCTGCTGCTGAAACGAGCCATTAACGCTGTCGGTGAGTTCACTTGGGTTCGGTTAGTGGGATTTATATTTTGGCATCCACTTTTTGTATTGATTTTATGGGGTTTTTCATTTACCAAGATCTAGCAAGACAGGGTTGTATATTAAGAGTTTGCAGCTTTGATATTTTTAAAAATTGAATGCATGAATAGTTTATCTAGAAGGATATGCAAATAATAATATTAAATGTAATTCAAAGGGTGTTGCAATTTTTTTTTATATTTAAATTAACTTGAGTCCGCCCAAAAGTAGGCAATGCAATAACTGTTTATACGTAAAATAATGCGATTTTTATTAAAAGAAAAAAGGTTGTATTAGTGATTATTTTATGCCACATAAAAAGTCGAGATAAAATAGACTTGCCTTTTCCTTCTATAGCATTTTCTTTCCCAGAAAAATACCCTACAAAGCATCCTAAGGGATATTACTGTGAGAAATTAGACAGTAACCAGAAGGGATTGCTGCCCAATATTTATATTTAAGTCACAGAGTTGCCAATTTCTGCCTAAAATTGTATATAAACATATAACAAAATTACTAAAATAATTAATAAAAAATAAATTAAATTTGTTAACTTGTTTTCTTTTCTTTTCTTTAAATTAACGAGTTCTAATCTCTAAAAGTATAACATTACATTCAGTTTCCATATTGCTCTAACCATAAAAATAAATAAATATCCAACAAAATGATTTCTATCTCAAGAAAAAATCAGTTTAAGGCATATTTTTCAATGTTAATTTGTAAAAATAACTAACCTTGGACTTAGGATCATAATTATCAGAAAAGCTCTAAAAATTGTATGAGACCTCAGTGAACTCGGTTTAAAAAAGGCTTCAATGACTTCCCCAAGACCTTAGTCATGTGATTTAAGTTAAAACCCCTTTGAGTTATTCTTCTATTTCATTATTTTATTAATTATTTATGATTTCACAAAAAAAAAAAAATCTTTGACTATTGTACAGAAAAAATTGTTGCTATCCTTCGATCCTCGCACTTAAGTGACCATTTATTTGCCATTGGGTGGCAGATAGGTGGCACTCTGGGCGTTCTTGTGGGTGGCAATGATGTTGGCGCCTCCGGTGGCACCTCCAGAAATGCCGCCCGATGACGAGGACGAGGTATAGGTTCCACCAGTGGAACCGGCTGTGTAGCCACCAGTCGATCCAGAGCTGCCGCCGACAAAGTGAGAGCTGCCAGTGCTTGCAGCACCGATAGCACCACCGGCACCACCGTCCAGGATGCCAACCACCGACTGGGCAGGAGCCACACCACCATCGGTGTGCTCCGAGGTTCCCTCGATCCTGTCGTATTCGGCTGCAGAAAATTGATAGATTTTAGATTTGAGGGGTCACCACAGTATGACCATGAAGAAAAACTTACCCTGGATCTGCTGCTGGGCGTGCGAGGCCTCCGCATCGGTCTTGTACTTGATGAAGAAGACCTCCGGCTTGCTGGGCACCGTCGGCGCGGGCGTGGCAATATCGTTGACCTCCAGCTGGTTGTCCTTCTTGCTGAGCACATAGATGACGGTCTTCTCCTCCTTGGGGGCATACTCGGCCGACAGCTTAACGTTGGCGTTGCTCGAGGACGGGGCCTTGATGAAGACCACACGATAGTTCTTCTGGGGACGACCGATCACCAGATGCTTGGAACGCTCCAGATTCTCGTGCTCCTCGGGAGCGGCGACGGTGAAGAACTGCTTGTGGATAATGGGCTCCTGGAAGCCGCGCTGGACCTCCTGCTCCTGCTGCTGCTGGTAGGTGGGTGCCTGGTAGCCGGCCAATCCGCCGAAACCGATGTTGGGCGATGGCCCGAAGCCGGTGAAGGAGCTGCCGCCAGAGCTGCCGCCATAGTTGGAGACGGATGAGCCGTAGTTGGAGGCACCACCGCCGTAGTTGGAAGAAGAGGATCCAGAGCCACCAGAGCTATAGGTGGTGCCATGACCGCCGCCATAATGGCTAACCGACTGGGGGGCAGAGGGACTGCTCACCAGGGAGCCAACGCTGGCGCTTTGGAAGGCACCGAGGGGACCGTACGAGGCCACCGAGCTCTGCGAGTGACTGGGAGCGGCCAGGAAGCCGCCGGAGCTCAGAGAGCCGGAGACTCCGCTGCCATAGTTGTAGCCCTGGGGCTTGGCCTGGCTAAGGGTCACCAGAGTGCAAAGGGTCTGCAACGAATTTTGAATTAGTTATTGTGTAATCCTCGGGGCGATCCTCTGGTTAATCCTCAGGGTAATTCTCCGGTCACTTCCGAGTTGTCCTGCCCTGGCAAACTTACCACAAATAGACGCATGTTGAGTGGCTTTCAGTTGTTGGCTTAATGATGCTCCCCCTTGAAGATCTTTGGCCTTTTATACCCCGAATATTGGTTCCTCCGCTTCTCACTGTTTTTCTATAATTTTTTTTCCTTCTCGCCGGTTTAATTAATTGCTCAATTATTTGGCTATGCCGAACCTCTGACATTTGACTTGTTTGTCTGTCTCTTTCACGCTTCCTTTAATGTGACCTGTTGTCCATCGATATTCGTTTTGCTTTTGTTATTGTTTTTGTTTTTGTTTTGATTTTGGTTTTTTTTTTTTTTTGGTGATAATAAATCATAGCTGAATATTCGCCGGTCTTTCGAGCAACTTGATCGCCGGTGGATCGGTGGATCAATTTCCATTTGAATTTTCAAAGACCCCTCTCATGAAATTCGGTTGCATTTTTGTCCATTTTGTCGCATTGTTTATCGTCATTATTATTATATATCTATCCCCGCCAATTTTCAAGATGAATGCAAAATTTTGCATAAAATCCTCGATTGATTGATTGATTTTTAGCGGTATTCGACGATATATGTGGAAACGCGTTTTTAACTTAATTTGATCAGCATTGAGAAGTCATTCATTGAACTTAAAAGATTTGATTCCTGTTATGCGACATTTTTCGAGGATACTTCATGGTGTTAAAAACGGAAATAGGAAGGATACTTAAGGTATACAAGGGAAGTCTTTTTTGTTGTTAAATACTTTTGTGTAAAAACATTTTCTTGTGCACTTAGCCATGTTCGATTTTTATACCCTTTGAGGGTATTATTATTTTATTCAGTAGCTAGTAAGGCAGTGATTAAGTCATTTCCGACCCTATAAATCATTTATATTCTTGATCAGCAGTAACAGGCAAGTTTTTCTAGCCCTATTTGACACAATAAATTTTTAAAAGGATATTATTTTAAAGGATATTAATAAATTGAGTCCATAATTGGTGTTGCCCAACTTGTTCCAAGTTACATTTGCCTAGCAACATTTTGCTAGCAACCTAGAAACATTTCCTAGCAATATTTGCCTATCAACATTTGCCCAGACACATTTTCTTGAGCCTAAAGCCATTTAAAATTTTGAATTTGTAGTTTCCTTTATTAATTTCAGGTGGTATTTTAAATGATAAAATTATTAAATGTTTCATTTGTTAATTTTAATTATTTAGAATGATATAAATAAATTGAGTCCACAATTGGTTTGGAATTTCCTAGCAATATGTGCTGGAAACCTAGAAACATTTACTAGCAACATTTGCCTATTAGTATTTGCCCAACATGTTCCTAGCTACATTTGCTTAGCAACATGTGCTGGAAACCTAGAAACATTTACTAGCAACATTTGCCTATCAACATTTGCCCAGGCACATTTTCTAAGGTGTATCGGCATTTGAAATTTGTAATTTGTATTATTTTTTATTAATTGCAGGTAGTATTTTAAATGTTTATTAAATGCGACTTAATATTTACACACGTTAATACTTTTTAAAAAGAAGTTCCTTATTCATTCAGTTTCCTTACTTAACATATTTTTCGCGCCAAAACTTTCAATTTCTTCAGCCATTCTCTTTCTTTCTTTGGTCTCAACATCTTTTTTAAATACATATATTTTTTTATTAAGCGATAGTGTAACGAAGCTTGATTGATGGGCGCAATTTGTTTGCTGTCTGTCTGTCCGGGTTGGATGGTCAAACAAATTCTTGGAAGAATCTTGTGGGTTCTCTCGTTTGGTCCGGTGATTTTTCTTTCTTGTTTTGTGATTTTTACTTTTTTTTTTCGTGTGTTTGTGTTTGGTTCTCCAAGAACAGAACCTGCTTCCGCTATGATGGGGACTTTAGTTTGACGTATTAAGCCATTGTTAACAAGAGCTTAATTATGTTGAAGGCATTAGAAACAGCATTGCTAAGAGCATTGGATTATTATTTATATTATTTCTTGAGTGTTTTGCCACAGGCGCAGCAGCCAAACCACTGCAAACTTTGAATTTTGTATACTCTAAGGCTTTGATTTGATTTAAAATTTGCGACATAAATAGATCATTACCCTTTGATGATTAGCGGCAAAGCAACAAGCCAAATTCATTTATTTTTATATATATATTTTTTATGCATTTATTAAATTTAATTTGCTTTAGTTTTTGTATTGCAACACAAGTAAAACACACTCAAAAGTCCCATTTCTGGTTTCAACAAAAGGGTATCCACTGAGAGATGTATGCATAGATTATGCCTGCCGTCTGTCATGGTCTATTTTTAGTTAAAGCCACTAAAAGCAGAAATTCCAAAAGAGACGCTAAGCACTAGCAACACATCTTTGACTTTGGTTTTTGTTGATGAAAAATTTCAATATAATTGCCATAATTTGAATGCGTTTTGGGCAGGGCCAGGTCTTTAGGGCCATTAAGTTGTGAGTGTGTATGATGTGTGATTTATGCACGCATTTTGGCCACCTTGGAATTATGATGAATATTATTGGATTATTGGTGGTGCTTTGGGATAGGCTTAGAATCGAACTTTTTAGTTTTAAATTTTCGCTTCGGGACCTTGGCCATCGCTCGTTGATTGCCAAACATCTTTCTTTGTTTCATTTTTTTTTTTTTTTTTTTGGCAAGCAACCAAAGATTAATTGCTGCCAAATTGTTGCTGCTGCCAATCAAAAAAAGGTCGCCCAGTTGATGCCCAAAAATGGCTTGCAAAAAAATATATTAAAAAAAAACAAACTATCCATCCATTAATTAAATGCAAATGCAAATAAATCCAAAGAAGATAAACTGGTGGCCAAAGAGCCAATAAAAAAAAAATCAAAAAACTGCATTGCCGTTTTGCGGTTTCTTCATTTTTCGGTTGCCACTTGCAAAATTTATGCAGATTTTTAAATTATTTTCGGCCACAATCCTATTTGGTCGATATTTCAGAGCCCCTTACGGCAAGGCTTGTTAAAATATTATATATTTTTTTTAAATTAAAGTATATATTGAGTCGAAAAAGGGCTTAATATATATATATATATATTTATATAAAGCCCTGACTTGAGACTAGTGCTGGAACAAACATCGATGTTTATTCGATACAATCGATGTTTCAACAAAATCGGCCAACATCGATGTTCACTTGTCAAACATCGATTATTTTCAACAAAGGCAAGAAGGCAGAATTGGCACACTAGATCAAACATTTTTTTAAACATCGATTATTAATCGATGTTTTTTATGAAAGTACTCACAAACATCGATGTAAGCAAACATTGATGGTTTTCCAGCACTACTTGAAACTCAGCTAATTTCTTTTTCCGATTTATATATATATATTTCTTTCATTAAAAATCAATTTTTAAAATTTATAAAAAATGCTTTAGGAAACTCATTTACTCACAATATTTATTTATTTAAAATTTTTCATAGTTTACAATATTTACTGAGTATTATTGATGAATTTGTTTTAAAACAGCCATAATGAAATTTGTAAATATTTCACATGTTTTTGTATTTTATTGCTTTTTTTGTTGAATATTTTTCTATTATAGTTTTAATTTGTTGTATTTTAGTTGAGTTAATTTTTAAATTAATTTAATTTCTTTTTTATTATCATATATATTTAACAAGCATTGCATAAGCTTTTTATTTGTTAATCTTCTCTTGTTAATTTATTTTTTATTTGATTTTTTATTTTGTTTTTTTAACCAATAAGCTCGTCACAAACTTGCCTCTAAATTCCTCTCCTTTGTCACAGGGTCAAAGCACTTTTGCAAATCAGATATCACCGGAAAAAAATAAATAAAAAATGTTTGCAAAAATTATACAACCAAAAAAATAATTAAAAGAAACCATTTTTATTTACGCGTTCACCAAGTTTTATGATAAATTCGTTTGCCGATGGAAATGGCTTATCAATTATATGCAAATAGCATGGAATATTCAACGGATATATATACGTATATATATTTATTTATCTGAATAAGATATTCGGGCTTCAGTACGACCTCTCCACTGGCGCCAAGAGCGTGGAAGGCGGCGATGGTCTATCGTAGTGATAGCCAGGGGACTGACTCGACGGCGCTTGATAGGGCGAGGTCTGGTGGGGATTGAGCGCTCCAATCACCGACTGAACGGGCGCCACATAGGGAGCCGCTATCTCACTGTTTCCACCCAGCTGGTCGTACTGCGTCTGGATCTCCTTTTGGGCGGCGGCCGCTTCCTCATTCGTCTTGTACTTGATGAAAAATATGTCTGGCTTCTGTTCCGTTTGGGGTTTCTCCCGCGGCGCCACTATGTCCGTGGCCTCCAACTCCTGCTGCTTTTTGGTCAGAACGTAGATGACCGTCCGCTCCTCCTGCGGCGCCAATTCGGCCGTGTACCTCAATCTCTCACTATTGGCGGCCGGCGCTCGTATAAATATCACACGATAATTCCGACGAGGCTGACCAATGACCAGGTGCTTGCTCCTGGGCTCCAAATCCTCGGGATCTTCGGCCGGCGAGATGCTATAGAACTGTTTTGTTATAATGGGTTCCATGACAGGATTAGCCGGCGGTGGCAAATAGGTGCGCGATGGTAATCCCTGAGCCCACGACAGACCCACCAGCGAGAGGAAAAACCAAGCAAACAAGTTCAACATTTCGCGGCTTCCAGCAGACAACTGTTTTGGGCCACTTGGCTCAGCTTCACTTTTAAAAGAGATCTAGTTAGATCTTTCACTCCGATTACCTGCCAAATTTGGGAAATCTTTATTGTTATTTTCATATTTTCGCCAGCAAATTGCTTGGTTAAGAGCTGCGAAAACAAAAGACTTGGGCAACAAACTTGGCCCGGCCAGAAAATTAATTGTGCGTGAAAATGCGGCAGCACAGAAGCTTCAAAATGTATTTCATTATTGATGTAAGCCCTGGCCAGGGTCTGAGTGTTTCATAATTTATAAAGTTTCATTACCTAGATGATCCAGATCTTTATTTGGTGTATTTTTACAGGCACAAAATCTTGAAAATTTAACAATGAGATGAGTTTTTGTTGCAGATAAACTTTTGAAGTAGGAAAGACTCTCAGAAAAGTCTGGGACAAAATATTTATTACATGAAAACCCATTTAAAAATATTTTAAAAAATCTAAAAACATATTTACCAAAAATCAAAACTGTGAATAAATTTTAGAAAATATAATAAACTAGAAATTTAACTAGAAAAAAGCTACAGAAAACTAGAAAAAAACGTTAGCTAAAATGCACTTTTAAAACTTTCAGAAATTTTCAAAAAAACCTAGCGAAAACTGAAAAAAAAACACCATAAAACTCATTAATTAGGAAATTCTATTAAAAAAAAAAAACACAAATTAATCACAAACTAGAAGTCTCAACAAATTTTGAATAAAACCCCTAAGCGAAAAAGCTTTAAATGTTTCCAAAATGTGATGAACTTGAAACAAATTAATGTTCGTTCTGGAAATTAGAAGAGCCTTCTTTAAAAGTATTTTTTAAGCTACGATTCCTTTCCTAAACCCACAAGTTCAGTGCCCAATAACCTCGAAGAATGATTACAAAACCCGTATTAGCCAGAAAAATCCCCCGACTATAAGTTTAAAAAGCAATTAATTAAGTTTTCTGTTCAGTTTTATCTTCGATTTGGACATGGCCTTTCGTTATGCTCTTCTCACATCTCACAGATTTTTTTTTTTTGCAGATTTACAGATCATTTATCATTTATTTTGGCTCAAATTTAGGCGGAAAGACAGTGTTGCATATCGCTAGGAGCATCATTCAACGCCCTCGCCTTTGACTAATGATCTTGGCCAGCTCGCTGGCTGTGTTACCATCTTGCATTTCGACCAATTTCGATTTCTATTCCAATTTCGATTCAGTTATTTGGTTGGCGCAGCCTCGACGCTGACTAGTAGATTAATTTCAAAGCTTTTTCGTCTTTTTCTCTATTTTTTATATATATTTTTTTTCTTTTTAGTTGTCAACAAGAGACAATTAAAATATCAACAATGGCTATGGCTTAGTTTCTGTCATTTGTTGTTGGAAACTGGCTCGATTGTGTGTGTGTGTGCATGGGATTTGCATAAATTAACGCGCAATTCCCACACTTTCATGTCGCATTTAAGCAAAATGGTACAGCTAATTTGATTTATGCTCGATTTTATTAAGAAAAATTGTGTGTGGATGTGCTTATTATGAAGATGTTACCTTACTATCGACCTCTTTGACTTCAAAGGTCAAGATATGATATTTGGAACTCTTGGAACTCTTAAAGATTTCTGAGTAACGAGGGTATTATAATAATTATAAAAGGAAATATATTGTAATTGTCAGAAAGAGACACCTTTTGACTTTATAAAGTATATTTAAACAGGTGTCTTGGAGTAGTATATAGATTTTAAAGGTCTAGCTTTATAAAATCTACAAAATATTAAAAGGATAAGGCTTTCTTATTTTTTGTCAAATTTTTGTAATGGAAAAAAATTCCATTTCTTATGCATTTTATCATGTTAAATTTCATACTAATTTCATTTATTTAATGTTCATTTTTAATTTATTCTAAAAAACAATCATATATTAAATAAATTTCTTAAACTAAAATAAATATATTTCTATAAATATAGAACACAAATATTAATTATTATACTAATTTCATTTATTTAAATTTAATTTTAACAATCATATATATTGAATATATTTCTTTAAATAAAAAAAATATATATATATTTGTTTAAATAAATAAATAAAAAAAAAAAAATTTAAATACATAGCTATAAATAATATTAAATATAATTTTGTATACTCTTTTCCTTTATTTCAATTTAATTTTTAAATAATTCTAACAAACAACCATATATAAAATATAGTTCTTTCAAAGAAAGTTCCCTAGTCTCATGTTAACGAGTTACTAAGCCTTTGAGGAGTTTACTTTAGAAACAAAACAATAACATCAACACTCAAACCCCCAAACCTTATCAATATAATTAATTAAATTACAGAGATTAATACCAATTAAATAAAGAAGAATTGACTTCCCCAATACCCAAATGGATCTGCTCGCTAATGTTTTATTTGTTGGGTTCAATTTAACGATTCAACATTAATCATCGACTGCTCTTTGCTCCGTCTCTGGCTCGGTCTCTTTTTTTATGCAGCGTCAGTTTAATGGTCCAATCAAAGCAACAAAAAAGCCACACCAGAGACAGAAAAAAAAGAAATATATATGTATAAAGCTCCACTATTTAATTAAATTTGATGAGCTTATTTTGATTTCTCACTTCATTTAAGCTAATTTCTGTTGGAAATTTTGACAGCAGTTCCTCTGTTGTTTGGATTCCGATTTCGATTTGGATTCGGATTTGGATTTTGATTTTGATTTGGATTTGGACATATTGAAATGTGAACTGAGCTGATTTGAATATCGGGAAAAAAAAAACGAAATGCTTGACTCGGCGCTGCTTCGATTTGTTTTTGACTTTGACTTTGATTTGAATTTTATTTAATTTCCAACTGCCAGAAGAAACATTTCAATTTATAGGATTTTTATTAATTTTTTAAATGACTAACCGACCTTAGGCTTCTTTTAATCTTCTTTTTCTTATTTATTTATATATTTCTTTTTATGGAAAATAAGTAGAAAGGCTGCCGAAGATTGTATACCTTTGGAGTGTTGTAATAATTGTTGGGATTTATGGTTAATACATTATGCCTTGAGGTTAAGGTTCTTTTTTCTCTCTTCCTTTTACCTTGAAAATATAATACAAAACAAGGATCTGTGTCTTGAATTTTTGCTACCAAAGTATTCCAATTCCAAGAAAATCCATGCGTTGCTGAAACTCTTTGAACTATTCACCAACGCATGGATTTATTGGTGAATCTTTATTGGAATATTCCCCAACGCATGGATGTTCTTGTATTTTACACAAAATTTGCAAAATAAACAACTTTTCTTTGTCTTAATTTTTTTTTAAATATAAACTTTATTAGCAACAAAATAACAATTAACATAAAAAAAAAAAACACAAAAAAATAGAAAAGTTTTCTTAAAATTACGCAACACAACAAGGGTCTGGGATGGGGTTTCTTTTTGGGTGTTTTTTGGGAGGTGATTCTGCTGATATTGTGGGTATTTAGGTGGCGGTGGTAATCCTCTAGTGCTTCAGCAGGCTGGGCAGATACTGGGCGCTCGGGGGACGATTGGCAATCTGCCGGTAGTTGTAGCTACCATCGGGATTCAGGCCATCGAGGCTGCCGATCACCGAGGTAATGGGGGCATTGTTGTCCTCCTGGTACTCATTGGTGCCACCGAGCTTGTCATACTGTCCCTGGATCTCCTGCTGCGCCTGCTTGGCCTCGTCATCGGTCTTGTACTTGATGAAGAACACCTCCGGCTTGCTGGGCTGCGTCGGTGCCGGGGTGGCCACATCGCTGGCATCCAGATCGTTGTCCTTCTTGCTCAGCACATAGATGACGGTCTTCTCCTCCTGCGGCGCAAATTCGGCCGAATACTTGACATTGGCATTGTCGCCGGCCGGGGCCTTGATGAACACAACACGGTAGTTCTTCTGGGGACGTCCCAGCACCAAATGCTTCACCTTGCCGTCGTTGCTGTGGTCCTCGGGAGCGGACACCAGATAGAACTTCTTGTTGATGATCGGCGCCTGGGTGGTGCTGGCCGGGGGCAGGTACTTGTCGCCGCCGCGATGCGGCTGGATGGCTACCAGGCCGGTATCGGAACCAGAGCCCGAACCGATGCCGGAGCCCCCAATGCCGAGGCCAGAGGAACTCGATCCACCGCCGCCGAGGAAGATGTCCGACGGGGAGCCAATGCCGCCGACCGGGTGCTCGTATCCGTATTGAGGACGAGCCTGGGTGGCCGCCACCAGGAGCAGGCATCCAAGCAAGACTTGCTGAACGAACATGGTTGGTGTCTCCTTTGCTCTTTTTTTAACCGAAACGTAAAAAAAAATCGAAGTAATCCTCTGTGATCCTAGGGTAGCTGTCGTTGGCTGCTCTTCGTTGAATTGCTGCGAGTCAATGATTGCATTTTGGGCCGCTCCACTTGGCTTAAATATGCTCCGGATCGGATCGGATCCGATCTGAACTCTCTGTCGGCGTCGCTGTTTATGCAAATGTCACCGTCCAACATCACCATCGCAGAGCCTATGCGCTGGCCCGGCGCTCGGACTGACCTAAAACTTATTCAAATCAGAACGAATACGTTTTCTTTGGCTCGTCTCTTTCGGGCTGGCATTGAACTTGACTGCTCCATGGTTGACCCTGGCGATGGCTCTGGCAAATATCTAAATTTGCCTCTTCATAGCCCACAGCCCATGCAGATGCGAAAACTATTGAATGGAGCAGCCCGCAGCCCCCAGTCCCCTTTCGAGCCCAGCGAATCTCATTAAACGGCACCGCGTTGTCACCATCACATCATCTTCATGCGGCGCATCAATCTTGGCCAGAAACCAAACACGTTCGCTGGGGATTTCTTCTCCCCTCCCTCCCGTGGTCGTCAGTCATTAGTTTCGAGCATATTCGGCCATCAATTAATTGGCAAATATCTATAACAGTTGGCTTAATCAGTGAATAATTTAGGCCTGAAAATATTAGTGTTGGGGCTTTAGGGCCTAAAGCATTTCTTTTTTTTTTATGTTGATTTTTGGGGTGTGATTTGAGTTTCTCTTTACTTTTAGTTAAAGGAGTAAAAATAAGAGAGTAAAATAATAATAACTAACATGAAATTGGAGTTTTACTATTATAATATTTACTTATATAAAGCTCAAAGAATAGTTTGACTTTGTAATATGAGTTTAAAATATTTATATATTTTCCTTTCTTTTAATTTAACTCTATACAAATAAATGGGAGATATATATTATAGAAAGATATATATATTATATATTATAGTTTATACAACTATATAGATTATATATTATAGGTAGATTTACACATCTAGATTATATATTTACACATTTTTATTAATTGGCAAATCTTTAAAAGGGTGCAATTTGTGTATTTCTTACTTTATAACCATTTATTTATAACATTAATTGTATTTAACATTTTTATTTCTGTCTATATTAATTATATTTTAGATTATATTGTATATATTTATATATAAATATTTATATTAATTATCTAATTCAATTTAATTTTCTTATACGAATGCAATTTTATATTTTTTAAATAAAAAACAATTTCTTAATAATCTAATTAAATGTATTAACCATTTTTTACCCACAAAACTCGATGGCATTATTTCAGTTACTAAATAATTAAGTAATAAATCAAGAAACTTGATTAGAATTGAGCTTTTTACTATTTTTAGCAAGGCAATTCCTTAATTATCACATACGATTTTTTACCTAAATCAAATATTTGACTTTTGCTAATTAAATAAAGCTAAAGTTCAAGTTTTTTTTATATATATATTATATTTATATTTAATATATTTATATTATTATATCTAATATATTTGCTTTAAAGACAAGTTAATATGGTAAGAAAAAAATTACTTCAACATATAATTTGGATTTTGTTTAGCTTGCAAAAATTATCTATATTTATATATTTTCTTATATATATTTTTTGAATATTTATTTATTTTATATATATGTATTAGAAATATATATATTTATATATATTTTCTAATATATATTTATTAGATTTATATTTATTTTAAATATTAATATAAAATGTATATTCTATAACATTTATATTATATTAAACCCATATAAGGGCTAGCCTTTCGCAGCCATTTAAATGTTTCCGTTGCATAAAAAGTATACCATTCTTGGCCAGTACAATGCATATATATTATATAGCCTTTCTGTTTCCGATCCAATGGCTGGAATTTCCCAGCAAATTAGGTGCTCGGCTTTTGTGACTACCATATTATTATTTTAGTTTTTATCACCCTAAATGGCGGTGACCGCTAAATCTATCGATCTCTGTGAGTCACCGCCAGAGATCAGAAGATAAACATTCACCTGCTCTTTAGACCGCTTTTGGAGGACGCAATAAATATTGCAAAAATAAAATCATAAAAAGCATAATTTGATCATATTATCGGACGAATATATATATATATATATATTATATAGAAGAAGACGCCACCGAATTTGAATAATGGCTTTGAGCGGATTTATGGGCCAAGAGAGGTGGATTAATGACAGAACACATAAACGAATAAACGAATAAAACTGATTGACATAATGGCAATGCATATTCTAAGTGTTTCCGACTTTGATTCGGACTAAATTAGCCATTAGCAGCGAGTATCGCAGATCACAGATCACAGAGATCGCATATCGCCAGCGCCAGCGCCATCGGATTATGGAAAACCGAACAAAATGATAATTATCAATTAGGCATTCCATATTTATAACCTGGCATGGATGGCATCTGCGATCGCCGCTCGCTGTGCTGAAAATTTATGTAACATTTTATTGATGATGACAGTAATATAGAAATCGAATCGAGGGACAAATCGCTTGCCGCCGCCCAGCTCTTGGATCTCTTAGATCGATCTCAATCTGGCGGAGGGTTTTCTGCCAGCTACTGTCGGCGCTGTGTTTTTTTATTTAGTAGGTGTGATTATCTTTATGCTAAAGATCTTGGCTGGCTGCCTCTCAGCCATTGATATGCAGATCTCTAGTCTTAAGATTTAGATACCAAGATACTGAGATACTCAGATACTCGGCCACAGATGGAGATACAGATACAGATAGAGATACAAGTGGGTATATATTTGGTAATTGACGGGTAAATTAGTTCACTTGGGCGTGGCTGCTGCATTATAACGTATAACTAATTTTTATCTTAATACCCTTTGGTATTTTAATGCGACTTGCATTGGCATGATGGGGGACAACCTTGGGGCCCTGCATACCGATAGATACCCAACAGATTCCCCCTCCCATTCCCACTACACCGAGTGGAGTATCTTTTAAGTCGCTAATTTATTTACCTGCCCCGCCGCCGAGTGGTTTCTGTGAGTCGAGTTGGTTACCGCCGGTTGGCCAGTTGGCCAGTCGATCGGGTTGAACAATTATGAGCAGCTTGCCAAATACTACTTGGCCTAGACGCTGAGAGGCGTTGGTATCATTGGACTTTCCGTCAGGGATTATGCAACTGGCAGGGCGGTCTTAAACAGGTTGCAGCTCCAGGTGATTGGTAATTGGGTTTTCCACGGCGACAAAGGGAAGAAGAGAAAGAATCCTCTTCAAACCAAAATCAAAACTCATTTCTTAATTACATTTTTCTGAATGCCTATGAGAAAACTCTTAAAGTTTATTATTATTAAAAAAAAAAAAAATTATAGTGCAAATATCTAAATAGGATAAAAATCGCAAAGGTTTCCCCGGCGGTAATTCCACTGCGATAGACCCCAAACCCTAGGGGGTGTTCAATCCAGTCCGAATTCCCCGAGGCTCCAACAGTGTCTGTGTGTGTGTGTTTGTCCTTGGCAGTGTTGTGGCAGTGTCATATGTGAATGATACGATACATAGGATATGGTTCTATAGAGGTGAAGGAGCCTACTTTCGCACCGGCTTTACGGGCAGATAAGTGGCCTGGGCATTGGTGCCGGAGATCACCTGACTGATCACCTGGCGCTGGCTACCCTCACCATCGTAGGCAATGCCACCGCCATTGAAACCAGCCTCCACGGTGGGCACACCACCGGTTCCAACAATGTTCAGGCCACCGCTGGCATCTGTCACAACGCCGGAGGCGCCATTGTCGCCCAAGCTACCGATCACCGAAGAGGTGGCAATGACGCCCTCGTTGCTGGTCTCCGAGGTTCCACCCAGAGCATCATAGTTGGCTAAGGGAAATTTAAAGGAAATTTAGATTAATTAATAATGAAAACCTAGAAATATGATTCCCTGTAAAAGGTATAAAAAGCCTCACAAGTCTAAAGACTACTCCAAAATTAACAAAATATTACCCTAAATAACTTGTTTTAGAGGGTTTTTGAATAGTTTTGGGTTTAATTTAGCTATTAAACTTGATAAAAACTAGTTTTTTGTAAAATTAGAGATCTTAAAAATGGTTTAAGGTTTCATAAACTCCTGGGAAAACAAGTAGAGAGTCTAATAACATGATTTTCTTTCGAAAAAAAATCATAAAATAAATAAATTACTAAAAAAAATATCAAAATGGATATATAAACCAAGACTAGGACATTCCCCCAACATAGTTTATGTTAATCCAAGAAAACTACTGTTATTTACTCACCCTGAATGGTCTGCTGGGCATGGGCCGCCTCCTGTGGCGTCTTGTACTTGACGAAGAAGACCTCCGGCTTGTTCTGCACCGGGCGCTGTGTGACCACCTCGGCGGAGACATCCAAAGCATTGGACTTCTTGGACAGGACATAGATGGCGGTCTTCTCCTCAACAGGAGCCACATTGGCAATAATCTTGGCCTTGCTGGTGGTGGAGGAGGGAGCATTGATGAACACCACACGGTAGTTCTTCTGGGGCCTGCCCACGTTCACATAGCGGACGATCTGCTGCTCATCATGATCCTCAGGGGCACTGTGGATGTAGAAGTGCTTGCTGATCTGGGCGGGCTGGAAGTTGGCCAGGTGGCTGATGTACGACTCCTGCTCGTTGTAATTGATGGTGGGGCCGGGCTGCAGACCGGCCAGGCCGATGCTGTCCGAAACGCCAGAGGACTCGGCCTGGTAGCCCAAGGAACCGGAGGAGCCCGAAGAGCCCACCTGGTAGCTGATGCCCGAAGAGCCGGCAGAACCCACTTGGTAGCTAGCTCCGCCGCCGCCGCTCAGCTGTCCGATGGCTGGGGCAGAGCTGAAGTAGTTGGTGCCGGCAGCCGTGGGCTGGTAAGAGGTGGTCACCACCGGTGCACTCACCACCTGATTGGTGACGAGGTTGCCATTAAAGCCACCAGCCTGATAGGCATAGCCGGCCAAGTGGCTGACATCCGGACGGGGAGCGGCCAAGGAGCCACCGATCAGGGCCAGGCAGGCCAGAACCTAAAGGTGAAGTTGGATTAAGTGACTGGAGGCTACTGATCCTTGCTCCTCTTACCACAAACTGCTTCATGCTGGGTGTGCTGGGTACAGATGGATGGATGTGAGGAGGAGCAACTGTCGCTCTGGAGGTTTGATCGATTTGATATGCCAGTCAGCCGCCACTGTCACCTTTTATACCGCCCAGAGAGAGGCGCCTTTAATTGAAGTTAATTAAAGTGGTTTGCAATAAATCGTTAAAAAACTATAACACCCAAGAGATCCATCCAAGTTCGAAAATCCCCACTCTGCCGCCTACCAATAACTACAAATCCGGCTAGCACGGCTGGCATTTTGATTACCAGCTACGAGTATTTCATCTTTTTACGGTATACATTTGTTTGTATCTTTGGTATCGATTGCCACCGCAAGTGCTAATTGCCAAAGTCAACAATACGATCCGTGGAACAATCGATTTCTATGTGTCTGGCAGGGTGTCGCTGATTCGGCTTTCATGGTGCATATGATGAAACCCGAGCGGCAAGGAAGTCGGACATGGTGGGGTCATCTGGTGGGTTGGGGTAAATGATGTCTATATGATGGTGGTTACTGCCTTCTTGCCAAGCTTCCCCATAAAATGGGTGATAAGTGCAACTGATGGGGGAGACTGGGGGGGAATTTATCACGCAAAGATTGCCTAGAATATGGTTTTATGGTTATTTTGGTATTGATATTGTTAACTCTCAACTAGAATTTGATGATATTACATATATTTATTTTTATAGTTATTTTATTTTACAGCTAGAACCCCAAAGAAAGTAATCGTTTTCGCAGTCTAGTAAAATACAAGTGCTTAAGGAACCCTTTCAAAAGAAGTTCTACTGTTCTTTAAACTTGATTTGACTTAAAGAATAATAATTCATAATCCATAGACTGTTTTTTCTTCGTGTTTTCTCCCTTAATATATATGCATTTATATTTAATATAATTATTATAATAAATTTATATAAATTATGAACTAAGAAGAGCATTCACAATTCCCCCCTTGAACCGTCTTAACCATCTCTCTTCCCTGGTCTTTGTTTTATTTAATTTTTTGGCTCAATATACATATATTTTATGATTGCAAGCGAAGACGGGACTGAGCGCCCTGAAAATTTCAAGCAGCCAAACATTTTAGCGCCTTTAATTGCCATAAACCGATCGATATATACACATATCAACCTGTATATAGACGGATCTATGCCATAATGATGATGTGTGCATGCAACTGGGTGCTTTGGGGGAACTTCGGGGGTTTTCCCACCCAGAACGGCGAAATAAAGAACCCGAACCTGTCGCATGATTCTTTGGGATAATGATTATTATGGCTAACCAGTCTGTCTTGATTTTTGGTCTACATATATTTCTTGCAGGTGGCTGGCAGGCATTTCGAGAGACAAATCGACTGCAGTCCTGGGACTACAAGCGGGTCCTGGTCCTGCTCCAGGCCAAGTACGGCATCTTTCCCTATTATCGCGTCAGCGTGGAGAATGGATATAGCAATCCCCATGACTATGTGATCACCCTGGACGAGGGCGAGGTGGGGCTGCCGGACAAGTACTTTTATGGCAACGATGCCGACGAGGAAGTTGTACGCGGCTACAAGCTGCTCCTCAGGGATTTCGCCATCAACATGGGTGGGTTACTACTTTAATTATTCAATTTAAATAAATTGATCAAACTAATTTATATATTTATGTCTTAGGAATTGTTTCCCGTGAGGCGGACCTTTTTGCCGATGATATTTTCCATTACGAACGACGCATTGTCAATCACATTGAGGATGCCAAGGCTGGCGGAGATCGGCAGCTAAACAAACTGATGAGTCTCTCCGATCTGAAGACAAAGGCCCCCTCGGTAGAAATAGGATTTATAGTTTACCAAGCTGCCCAGACCTTAATGCTCTCTCTCTCTCTTCCACAGTTGCCCATTCTGGAGTCTCTGCAGGCCATGTTCCCCAAGACCAAAATCACCGAAGACACCGAGGTACTAGTGCGCGATGTCGAGGTCTTGCATGCCGTATCCGTGCTTCTCTCCACCTCGGACAAGAAGTGAGTGATAAATCACACCAAAATATAGTAAACAATACAATATATATGATATTTTACAGGCCCATTAACAACTTTATTATTTGGTCCCTGGCCCGCCAAATGCTGCCCCATTTGTCCAAGGAATATCGCACTTTGGCGGAGAACTTTGATCATTCCGTTTACGGACGCACCGCCAGCTATCCGCGTTGGCTGGTCTGCAGCAAGGTGGTTAGGGATTGGCTACCCTTTGCGGTGGATGCATTGCAGCAACAGCCACCGAGGCAGCAGTTCGAAACGACAGCATCGCCCAGCCTGGGCTGGAACAAGACCCATGGCAATGAGGAGTTGCTCCGTCTGATGTTCTATAGCCTGCGCAATCAGCTGAAGGATTCGCTGGGTCAGGCCCAATGGCTGGATCCGGCGGCCAGGCAGTTCATTCAGAAGAAGCTCAACGAGATGCGGCTGCAATTTGGCATACCGGACGAAGTGCTGGAGCAGCCCAGTTACCTGAAAACTTACTACTCGGACCTCATGCTGAACAATCTGTACTTTGTGGAGCACTTGGAGTCGATATGGACATTCCGGCGGACGCGCATGGAGAAGAAGCTGGGCACGCTGGGCATGCTGGATGTGTAGGTCTCACGATTGAACAGCTTTCCAAACGCTTTCTAACTCGTTTCCAATGATCTCGCTGGCAGCATTGTTTCAGAGATGTACACAAGGGACAATCCGCAGGCCATCGGCTACTCCAACAAGCTGAACATGCTGCTCGTCTCGAAGTTATTGATCAGCTCCAACTACTACGATTACCGATTTCCCGTGTAAGTGTAATTATGTAAAGATTCTCTTTGAATTATTGCCTTCGTTTGATAAATGAAAAATCCAAAAAGAGAAAGCGGACTCCGTCTCTTTCTTATCTAAAATGGTATCTCCTCTCGCCTCTCTTTTGTTTCGTGCAGAGCTGTGAACTTTGCCCGCTAGAGCTGGGAAACTATCGATAGTGACACCATTCGATATTTTCGATGTTTTGAAAACGAAAATTCGATACTATCGATAGTATCGTTTTTTTACGATTCTTTTTGCAAATTAAAGTTATAGCAATTTCAAATAGAATTATAATACTATTCAATATGTTTTGACTAAGTAATTAACATAAATATTCTATCCAAGCAACTTTGCACAAATAAAATTGTATTACCATTGCTAAACATACGCTTAGACTCTGAAGACGTGGCGTAGACGCACCCTTTCTTTTGAGATTCAGTTAATATTTTTCACCACCAACTCCAATTTAAGTTAATTTAGAATACATTTTTATTATAAAAAAAAAAATATATATATACATATATATATATATTTGTTTGCATTTTTCTTACTAAATTTCAGCAACAAAGCAGAGATATAAAAATAGTCCCGTACTATCGATAGTGATAAAAAACTATCGATGGTGGCTCAAAAAAAGGAAAAAGTCGATACCTCGATAGTACCATCGATAGTTTCCCAGCTCTATTGCCCGCATTGGCACCGACATCTTGGAGGCTTTGATCGACAACTTCTCCGTGTTCCTGCTGCAGTTCAACACCCAGAGCTCGGACATTAGCGACGCCGTGCCAGAGATCAAGTATGCCCAACCGGATGTGAATTGCCTGGCATCGTCGGCGGCATCGGAGGAGGGAGGATCACCTCGATTGGCTCACGAGCTGAACGAGCTGTCGAGCAATGCCCTGAAGGGCTTCCATGTGACTTTGAGCGCTGCCCGGACAGCAGCCAGGGCCCTGAGCACCTTTGTGAGTGCCATCGATGCGGGCAGTGCCATCCAGGGATCGGGCATCGATCAGGTCAATACCTATGAGGCTTTGGGCCTAACCAGGCGCCTGAGAGTGCCCGGCTTGCGTTCCTTCAACGAGAATGAGCTGTTCACGTTGGCCTACATGCAGCAGCACTGCAGCACCACCATGGCGGACAAGGACTATGCCAGGATCAAGCCGCATGTGGAGAGCCAGCTGGCGGAGAGTTATCTGTAGGCACAACTCTTGCAATTTGTGTAAATGTGTTTACATATAATATTATTCTGTTGCAGCTTCAACGCCACCTGGCAGCACATTCAGTTCTTGCCGCGCTCCACAAACTGCGCCGTTTCGGAGTCGAGCTGCTCCAACCTCCTCTGAGATTCAGCCGCCCATCCACAGGGACGCTCGTTTGAGCCGTGTGGATGAGGATGATGGGGGATGAGGAACCCCGCTGCGAGATGGAAACAACAACCTATTTATTGTACTTTTTTTTTAAATCCCACACACACACACACATTGCCAGAGAGGACACCCACACAGACACACACACATGCATCGCCCTAGCCTTAGTTTTAGCCTTTAGACTTAACCATGAAGGATCAGACTTAACTTTCGACTGGCTAGCCACTGTTCACATCACACAGAGACGGAAATGGACACGGAACGGAAGCGGAAACACACGTCGACTTAACGAGAAGCTGACCAAGTTAAGTTAAGCAAGTCGAACTCAAGTGCGAGCCTATTGCCTAATTTAGTTTGTAGTTCGATAACCCCTAAACATTGTAAGTTATGTAGTGGATAAGCGATGAATACCCTGTGTATAAACTGATGAATTTGATTTGATTTCGAGTTTTTGGAGAACAATTAAACGAGAAAAACTATAAAAGTGTTTCTTAACTCGAAGAAAAAAACGTGGCACACTCTTAGGCTTGCCTAAATTTTGCATATATTTTTCCAACAGTTTTTTACTTATCTCAATTTGTACTACACTTACAATTTGCCGACGGTTGAAGTTGTCTTACAAATAATCAGTCTCGATGTTAAACACAGCTGTGGAAAATCGTATAAATGCTAATGATGTTGGTTCTGTTAAAAGATGAGACTTCTGGGCCGTTGGTTCTCTGTATTAATTACTAATTAATTAGTAATTAGTTAATGGATTGCTTGAACTTGGCATCTAGGATATCCATTAGCTGGGAGCTGAGTTTTCTGGCCACTCTGAAAACAAAAGAAGATATATTTTAAGAGCTTAAAAAGGTGCTTATTAATATATTTCATTTTAAAAACTTATATTGAAATTGAAAAACCGGTAATTATAATGAAACTTGGCTATAAATCGGCAGCTAAGTAAGCTGAGACTCAAACCTCTTTTAGATCAACAATTTTTTGGCGTTTACTAACGGTTTTTTTTTTAAATTATTTGTAAAAACAAATTTGTCTGATAACCCAAAAATCTATAATTTCTTCACCGATTTTTGGGTTATTAGGATTTTTTGTAAAAATTATGCTTAAAACCGGTTGCTGTTATGGCCCTAATATGGAAATTTGGAGTAAATCAAATAAAGTTACGGTCAAATGGTCTTACTTGGCATATATTTTCCAGGGTGCCGGGCTCTGTGAGCTGTTGTAGAAGTAGCTGCGGTTGCATTGGCCCACGAAGCGATCCCGCTCCTGGAGAAGCTGTTTCCAGGGATCGAAGGGAACGGGAATGGAACTAGGGGCACGAGCAAGCGGATCCCTTAGGCGAATAGTGATTTGGGGCTGGGCATCGATGGCATCGCCACCACCATCGCATCGTTGCTGCTTCTTCCATTCGGCCAGCTGTTTCCTCTCATCCCGCTGACGTCGCTTCTCCCGGCAGATGGTCACCAGCTGCTTGTGCAGCTCTAGCTCGGCCCGTTCCCTCATGGCCTGCTCCTGTCGCTCGTTCAACTGTTGTATCTTTTCCTCCATGTTGATCATTAACTCTGGTTTTCCCTCTCTTAGCTCCCCGGCCGTGGTGCGACCTTGGGAGCTGCGCAGGATCATTGGTAACTCCTTCGATTCGATTTGATGCAACTGCTGACGCTCCTTAAGGCGGCAACCGGATCCGGATGCCTTCCAGTCTCTGCCGCTGTACGGGGATTCGTTTAGGCTGAGGGATCTAAAGGGAAAACATGATGACGGTAGTGATTAATGCTTAGTTTTCTGTGCCCCCTTTCACTTAATCTTAGATTGATTGGCATGTTTATGCTACTCTCGGTACTTAAAAATAGCAATGATATAATTTCTTTCTCTGCATACATATTGATAAAGTTGAGTTATTGCATCAGCTCTTTGCCTTTTCCCTTGGGGGTGAAAGGAGAGGAGATTGGGGGCAGATACCCCAGTTGGGATTAGCTTTCATATGGGCCGCCGTCACGCAAGTTGGTTTCCTGCACCCTCCGGGGAATTGCACACGAAATCGCCAGCCACCCAACCTCACTTTCCCTTCCTGGGGTGATAGTGTGGATAAGAGGGTGTCTCCTAGAGACTTCAAGGCCAATGCCAACAATAAGAAGCAAGCGAATATAATTCGTAATTGGGGAATACAGATTAGCAAATACTCTGCCAGCGATATTTGGCCGAAGTTTGTATACCCTTTTGCTGTTAAAAGGCCTTAAATAAAAGCATTTTAAATTAATATGATAATTTCTGTGACAAATTAAAGTTTTAGAAATTTTTAAAAATTTAGATTTGTAAAAAAAAACATGCTTAATTATAAATATAAATAAAAATGTTCATATTTCTCTTAGAATTGATTATATTAGTGACTTCAATTAACACAAAACCTAAGAAAAAGAAAACTCGGCTAAGCCCAAGTGGCTTATTTCGCCTAACTCTTTGCCCAGCTAATGTAACCGATATGGCTATTAGGGTATGATTACGCGATTTACTCACTCATTCATTCATTCATTTGCTACTTTATTCATAGCCTGGGTCACTGGGGTTAAGGTTGTGACAACCTAACAGCCGCCTCGCTGCCCTGACCCCACCCTCCCCAGCAAACTCCCTCCGAAAACCCCCATTACTTTGCCTTCCAATCGCAGTGATAGCACACGTAAATAATATGACACAATCAAACTGGGAAATGGAGAAGCCAAAAACTGTGGAAGAATTAATTAATAAACACCGCTGATGACGCAACCCATTTGGCCAGGGGCAGCTACCCCGAAAATATCTACAGTTTTGGAGGTTTTCTCTTTCATCTTAGTAAATTATTTTTTAAAAATATATTTTAATCAATTTAAAATATTTATTTGCTTTTATTCAGAATAAATTTACTGGAAGAATTACTATTTAGGCTTTTGACCAAAAATGTATTTCAGGAACTTCAAGCCCCCAGAAACCCCCTTGCCATGATATGGCCGAGAAGTTTGCTAAATGGCAGAGCCAAATTTATTGATCAAACAAATAAAACGCATCAGCAGCTAACAGAACAAAAAAAAATACAGAAAAAAACTAAAGAAAAAGGTTGCTAAAAAAGAAAACAAAGACCACGAAAACGCAGATGACGATATAAAGACATGAACAAAAAAATCAAGGGGTTCCCTTTAGAGCCGAAAGGGTTGGGTTGGATTGAATTGGGTGGGTTTGGGTTGCCTTTCCAAAGGCAAATACCTCTCGCCCGGCTTAGCCACCGCTATTTATAGACCCCGGCGAAATCGGGCGATTGTCGGGGAGTTGGCCAGGCAAATACCACATATCTAGTGTATATATATGTCCATATATATAGGTATATGTGGCGGTAACAACGCAAATTCAAACTGCAAACAGTCGCCGATTAGCGCCCGGCGATCGTAGTATTTGATTACGTTTATTCATATCAGCGGAGACCGAAAATTGCAAAAGCACAGGTGAGATTTGCACACCAAATAACATGAGACATTAGCGACATTATCCAATAATGACCCAAAACCAGAACCATACTGCCATATATATATGTATGTATATATAAAGCCGGTAATCCAGAACAACAAATATCAGCGACCTTGAACCTGAACCATTAGTCACAGGCGTTGCCCTATCTTTACAGTTGTAGATATAAAAGATATATAACTAAGCCCTTGCTGGCATACAATCGGAAATTATATAAAAAACTGTAAGGAATCAGGAAGATATATATATACTTATATATGTGTATTCTTATCGAACATAAGGATATATCTTACATCCAGTTACGAGTTCATTTGAATCATTTAATGATATTATGGAAGATTCATTGTGGCCGTAAAAATGCTTTCATTAACTGTTGCCAATTTTAGGTTTATTGCTCGGAGCTATTAAATTGATAAGTGAAAAAAATGAACGAAAAATGCAGTCAGGTTTTGTACTTATAAATTCTTTTTCTCTTGGTGGTTCAATATTTTCTGTTTTGGGAAAGTATAGTAATGTTCGGTATTATTTAAAGTGCTTTCTAAAATATTTAAGGACATTTAAAGTTGATCTTGTAGAAAATCATGGTATATTTTAAATCATTTTAATAAATTAATTATTTAATTAAATTGTTTCGATCTACTATGTATGTATTGCTAATTGAATATTTTACACCCAAAACACGAGAGACCTAGTTTATAATCTTGCAGGGTTTTATAATTTTAGTTAGAAATTAAAAACACATTGTTCACCATTTTATTTAGCGTTATATCCAGTATTTAGGATTATTAACCGCTCAAAAACTAACACTGCAAAGCTTTCTAAAAAAGAGTATAACAGAATCTCTAATACTACGCAGAACAATCATACTGAGGTAAATAGTTCTTAGAAGTCTCAAAAAATAATAAAGATTAATAACTACTTTTATTTAGTTTAAGAATTCCCAACCAGTTCTAGACTGGCACTGGTCTTAATTCAATTCTTTTCAGCAAGGCTGGCATAACTGTGAACTTTACGGGTAAACATATCTACACATATTTGTACAAATGCACACATGGTAACCGAAAACTAGCGGTTGTTGTTGCTGCTTTTACTGTTGTAGCCTGCTCCTGTTTCGGTTGCTGTTATTGTTGTTGTTCTTATTCTAGACACCGGCTGAGGTGAATGAGTATGAGTAACTCCGCGCCGGCAGAGCAGCGACTGCGTTTGTGGCAGAGTCAGAGCACAGCCGGCAGAGACGATGGCGTCAGCGGAGCCGAGGAGCATTGCCAGCTGACTCGCACTCGCCAGCTCTCTTGATTTCCTCCATTCTCCATTCTCCTCAACTCTCCCAAAACTGGGAGCTCTCCCCACTCTCCAGCCAGCACCTCCCACTCTCCCGCCACTCGCCCCCACTCGCTCAGCTGACGGCCGGCGATGACATCATTCTGGGGCTGCCGCCACCTCTGCCGGCGACGCAGTCGCAGCACCCGAATGTCGCTGCTTTTTTTCACCAACAGCACAGTTCAAGAAAGTAGGTGTAATATATGTACATAGTAACAAAACAGGCAAGGCAACGAAAAAAGCTTATGAGTTGTGGGTAAATGCTTTTTTTTTATGTTTTTGGGAATAAATTTGGTTTTAAATTTTTGTACTTTGAATTTTGTTATATACTTAAATTTATATTCAATAGTAGAAAAGCGAATGTTAAAAAATAAATACCATAGCATTCATCTGATTAATAAAAGGAAAAATATATTCTTTTGAATTTTTTCATTTAAAAAAAGGTAACTCTTTAAATTATTATTTAAATTTTGCCATATAATTAAAGTAATAATTTGTAATTTTAAAAATGTCTGAAAACAATCGTACTATCATCCATAAATATAAATTAAATTATTATTGAAAATTAACTTCAATTATGAGTATTTTGTTTATAGATTCTTAAATAAGGTAAATTTTACTTGGAAATGCTGTTTAATCTAATCTGAATTAGAAAACTTTTATATTGTTTTTAGAAAAAAATTCAAACTATTCAAAAGCAAGTGCACCTACAATTTCACCCCCAACTGTATGTATGACTATGTAAATACCAAAAGCATCTGGAGCATCCTCCATATTACCATAATAATTATTTAAAATATATATTCCAAAAATTGTTGGTATGAAAACCATAAGATTCCCTTTATATTGACACTTGAGCATATAGATATAACCATTAAAAACTCCAAGCCCCATTTAAATCTAAGAAATTGAGGAAGTATCACCCGATATCCGTTAAATCAACTATAAACTATATACAGGTAAATACTCACAGCATCATCCGCATGGTCTCCCTGGCGGAGTGATCCCCATCCTTGGCGCTGCGCACCATGTCCACCATGCCCCTGTCATGCTGCTCCCTTCGCTGAAGCAGCTCCAGCAGAGCATCCCGCTTGGCGGGCATCAGGCTCTGCGGGTTGTGGACAAGCGGAACAGGCTCTGCTTCGGAAATCTCGAAGGAGACGCGTCCTCGTCGGGCACTATTCATGGGTGAAGCCGGTGGTGCTGGCGGTGGCTGTGCCATATGGCGGCGCACGCCCTTGGCCTTGGCCCCGCCCCTCACCGACACCATCGGGCCACTTCGCCTTCTGCTGGTGGTGGTGGCAGGAGTGGGCGGCGGCGGTGGCAGGTAGTCTCTGGCCCGCTCAATCCTTGACAGCATCAGCTCCAGCTGTTCATGAGCCTCTGTGAGGGATCTGTTGGGGTTGTTCTTGGCTTGTCCTGGTTCTGGAGATGGCATGGCTACCTGGGAGCAACACCTGGACTGGCGGTAATGGTGGGGCTTAAGCCAGTGCGAGTCCACCTTGGCCTTGACGGGCTTGGCCTTCCACCAGGTCCCAGAGCCGGGCAGCTTATGTTGATGATGCTGCTGGCGGTTTTTAGCTGGCGCAGCTCTAAACGGTTCCACTGCCCGATGGCTCCTTTGGCTGAGTAGCGAAGGCTTCGGCCCTCTTACCGTGTAGAGACTGGAGTGTCCAAAGGTCTGCACAGATTGAAGGATAAGCCAAGTCAGGGATTAGTGATGCTTTCTTACCTGTCGCGATGGCGAAGGCGTAGGCTTCATGGAGGAAGTCCAGTTGGACTCGGTTGTGGCGGGGGGACGCCGCACGGCAATGGTGAGCCTGCGAATTCGATCCGGCATCCTGGAGGAGAAGAGCTCCTCCTGCCGTTGGCCCCTTTGCTCGCGGCGCCTGCGCGCCAACTGCCGCGAAGTTGACTTCGCCGCTTCCATGACGTCGCCCAGCTCTGTTGCTGCGCTGCCTCGAGCGCCGACGGCCGGCGGTTCAGTATTTAGTTTCTTGGTCGACGCTCGCCGGTTCGGTTCGATTCGATCCGATCCGACACAACGGTATATCATATAGCGCTATATACGAGTCGCGGTGCTTACCTTCTTTTTGTTTTTTTGCGCGAGTTTTTTGTTGTTTTTTTTTTTTTGTTTGTTTGTTTTGGTTTTTATTGCCACTAACGCCCTTTCTATCCCGTTTTTTACTGAAAATTTGCACGGTGCACACACAGTCCCAACAAACAAAATACAAAAAAACACGCCGAAAATAAACAAATACAAGAAAATTATACGCAATAATTCGAGGAAGCGAAAATAATAAAAAAAAACTTACAACAATTTGCTGAAACTACTTAAATTTGTATTAATGCCAACTGTTTGTTTTTATTGACAGTTTTAAAACCGAAACAAGGCTTGCTTGGTGGTAGTTTTTTTGTTCAAGAGGTGGGATTTAAAAGTTCTTTGAGGATTTTTCTACTATTTAAATAAAATTCCTTGGTAAAATATCTTTTTTAAATACATTTTTTTTGTTTTACTTTTGATTTTTTTATAATATTAACTAAGTTTTTAAGAAACAAGTTTGTGAGACTGTCAGGCATAGAAGCTTTTCCCCCAGAAATATAATTTGCTTCTTGTCTTTGGCAAAATCTCTCATTTTTATTTACGATTTTTTCTTATAAATATACAGGAAAATAAACTTATACATCCCATTATTTATGTCTATTTTCTTATATTTAATATTGCATAAAATTAGCGTTAAAATCTTTATATTAAACCAGTACAAAGAAACTCCTTAAAATCTCTGGCTTTCCATACCTTTGTTCCTATTATGATTAATTTTAAATATTATAATAAATAATATAACACCAAAATCCATGCAGTTATTGTGTATACTTCTTTTTCGATAATTTTTGTTTGGGTTTTTCTTGTCACCAAAAGAAACATCAGTCAACCTTTTGAACTAATGTTAATCATACGTTTTTGTTAAACATTTTTTGAAGTTCCCATAATCGAACCTGATAAAACTGAAAAAAAACCAGAGCCAAAGAGAAGCGGTATACAAAATGGTAAGTGAAATAAAAACACAACATAAAAAAAAAAGATATATTAACCATTGGCGAGTGGGATTGCTTGAAATCGAAAACGAAATCACTTTCCAACTGGTCGCCCAGCTGGCTGCCACCAATTCCGCAGACACTAAGGCAGACCTAGTCCACATCCACATCCAAATCCCAAACCAAATCCCAGTTCCAATTCCCAAAACGAAACCGAATTGAAAGATCTTCGTGGCGTGGGCGTTTTTCAAACAGGTTGGAGATTGCTCATACGCCGCGTTGGCCACCCATTTATGTTTTTTGGGTTTTCCGCTTTCCGTGTTCGTCTGTTTTGTACTGTTTTTCTGGCTTTCCATGTGCCAAGATTCATGCCACAAGTGTGTGAGCGGAATTTCTGAGAGAGTGTCAACACTGGCACTCGCAAAAAAAACACACACACAAATAATGAACTGAAGTTGCTGGAAAAAAACAGAGAAAAAAACACTAAACATAAACTAAAGCTAAACAAAAAGCAACCAAAAATAAAATTCACGCACTCGCCAATATGGCTTTGGCTTGCCTTATTAGACTTTATGTTAATTACCACACTAAAAATAAAAATAAAAATAAAAATAAAGAGAGAGAGAGAGAAAATGATTTTCAAGAGTTACCAAGTGCCAGGTGGTGGGCGTTCCAATAGTCTGGTTACGCTTTTCGTGTTTTTTTTTTAGGAAAATATGTGAATTTAGTTTCGAAAAAGTGTTGGCCATCAGTGGGCGAAATTAAGAGCTAAGGGCCTTGTTTTCCATATACATATATAAAGCAAGCCAGATCTAAGTTCAGAATATATTTTTTGAGCCGATGATATCATCATCATCATCTCGGACTCCGCTATTTACACACAAAAATATCAATTTACTAAGCGATTTATTCGATGTCCGCTTAATAAAATGAGCCATATAAATCAGCTGCCTGCTTAACCAGAGGGTTTGTTATTTTGTTTTTGTTTAGAGATCTTTATAATAATCATCGTCATAAGGCAGAGAGTGATGCTAATGGTATTGGGGAGGAGGATGGTCCGACTAACAGCTTGGAAATTAATGTTACATGTGGGCTTGGCCCTGCTCGGAGACTTCAAGTGTTGAGGATGATATTTCATTTATTTTTTTGCCTCCCAGGTGTTTGCTTAATGTAGTAGCTATACTAGCAGACAACTTGGATAGATTTATAAGCAGTTAGTGTACTATTCATTCAACTGTTTAACAGTTTAGATTTACAGGCTTACTTTTCGGGGTTAACTAATAATTCAAAATACTTTTATGAGTATAAATATGTATATAAGACTTTTTTCGGGTTCCATTTATACGTAGAAGTTTTTTTTAAATATAAATATATATTTTTCGGGCTCAAGCTTTACCTAAAAATTCTTTTTAAAATTTTACATTAATTATAAAAATTAAATAAAGGTTCAATTTATATTTAAAAATACTTTTTAAAATAAAAATATGTAAACAAGACCTTTTTCGGGCTCAAGTTATTCTTCGAAATATTTTTGTAATTATTAATAATGGATAACATCTTTTTCAGGTTCTAAAAAGTACTTTTTTTAAATGATAAATATATAAAAAAAATAAAAAAAATATATATATATATATATCGGGCTCAATTTAAACCTAAAAATATTTTTTTAACTATAAAATATCTTTGCAGTATTTACTATATACAAGGTTAGGTTGCCTTTATTTTTCCCTGTTAATTTTTGCCTCGTCTCTCTCTATTTAGAATTTCTTAAAATTAAAAAAAATATATATACTTAAATGTTGCACGCACTAAACACTTTTCTTTTCATTATAATCCGCCTCATCGATCTTCCGCCAAGTTGTGTCTGGCAGATGATCTTATTTATATACAATTTGCCATATATTACACAGCGATTTCGGCATTTCACTCACAGTTTAAATGCTGTAATGGCCATTACGTATACGCAGTGTGTGCCACACGCACAGGGATATTGTATTGTGTGTGTGCTTGTGTTGTGCGGGGGATCTTCTGCCTCGTCTGGCTCATCTGCTATCTGAATTATCCGATCCAAGGCAACGTGCTTTCGCTGATTGACAAGTGTGATTGATGGCCGCCGAGCCGGGCACTTGACGCCTTCCAAACTTTTCGATCGCCCCACTGTTCAATTTTCTGCCATGATTCATGCATTCAATATTTTAATTATCGCCTATGAATAAACCAAATAATGTAAAAACTGTAAAATTGTTTTCAACTTGTTGCCGGTGGCAGCGGCGGCCTCTCTCTCATATGTGTATTACTTTTTATATATTTTTTGTTCTGTTTACTTATTTTATTGTGACTTTTTTTTGTTGTTCTTGGTGGAAAACTGAAATAATGCGGCAATTAACCGATAAGAAATGCAAATCGACAGTCAACAGTATAAGTCGTTGACGTACAAAAAAATAAAAATGCAATTCCAGCTGATTTTCAAAGACGACACAGTGGGTTAAGTGGGCCAGACTGGGGTTAAGAGTGCCGAGTTAACACATAACTTGGATTTTGTTTAGGCTTTACTTTTGGCCTAGGATTTAGTGGGGATTTAGCTGGCATCTTAAAATACATGCGATGAGTTTATTTTGGGAAATTACTTAAGATATCACTTAAGATCACTTAATGTGGCAATTAAATACAAATTGAGGCTGTTATTTTATTACGTACTTACTTGTCTCCTTTGATATATGATATGTATACACTGGGAAAGGGTATTGACATACAGTTTTGTTTTGTTTACAGTTTGACAGTTACAGTTTTACATTCCCAGCTTTACATTTTCTACCGTTCGTTTCTATGGCAGCTATATGATATAGTTGTCCGATTTTAATAAAATCAAAATTTGAATTCGGAAATATTAAAAAATGGTCATATACCAAAAATGATGAAGATATGTTGAAAATCAGCCAAGTTATAATTTTTTCTATTACTTTCCCTATCGTTCCTATGGCAGCTATAAGATATAGTCGTCCGATTTTCATAAAATTTATACCAAAATTCTGAAATAATACCAGAAGCTCATGTACCAAAGTAGATTAAAATACGTTGAAAAACAACGAAGTTATAACGATTAACTCGATCGTTCCTATGGCAGCTATAAGATATAGTGGCTCGATTTTCATAAAATTTTTACCAAAATTCTGGAATAATATAAAACGGCTATATCTCAAAAATGATGTAATAATAGCATTAAAACTGAGGGACTAGTTTGCGTAGAAACGGACAGACGGACAGACGGACATGGCCAGATCGACTCGGCTGTTGATGCTGATCAAGAATATATGTATATACTTTATAGGGCCGGAAAGGTCTCCTTCTCTGCGTTGCAAACTTCTGACTGAAATCATAATACCCTGCAGGGGTATAATTATGTATTTTAAAACTTGATTTTTTCCAAGTCTGATATTTGTCTTGGGGAAGTAACCATACTTGAGGAAACTGGAGATGGAGATTTCTGATTTTAAGTTGGAATACATAGCCTAGATATATATGCACGCTTACCGAATTTTAAGACCATCCAACTAGACACAGTCTTGGTTTAAAGTAGTTTCTCTCTCAAAATACCCTTTAGGCAGTGGCCAAAAAGTAGGCAATGATTTTGTTAGTTAAACATAGTCTAGGAATATATTATATATAATATATAGGATTTATAATATTTATATTTTATATTATATTTACTCATATTTATTATCTATATTACCCATAACTGATCCAATATCAGTAGAGCATTATTTCGGCTGCTATCTTTACTTCGCCTCTGGCTTCTTATTTTATTTTGTTTGTTTGTTTGTTTGCCGCCCATTAAGCGCTGAAAAATTAAGTTTAATTTTATATTTTTGTTGTTTTCCGTTGTTTTTTTTTTTTATTTTTGTTTAGCTTTTTTGTTTGTATTCCCTGGCTGTTGTGGCCTTTTGTTATTGCTTTCCCCCCCCTTCCCACAAGCAAAACTCATTTGAAGTGTGTGTGCGCCCTTGGCCCCCTGAAAGTGCCACTCCCCCCTGCGGCTCCCCCGCTGCCCCTGTGCGTGCCTGTTTAATTTGATTCTAAGTCAAGCGATGATCTAAGTGAGACGTCGTCTAATGCAAAAAGAAATGAGTGCTGCTGCTGCTGCTGCTACATCTGGCGCGAAACTTTAAACAAGGGGGAAAAAAATCCCCCCCACAAGAGGCACGGGAAACTTAATGTGCGTTTAATATTGGGCGAAATTTGGGAAATGAGAAAATTGCCGCTCCACAGACCACACACCACACACACACACCGCACACACCGCACACTCCACACATTTCTAAGCGTAAATAAAACCGAGAGGCGCGAGCACAAAACTGTCGACTGTCGGTTGCATTTTGCGGATATTTCACTTTATTCCCATTCAATATTTATGGCCGCCTCTTGTTGCAGTTTTATAAGCCATTTGTCCTCTGGCCCCCATGGCTGAAAATGGCCGGGTTACCTCACTCTCACTCTGCCTGGGTGGCCGCCGGCAGGTGTTAATGGGCCCAACGTGTGTGCGCTGGCCTAGTAATAACCAGCAAAGGTTAACAGTTAATAGTTTATAAGCCAAAACAGGATTTGTGCAATTGATTTAACTTGGTTTTAATGTAATCCAACTTTTGGTAAGGAAGTGCTAAGGTTGGCTTGCTAAATTAGTCACAAAGTTCATGGGATGTTACTTTAATAATGTTGTTTAAATAGCTAAAATCTAGGGTTTCCTCCTTAGGAATACATTCCTTAAAATGCATAATTTCCACTTGAATGTTTTTACTAATATAAATTTTAATTAATTAATACCTTAATTCACATTGTTTAATGTATGAAATGATATTTCTGAAACAAACAATGTAGCCTCGTCTCTTGCTAATTATTATATAATATTGCTAATGTTATTGTTGCTGCTGCTCTGTAAATAATTTTACGCTGATGCTCATCATTTGTTAGCAAATTACGTGTATATATTTTTTTGATATATACATATATTTGTTTATGTACCATATATTCTTTGTGCTGAGGCCTTTGGCATTTCATTTGGTTTTGAATTACGTAAAATCGCGTCAGCATATGCCTCTGCGGTTTCTGAACCCGAACTGTGACTGTGACTGTGACTGTGACTGACTCAGAGATGAATCTCAGAGCCAGACAGAGCCCGCCCCCGGGAAAAAATCCAAAACCAAATCCAAATTCAATGGTGCATTTTGGGGGCTATTTTAAGTACGTGTTTTCCATACAAATTAGGCAAAATATTTAATTTTTGATTCTCTTGTTCTATATCTTGCCTTCAGTCGGACGCGGAGACCATCTGTCACAAGTGTAATGAGCCCATCCAGCAGCGCATCATCACGGCTCTGGGGAAGACCTGGCATCCGGAGCATTTTGCCTGCAAGGACTGCCAGCGTCCCATCACCGAGGCTACCTTCAACATTCAAAACGATGAACCAGTGTGCTCAGATTGCTTTGTAAAGAATTACTCAGGAACCTGTTTTGGTTGCAAGAAGCCCATCCTGGAGGTGAGTCAGCCCATGTCCTGGTTATGGCTATAAGCTAGGCTAAGATGAAGTCAGAATGAAGATTTAAATATAAATTTAAATTAACTATCATAAAAGAAAGAAATTTACAGTCAAACTAAGAACTTAAATATTTTATTTCAAAGAAAAACGCTTAGAGACTTCTTTGGTTTCTCCTTTATATTTTATTAGGTTAACTTCTTTCTTTAAATTTCTACAGTTTATATTCCTTTTATTAATGAATTTCAATAAAAAATATTTAGATTTATTAAGTACTGTATTTCTGGGTACTCTTTTTCCCATTCAGTTGCAAAAATTCCCATCGTCTGTTTGCCATAAACTCGAACGCTTTACGAGCATCGCTGTTAGGTAATAAATACTGTCAACATTTACCTAGAGGCGCCCGCTGCGCCATAAGTCCGCTCAGATATCGGTGCGTATATATACGCTTAGCGCGATTGAATTAAGGAAGTGATTGCGAATCTTATTTTTAGACCAGAGAGGGTGGTTTTTCCACTGAGAGAATAGGAGCTGGGAAACTAATTAGTGTGGGAATCCCTACTTAAGTAGATGAAAAGACCAATAAAAATCTAAGAAATTACTTGTATAATTTGGAATCTATTATATTTTAATTTGTACCTAAAAAGTGAGGTATTATTAGTCATTAAATTACAATTTTAAAGAGAAATGGAGATGGCTAATATAAGAATACTCTTTAGGATTTAATTAAATATATACTTTTTCTACTATTTATTAGAAATTACCTAAAATATATTTCAACCGAGATAGTTATTTATTTATTTAAGACTTTTTTTATATTATTATTTAAGAGCCTTCAATAAAAATCGAAAGGTTAATATTATAATTTGGAACTAAATTTAAAAAAGATCTAAAGAAATTAATAGAAAAGGGATTTTTGATTTGTAAACTCTTTTTAAGATTTAAAAATTCAATTTTTTTAATAATTATAAGAAATTCCGTAAAATATACTTCACCTGATATAGTTACTTATTTATTGAAAATTTTATATTATTATTTATTCGTTACTTATTTATTTAAACTTGTTTATTATTATTTAAAAGCATTTAATATATATAAAAATTAGGTATTAAATTTAAAAATTAAATGGAATATGGATTTTTGATTTTTTAACACTTATTTTTAGGTTTAAAAATGCAATTTTTGTAAAATTTATAAGAAATTCCGTAAACTATACTTCACCTGACATACTTAAATATTTATTTAAGTTTTAATTTTATTATTATTAATTAGTTACTTATTTATGTGAGATTTTTTTTATTATTATTCATTAGTTATATATTTATTTAAGCATTTTTTAAATTATTATTTAAAAGCATTTGCTTTTCCAGAGTCAGAGCCTCGGTTGCTCTGTGAACTCTCGGCAAGGTCAGTGCCGTCAGTGGGTGTGCGCCCGATTGATTGGCTTTGATTATAATCATAAATATGGCTTTATATCCAGGCTATATATGTATATATTTTTCTTAGAATCGAAATTAATACCAAGACATTCCACATTTTCTAGCGCACCATCAAGGCCATGGAGCAGTCCTGGCACGAGGAGTGCTTCGTGTGCAATGGCCCCTGCAAGAAGCCGCTGGTGGGCACCTCCTTCTACGAGCGTGACGGCCATCCCTACTGCCGCGTGGACTTTGAGCAGCTCTTTGCCGCCCGCTGTGCCGGCTGCAGTCAGCCGATAACGGAGAACGCCATTGTGGCCCTCAATGCCAAGTGGCATCGCGACTGCTTCAAGTGCAAGGTAACATGGCTTAATTCATCATCGAAATCTTGTTTTTAAAAAATATATCTTAATGAAATCCTGTTTTCATAGAAATGCGCCACTCCCATCACGGCCAGCACCTTTGCCGTGGAGGATAACAAGCCCATATGCACGGCCTGCTCGGACTAGGCGGGGCCATCAGGACCCCACCTCGTTCGCATCGATATCTAAATGTATATTTTATCTATTATTATGGTATTTGTAGTAATCATAACTTGTTGAACAAACCGCGAGAGGAGGACGCCAGAACAGAACGGCACACGGACGGACTCAAGGTCTCGAAGAATCCCACAACCCACTCGAAAGAAAAATTCTAAAAGAAAACAAGGTTGAGATGGACACGGAACACGGAAAATGCATTCAGATGGAATGGGGCTGACGGGGGAGGGGTTGGATGTTGTTAATGCTTAAATTAATTATAATTCTCTCTTAGCCTCACCCACTCTTTCTCTCACACCACCCACTACCCCCCCGAGCCCCATCTGTCTCTCTTCCGATTCTCTATTCTCGATTCTCGATTCCCGATTCTCGACTCTTGACTTCGTACTGCACAAAGTATCTGATAACTGAAATATATAAATACAAGAATAATCCCTTGAACCATTGTTGATATCTCCTACGAAATAAACTAATTACAAAAATTTAAAAGAAAGTATTTTGGGAAATGAATAAAATTTAGTTAAAATAGTAATTTTTCAATGAATCGATTTTCTTCTAAAAAATTCGACAAGTAAAACGATTATAATCGATTAAAATCGAAATCCCAAATTTCGGGAAATTGGCAAACTATCGGTGTTAATCGATTTTATATCGACATTCATCAAATTAAATAGAATTGATTTTTTTACTAGGTCACCCATTGAAATCTAGAAATTTCGGACGTTATGTCGATGTATCACATACTTGAAAAAAAACGATTAATCGATTTAGAATCGATTTTATTTGCAGCGCTAGTTTATAAAGTGTATCCATTATATGTTTATACCCTGTAAAAGTATAACAATATCGAAAGCCACCACCTCTGAATCCTTCAAAATGGTAATTTACTCGTTGCACAATATCAATACTTGACAATTTGGGCTTGGATGTGATCAAAGGTTTTGGGAATGTGGTTTACACAGGTCAAAATATATCGGCTCGATGGGAGCGCCTCTCCTCCGCTCCTTCTTTCCTTCAATTTAAACAAAGAAACGGCATTCTTGGGCTCTAGGCATCGCCCATTTTGGACATCTTCTGATTCACCACGGCCTTCAGTGAACGCATCATGGGATCCAGGACCTCCTGGAGCTGCGACCGGGTGGCCCGTCGCACAGCCTCCAGCATGGCCTCGCGCAGAGGGAACGGCTCTCTCTCCCTGGACGCCCAATTTCCTTGATTCTCCGCCGTGGTGGTGGTGGTGGTCAGGCTCAGGGTGCTAGTGGAGTCCTCACCGCCGCCACCTTCGGTGGCCGCCTGGATCTGCATCTGAGTCTGAATGTTGTCCTTGACGGGATGCAGCTCGGAGGGCGGATCAGCCACCGGAGATCCGGTCACTTGGGAGTTCCTCCTGCGTCGGCGAAAAATCTTATCATTGGGTCTTGGTCGCTCCTTGGGCACCACACGCGGCTCGTAGACCTTGAAATCGTTCAGGCACATCTTTAGGTCATAGCGCTTGTGGGAGCGGAACTTCTCCTGCTTCGACTGTCTTATGGCCAGGGTCGGTCGGGGGGATTGTTGGAAGTGGGAGCGGCGAGAACGCACGCGTGGCGAAACCTGAACGTGACCCAGCTGCAACGGATGGATGTGCCGTCGCCGCAGCGTCTCGCGAGCCAGCTTGCAGCGCTCCTCCTGCATGTCCTCGATGAAGCTTAGGAAGCGGGTGCACCGCTCCAGCAGACTCTCCACCACCGGATCGTGGCGAGCCAGTATGTTCTTGTCCAGACAGCAGTTGGTCATCGTGTAGATCATCTCGATGACAGCGCTCAGCTTCTGGGCCACCTTCTCCAGCAGGAAGTAGCGCAGCTGGCGCTGATAGGTCTGGATGGACTGCAGCATCAGGCCGTAGACGCACATCACCCGGTGACAGGCCTCGTTGGAGATGGCACTATTGAAGTTGGCCACCGAGGTTAGCCTCACATCGTCAATCATTCCCTTGAGCGGATACAGAAAATTCCGGGCGAAGCGGACGCAGAACTCGAAGGCATTGCGCTTGCGCTTCTCCTGCTCCTGGACACTGCGCTGGCGGGCGGGCGGCAGCTGCAGCAGGCTGATCTGCAGCTTGTCCAGAGCCCCGATGATCCGCTCGTGGGTGAATGAGATCTTGTTGTAGATCCTTTGCTTCTCGGATTTGAGGTCATCCAGAGACTTGCTATATACCACAACGGGGCTGGGCTTGCGTCGCTTCTGTTGGCGCTTTGGCATGGTCACCTGCGCCGGTTGTGGTGCTGGAGTTGGTGGTGGTGGCGGTGCAGGGTCCTTAAGGGTATTGAGCAACACCCTTCCCTCTGGCTGAGATCCTGCCGGCAAGCGGCCATTGGCAGAGGTGGCTTTCAACTTGGACACTGGCTTAGATCTCGCCGTAATGGATCGTGGAATCTTTGCCTTCCTTGGCCGACCCTTCTCCATCGCTGCCTTTCTGGCTTGTGGCAGGCTCTTGGCCAGACTGTCTGGCTTCTGGGCCAGTTCGGAGCACTGCGATGTGTACCGCATGGGCGAGAGGCTCCTGAGCAAGCTCAGCTGGTGCGGTCGCCTTTCCAGCTCGACGAAGCAGGGTTTTGCAGCTAGCGGCTGGGAGGGATCCACGATGCCGTGCTCCGCGTTGCCCGGAGTTTCGTCGTTATTGAGCCGAGGACGGGGCTCCACGTAGCGAAGATAACCCTTGCGATCGGCAAACTCGTGATCCAGATCGCTGTCCTCCTGGAAGAAGGGTGTCAAAGACTCTGGCTCAATGCTGCCGTACTGCTCCATGAACTTGTAGGCGGACTGTTGCGTGGCGGCCGGACAGGTGCACACATTCACCTTGATGCCCTGCGACATCACGGCCGAGGGTATGATGTCCACCCACTTGGGCTGTGGCAGGAAGTAGTCCTCGTAAAAGACTCGATCCACGATTCTTGGTGAGGGCTCCTGGGTCTTGGATCTGTTCTGGGGTGGTCCCCCGCCCTCCTGCCGCTGGGTGTTCGGTTTTTTTAATTTCCTGGGAACCCTCTTTACCCTTGGGCTGGGCGAGGGGCTTGGCTTCTTCACCTCCTCGTCCACCAGGGTCTGCAACTCTGCGCACACTTCGAGATGGAGATTCTTGAGTCTATCCAAAAAGTCACCGTTCTGGTAATGATGTTGTTGTTGTTGTGGTACTTTCCTGGAGCTCTTGGCCGTATTTTTGATTTTGCTGGCCTTGGGCTTTCCTTTGCCTTTGACCCTGGTCTTTGGAGGGGATTCTGCGCCCCCACAAAGACGCATTAAGTCGCCCATTGCACACTTGATGTCTACATCAGCACTGTCATCATGATCATGGTCTTCGTTGGTAATAGAAGTTTGCGAATCGAGAGACAGCTGGGTGACCACGTCTACGTCGCGGGATGTGACCATGCTGGTCACATCGCTGCCGGGACAACGCACCTTGCAGAAGACGGGAAACACTGAGGTTGCTGTTGTACGCTCCTTCCGACGCCTCATCTCGGCCAGCTCGGCGCCACGCAGGACATTGTATTGCTGAACGGCATTTGGTATGGATCCCGGTCCGGAAAACTGGAGGAATGGAGTGGAAACTAACCATTAATGCAAAGGGAGCATTTTTGTAAAGGGAGTTCCGTGGTAAAAGGAACCTCCAGCCAAAAGAAAGCTCCTTCTCAAAGGAATCTTCGTTAAACATAAACCTTTCACAGGAAGCCTTTATACCAAAGGAACTTCTTTCAAAAAGAAACCTACTTGCTAAAAACAAAAAAAAAAAAAACTCTTCAAAAAGAACCTCCTTCATAAAGGAACCTCCTTCCATAAGATGGAGGAAACCTCATTCTAAAAGGAACGTCCTTCCAAATAAAAAAGAACCCCCTTTCGAAGGTAACTTCCTTCAGCAAGGAACCCTTCTATAAGGATACTCTCTTCAAATGGAACGTCCTTGTAAAAGGCGCCTCCTTCCAAAGGAAACCTCCTTCCGAAGGAAACCTCCTTCCAGAAGAAGGACCACATTTAACAAGTTTCTTATTAACCAAAGGAACACTCCCTTCCAAACTTCCTTGTTAATACACTTTCCCTAGAACATCCTCCGTCAAGCATTGATCGGTACTTACCCGGAACTCCAAGTTTCCACTTGGACCGCCGTGTTCCGAAAAAGATAAGCCAGAAAAGTCTGTGTAATGCATCCTGCCCTTATCTGAAACACTTTCCTACTATTTGTTCTTGTGATTTGGTGCTAAACCGCGCCTTCTTTTATATTCTTGGATCTGCTCATTAAGTCTTCCGTTTCTGTGGGATTCTTTTCTTGGTGTTCTAAAGATTTGTAGCTTGAGGATATTTTGTGTACCGAGATTATAATAAAATTTGAGTTGAATTTTGTCAAGAGCTTGCTCCAAAAGAAAATAAAATCAAAATATATTTCTAAAGGGAAAGGCTTTGCCGACTTCCGTTGAGAGGTTTAGTATGACCACGCCGACTTTATATTCCCAATATATCTGTGTAAGCTCTGTCTCTGGAATGAGATTTCAAAATTCAAAACCCTGGGACATTTAGGGCCTTGCCCTCCCAGATGAGACAAAGATAAATACGGTATCCCCTTAGATTGCACTGGTTGAACGCTTTATTTGAGGGCCCCAATAAATAGTACGACGAAGGTTCCGATGCTTAGCCTAAACATGCTTAAAAGTAAACAAAAAAGTCCTTAAATCCTTGGGTCCTTAACCGAAAATATTCGAGTAGAGGCTGTTGAGCCCATTGCTGATGGTCGAGAAGATCCCATTGTCGCTGGTGGCTGAGCCCGCATAAGGTCCTGGTCCTGGCGGACGATAGTGTTGGGGCGCCTGTATGGGACGATAAATACCACCGGGACTCACTCCTGGTCCAGGTCCGACTCCAACTCCAATTCCGGCTGGACCCATGGCACCGCCAATGCCCTCAATGCGCTGTGAAATCGGTTTAACAGGTGTCATCAAAATTTTTAATACATATCTCGGTTTTCTTTTACATTTTATTATTATTAACAACAACAACACTTAAATTAGGAGAGAGATAGAGAGGGAGAGGAGGAAACCTTGCATCAGGGAAGGTCCTTTTACCAGAATCGGTGTGGGGGAAACTAAGGAACTCGGGAAGGAACTAGGGAGGGAACTAAGAAAAGAAATCAAGAAAGAATTCTGAAAGGAACTTGAAAACCATAAGGTTAATGAGGTTAGTAAAAACTAAAGCACTTCAGCTAGTATTTACAAGCCACCCTCGACGCTCTCTCGATCGGCTGAGGCTCCTTGTGATGGGATTTGGACCTAATCGGTGGACAACTGCAGCTTGCCATTGACGCGCCTTTTCCCCGAGGAGGCCTGGGTGGTAGAGGATGAACCTCCAACCAGGTACTGTTTGGTTTTAATTGGATTAAGAACAGATGATGGGTTAGCCAGCACCAGGGGTTCCCGGAGGAGGAAGGTTGGAAAGAGTGCCTAGACCTACCTTCGAGGGCTGCAGCGTCACATTGAGCAGCGTAGGATGCTGCTCCACAATCACGAACTCCACCTCACGCGGGGCAAAGCCTTCGGCAAAGACCTGGGTGCAGATTCAAATCGTTAATATATTGATAAATAGTACTTGCTTTTCCCTACTCACCTCTACTTTGTAGTAACCCGGCAGCAGGATGCGCCAGAACTCGCCGTACTTTGTGGTCTGGAAGCCCACATCGCGACCCTTAATCTTAATGGAGGCTCTTTCGATGGGCATGCCCGCCGGATCGAATACAAAACCCTGGACTCCTCGATGAGCCTCGGCCAGGAATTTAATCATTGACTAGGCAACAAGGTTAGCTTAGAGTAAGCTTTAAAGAATAAAACCAAGTTTCCTCACCAGCTGGTTGTCCTCCCAGTACTTCTTGAGCTCGTAGGCAGGCGGATACTTGCAGCAGGATATCTCCAGGGTGATCTCCATGCAGCCATACCACACATAGTTATAGTCCTGCATTCCGCCGGTCAGTGGATACCACGCGGCGCCATTCGTAATACCATTCTCAAAGGCCGGCGTCGCTGATTTACAGGCCACGCCACGGGACATCTTGGCATGGTTGCGGGCATAGACCAGGGACAAATGCTTAAACACATCATCGTCGGGCGTTAGGGACGGCGCCGCCGAGTAGGTCTGGAACACTGCGCCCAGGGGACATGTTGGGGCGTAGCACAGGTGGGAGGCAGAGTAGGAGGAGGAGGAAGAGAAGCAACACGATTAGATGGGGCGTTCCAAGGGACTCACGCGGACTCACTCGCGCACAGGGCGGACGAACGGCAGATCCCTTTGAGCAGCCATATTGGTGGGAGAGTACAGAAGCAGAAGCTTTATCAATCGGCACTGGGGGGTGTTGAGCCGGATAAGGGGGAGGAGGAGGATGAGGAGCAAGTGGGTGTGACTTCGGTGGACCGAAGCTAGGAGTAGGTTTTCACTATTTAAAGACACTCTAGGAGAGCTAACCAATACCTACTTAAGCTTTCAGCGAGGTCTTTATTCGCTGGAGGTTAGAACCAGTTGAGAATTTTAAGCCAAGGCCAAACTGAAGAGCTCAATTTTTGTCTAGGTTTTTACTATTTTACAGATTTAGGAAAGCTTCTTTATCTAAAGCTAGAACCCTTTGGGAATTCTAGTAATAAAAACCCCGCTGAAGCTGGCTTATTAGAAACTCAATTTCATTCACAAAGATTTTGGCCAAGTTTAGCTCCCGATAATGGGCCAGAAATAAGCAGTTATCACTGGACTTTGTAAGGAACCACTGATACCAGCTGGGACTATCTGCCCCAGGCATCTCTTAATGTGCTTCCTAACAAAGTTTCGGTTGTGACCCACCACGATTTCTGGTATCAGCTACGCATAACTATGATTCTCAAGACAACTATCATACCCAAGAAATATATGTGATAAGCAGACGGACATAACTATAAGGTTTTGCTTACAAAAAGATACTCTTAAGACTACTTACTGGAGTTGGGCGTATTGTCGTAGGGATAACTGGCCACCAAGGCGCCACCATGGAGACTGCCGCTCAGCACAAACTGTATCTTGGATATCCAATCCTTCACCGCATCCGTTTCCGGCTGGCCTCGCTTGTTGTTCTGCTTGAAGTAGTCGGGGAAATTCCGATTCAGATCAAAGCCACGGGCATTATATCTGGAAAGAGCTTCAGGTAGAGTCTTAGAAACATAAGCATCCTGCTCCTGCTTACCTTCCCTGACCGCCGTCACAGGTGCCCTCCTTGGACACAGCATAACCATCCGGATTCATGGTGGGCAATATGTGAATCCGCGTGTTATCCAGCAGCCACTTGACATACTGATCGGAACTGTAGCTGGTCACAAAGTACTGGATGAGATGGAGGAGCATCTCCCTACCCACGGGCTCGTTGCCATGGATATTGCCCACATATTTGACGTCCGGTTTGCCCACCATATGCTCATACGGCGAAGAGCTGACCACCATTACCCAAAGATCCCTGCCCTGGATCGACTTGCCAATGGAGTACAAAGCCGTAAGATTGGGATACCGGGCACTAGTAGCTCTGCCAAGGGAATACATTTTTAAATAAATAATAAATAATACATTTTCCAAGTAAAAACTCACCTTAGAAACCTCGTTAGCTCCTCGTGATCGTGGTAGACAAAGTCCAGATGCTGGGCATCTGGCATATAGGCCCTGGGCTCCGGCAGTCCCCTCTCCGGCTGGATTTGAATTTGCAGCGGATCACCAGTGGGATTCACTGTCTTGGCCATGGTTATGGCCGGCAGCAGGAGCATCAAGAGCAGAAGCTGAAGCTGTTGCTGTTGCTGGAGTGGTGTTGTCGTCGTCCGCAAGATCATGGTCGGTCGGCGGTGAGTCTGCGAATGGATAAACCTGGCCAGCGGGCAGACCATTTAAGTCAGGGGGCTGGCTGGCTCTCTGGCGGTGCGAAATGTGGTTCGAAATGAGAGCCAACTGGTTGGGCCACCACCGCACCGACTGGCTCCAAATCGAATCGCGAATCGCTAGGAGATGGGTTTTGAGATGATGAGCTTGGCTACGTGCAGATCTTGATCTGCGAACGTTGCCCCCTGGTGGCATGCCGCCGCCAAACGTGTTCGCCCTGGATTATTACCCCGCCTCCCCCCGTGACACTATCCATCATCCGCCGATTGGAGGTCGTTGATACTCGAGCAAGGATGGTAAATTTAAGCGAATATATGTAAGGTGGATTATAAAGTAATATATAGAAATATATAAAAGATAGAATATAAAATATAGAATATAGATTCCCCTAAAATCGATCAGCGGAGATACCCCGCCAAGGCGAGGGCTTGTCTAATCAGAAGGTGCCTAGCTGTCACCGGATGGCCACCTCTATCTATCTATCCGGCTCTCTATCTGCCTTTATCTACCACACTCTCTCGTGTCCCGATAAGATAGGGGTGTGGCATCGACCCTATAAAACCTCACGCCATCGCCAGGGAAGCCATCAAAAAGGAAGGAGCCATCATGATGAAGCTAACACTTGCCGCCCTTGGACTTATACTGATTGCCGCCGGCGGTGTGCTGTCGCAGCCGCAGGGCAGGATTGCCGGAGGCGAGGACGCCGTCGTTGGCCAGCTGCCCTACCAGGGTGCCCTCTCCATTGGCGGTAGCTACAACTGTGGCGCCGTTCTCATTACCCAGCGCTACGCCCTCACCGCCCTCAGCTGCGTCTGCTCAGAGGGCAAGGACAAGCCGTGAGTTAAGCCCTCTTCCTTTTTTTTTTTTTTTGTGAAAATTTATGGAAACCTCCTGCTCCTTAGGTGGCCTGCCACTTTGTTCATGGTCTCCGTGGGCTCTGTGGACCTGTATTCCGGCGGCCAGCGAATTCGCGTGGAGGAGATCACCATTAATCCCAACTATAATACCCTGAAGACCGGCATTGCTTTGCTGCGGCTGGAGCAGGATGTGACCTTCAACGAGGCAGTGGCCGCCATTCCTCTGTCGCAGGATACACCGCCCCTGGGCGCCCAAGTGGAGGTCTCTGGCTGGGGTCGCACCACCGAGTCGGAGGTGGACATGCATCGCACTTTGCAGATCGGCGAGGCCGAGGTGATGGCCACGCGTGAGTGTGCCCTGGGCAAGACCGAGACGGAGCCGGTGGCCGATGACCAGGTGCTGTGTCTGGGCCATGGCCGTCGTCATGGCATCTGTACTGGCGATATCGGTGGACCCGCCGTCTACAATGGAGAGCTGGTGGGTCTGGGCGCCCAGATGCTCGGCGAGTGCGGTGGCATGCTGCCGGAGAGATTCGTGAGCATTGCGGCCAACTACGATTGGATCCAGGAGCAAATCCAATAAAATTTGAATTCATTACGAAAGCAAGATTCAAGGGGAGAGTTGTCTATTTTCTGGGATTTTTACTGGGTTTCCCGGAGAGAGTAAAAATATGTATAGGAATGTGATATGTATAGCGTCTGATTTATCCAAAATATTTGATTTATTTTTTATGTATTTAAAATTTCGGATATATCCTAAATATATGATATATTTAGTTAAATACTGAGATACTAGAGACTTTCCGGTTTTCTAGTTATCCAAACTCCCAGATTTTCCTTTTTCCTTAAAATTTTGTTATCAAGAATCAAAGAAAATTATCGTCAAAAATCGGTTATCAGTGCCAACAATTTTGGCTATCGGTTGAAATCTATATATGACATAACCACTAGCCTGTTGGGAATATCATTTTCATATCGGAATAATAATGTGATTATGTATAAACGTTAGACAGCAGCAGAAATGATAACAAAGTAGTATTAATTCTATTTAAGGTTTCATTTTTATAATCTTGAAGTCTTAAAATGATTACCGAATACTCTTAGGAGTGGGGTTCAGGGCTATTATTCAGAATAAATTGATATATACTACATATATATTCAAATATATATAAAACAAATTAACAGGAATTTTGGTATCCCTCTAATATACATATTTTAATTTTAAAGAAAATAATCCAAAAAACAAATATAAATATATAAAATAATAAATATAAAAAATAAATGTAAATAATGAATTAATAAATGTTAATAAATAATAATAAATAATAATAAAAATAAATGTTAATAAATAATAAATAAATATACAAATAAATAAAATCATTTTAAAAAGGTGAAAAGTATGCTTTTAACTATTTAGAACTTCATTTAATTTTATTTAATAATTTAAATTAAAATGTATTTCTTTTGAAAATTTGTATTTAAGGATTTTAAAGATAAACTTTTAGAAAAAAAAACGTATGCTTCTAAAAAAAAATTAAAGTAGGCCTAAATCGATATTATTATTCTATTAGAGATGATGTATTACTTTTCAAAACCTTTTATTTACGGATTTTAAAGATAATCTTTAAAAAAAACTAATATTTCTACAATTAAAAATTAAAGCAGGAGTAAAATCAATATTTTTATCGATTAACATCTTCCCTCTTCTATTAGTGATGATGAATTACTTTAAAAAATTGTTTATTCAAGTAGAAAAGTTAGAAAAAAACTTCTACAATTAAAAATTACCAGTCCCAAAATCGATATTTTGATCCATTAACATTTTATTAGTGATGAACCAAAACATTGACCTCTCTCCCATCTCTATTAGGGATGAACCCAGCGCAATTTGCAAGGTTCAAGTGCAAATCAAAGCAGGAAGAACCTGCTTCAATTAAAGTACTTTCCCACAAAACCCTTTCAACCCCTCGAGATTAGTTAAGGGCCCCTCACTGAGTCATTCCCGCAATAAATATGTTTAAATTTTTGATATTTTCTGATTAAATAATCTCGAATTCCGAATTTCAAAAGTCATTGTTCCACGGCTATATTGTCTTAATAAATTAAATAAATGGAATATCCCAAGAAACATGATAACCCCACCTAACCTAGGCTCTGGTCGTTGGTCTCATTTATTCAGAATTCACGATGATCCACTCCAGATGCTGGGTTGTGTCCACATAGCCATCGGGCTGCCCGGAACCGCAGCCGCTCACAAAGAAGGCGGCAATGCCCACCAGCTGGTTCTCGTAGACCGCCGGGGCACCAGCGTCGCCGGAACACAGCCCAGAGAGATCAGTCTCCGCCACGGGGCTCAGGCAGAGCAGATCCTCCTGCTCCAGGAACAGCTCCTGCTGGCAGGCAGTGGCGCTAAGCGCCTGGCGCGTGGCCACCTGCAGGCCATGGCTCAAAGCTCCATCTGCCTTGGACGAACCCCAGCCCGAGTAGGTTACCTGGCTACCAGCCGGTGGCCTGGCGGTGCCCAGGTCAATGGGTTGGGTATTAGCATTCAGCGTTACCGGCGTCTGCAGCTCCAACAATGCCAGATCATTGGCCCCAGCAGGACCGGCACTGGAGTAGTCCTTGTGGATGATGATCTGGGAGAGAGGCAGCAGCTGGCCGCCTGCCAGGCGCTGGATGCTTCCAGCTCGGATGGTATACGAAGAAGGGGGATAGCTTTCAAAGGAAAATATCGTAAGAAAAGGGAAGGAATCTTGGCAGTGCGCCTCTACCTTTGCTGTCCGCCTCCCAGACTCACACAGTGGCCAGCGGTGAGACCCCACTTGGCGGTGATCAGGACTCCCGTGCACACATGGACGCCGTGCCGGCGCAGGGAGATGGTATAGGGCTGGGAGCCCACATCCGCCGGCTGGCGGTTTCCCTCGGCCAAGGTCAGGAGGCCAACGAGGATGACGGTGAGCAGGTAAGGACTCATATTCGCGGCAAGTGGGTAACGCAACTGAAAGGCTCTCAGTCCACCGCGGCGGCCTTTATAGAGCCGCCGCCACACTTTTACGATCTCGGGGCTTAAAGCAATCTAATCGCCACTCGTTCTGCCATAAATCGAGTGTTTATATTGCAGCCGCCGATCGGCGATTAGATCGCCCAAGGGGCCGAGTCATTGGCGACCATCGATCGGGCCAGTCCGTTCAGTTGCCAATTAATCGCCATGGCTGATCCACGCATCGCTCTGGGCCTGCTAATCTGCGTAGTGCTCGCTGCTGCCAATGCCAAGCCCCAGGGTCGCATCCTGGGCGGCGAGGATGCCGCCCAGGGTGAGTTCCCCTGGTCCGTTTCCGTGCGTGTCAACAAGGCCCACGCCTGCTCGGGATGCATCATCTCGCAGAACAAAATCCTGACCGCCGCCAGCTGTGTCTCCAGTGTGAGCACCACACCGTAAGGAGGGGTCATCCTTATATAGATTCTCCTTTCCTAAACTATACTCTTTCTCTCTTCCAGGGTCGATCCCAGCTCTGTGGCCGTGCGTGTGGGCAGCATTAACCAGTATGCCGGCGGCAGCATTGTGAGCGTCGAGAGCATCCTGATCCACCCCTCCTACGGCAACTTCCTTCACAATCTGGCTCTGTTGACTCTAAGCGAGAACCTGGTCTATAGCGATCGCATTGCCGCCGCCACCTTGCCCTCTAATGAGAGCAGCGGCGAGGAGACGGAGGAGGAGCTACCTAATGGCACTCCGGTCTATGTGGCCGGTTGGGGTGAGCAGTCCGATGGCACTGCCGCCTACAAGCTGCAGAAGTCCAACTACAACACACTGAGCGATCCCTGGTGCGAACTGGCCGCTGGCTATGGTTATTCGCACATAACCTGCCTGTCCAGTGCCGAGAACGAGGGCATCTGCCGGGGAGATACCGGAGCAGCGGTCGTCGACGATAACAAAGTCCTGCGCGGCATCACCAGCTTCCACTTTGGAGAGTGCGGCAGCAATTTCCCGGACATAAGCACCCGTGTCTCATACTATCTGGCTTGGATCGAGGCCAATGCCAACTAGGGAGAGCAGGAGGTCACTGGAAGAGCCCTGGAGGTAACTGGGAATAACTAGAGTTCACTGGAGATCGATGGGCATCACTGGAGGTCGATGGAGATCACTGGAGATCACTGGAGATCAGTGGAGATTTCTGGATATTGCTGGAGATCCCTTGAATTTTTTAGAGATCGCTGGAGATTGCTGGGGATCCCTAGAGATATCTGGAGTTCCTTGAGATTCCTCAATAACCCAGGAGATCCCTAAAGATCCCTGAAGTTCCCTAAATTTCCCTAGCCACCCCTAGAGATTCCTGTACCTTCACTGCAGTTCCCCAAAGGATAGCCATAATTTTTTTTATACATTTTTTTCATGTGCATAAAGTGTGTTACCTTCAAAAAAAAAAAAATTGTTTCTTATGAGACTGCAATAGTTGCCCCATTTTATGGTCTATTGGGAATTTAGTGCTGGCCATAAATATAAACCGATAGGGCACGATCAAAGTTTCCATGGAACCTTCGACTTTATGAGGATTATTGGCCATTGGTGATCTAACAGTAAGCAGTAAATTAGGCTTGAAACTATGAAGTTCCAGGGTCAGTTGAGGGATTTGTAATCGAAATAGCTACCAATTGGGGTTTTTGGAAGCACTGATCTTAGAAAAACCCCATAATAAAGCGGGTTAAGATTGTGACTAAGCTAAAAACGTATAAGCCAGATTATGGCCAGATACAGATCTTGGGCAATTCCATATAATCAAGATAAGGGGGGTTGACTATTTGTTGTTCTTTATGAAATTCCTGAAAATAACTACCTAAACTCATGTACTTTGGTTGCTAAGAGCATCTGGTTTGGAATTTCCTTATAAAAAAATAAGGCTCCTAACTAAAACCATTTATAAGACTTTTTCAGATCTCCTCTTTGATAATTTTAGGATTTTCCTTCTCCAAAGACTTCAGTTTCCGATCTCTTTTTTCTATTTTTTGTGACTGTTTGTTGTCCGAATCACCTTTCTACCCTGACTCACTCCGCTTACTCATCTTTATCTAGCTCAGATGGTGTACAGCTAGTGTCTTGTCATGGAGACTGGACTTCCTTTCCCCATACTCTTCATTTTTTTTGCCATTTTGCTATTTATGTGCCAATTGTGATCGGTGAAATAACAACTAACGACGCGTATAAAGCCGCCTGCCGTCCAATTCAGACGATAAGATTAGATTTACCTCAATGTCCAAGACCAAGATAACTAGACTGCTGGTTGGATTCGGTTGGAGCAACATCACGTCCACTTAAATTACCGCCACTCGCGTTGCGCAGTTCCGCACTTCCATTTCAACCGCCGTCGCGGGTAGTACTTACAACCGAGCAACATGCAACAGAGATCTCTGATTCTGGGCCTGCTGGGCCTCTCCCTGCTGCTGGTGGCCGTTCAGGCTCGTGGACGCATCATGGGCGGCGAGGAGGCTGGCCTGAATGCCACGCCTTTTGCTGCCTCCCTGCGCGTGGACAATGCCCATGTGTGCGGAGCTTGCATAGTCTCCGCAACAAAGGTCCTGACCACGGCCCACTGTGTGTATCGCGATGGAAAGCTGTGAGTATGGGGACAGGGGGAGGTAGAGGTGTTCCTGGTAAGGATTATGACTGGGATTTTAAACAAAGAAGCTCTTTTTTTTTAACTAAATAATTAGTTACTTAGTTAAGCTCTGTTCTACTTGTCGTATGGGTGATATTCTAATCAAGGCTGTACAACTAGGCGGATGAGTGATATAACCTGATGCTGAGCTAGAATTAAGGTACTTAGAGCGGAGTCCTGCTAGACATTCTGGTAAATTTTTTAGACAAATTAACACCGACCTTAAAGCAACCAGTAATTAATGCATAAAAACCATTGCATACTTTTACGCTTAATGCAATAATTTAAAGCCACTGAAACCTCTTTTGTTCATGAAGTAATATCTTAAGCCAGTTCAATCCTGCTAGCCAGACAAAAAAATTATATGCTCCTTATTTTAAATATTATTATTATTTTCATTATATTATTTATTAATCCCACTCAATCCCCTTGAACAGCCTCGCCGCCAGTCGCCTTTCCCTGCGCGTGGGCAGCACCAATCAGTACGCCGGCGGACACATTGTCGCCGTGGACTCGACCAATGTCCACCCGGACTACTATCAGCTGCAAAACAACCTGGCCGTGCTCACCCTCAGCTCCCCATTGACCTTCACCGAACGCATCAAGGCCATCGAGGTGGCCGCCAGCGATGACGCACTGCCCGCCGAGGGCTCCGAGGTCAGTGTAGCCGGCTGGGGACGCACCACCGAAGGCACCACCTCGTACAAAATCCGTGAGATGGCCCTCCAAGTGGCCACCGAGGCGGAATGCCAGGAGGCATACAGCGATCCGGCTGGTGATAGCTTCTGTCTGGCCCATGAGCTCAAGGAGGGCACCTGCCATGGTGATGGTGGCAGTGGTGCTGTCTACCAGGACAAGCTCATTGGACTGACCAACTTTGTGGTGGGCGCCTGTGGTTCCCGTTACCCCAATGTCTTTGTAAAGCTGGCCCCCTTCTCTGAGTGGATTCAGGAGCAGTTGGCTTGAGTCTTGTTTTTTTTAAATAAATATTAACATTTTTAAGAAATATTAAATAATATTAAATAAAAAGTATGCTGTGTAGTAATTTTTTTCCTGGCTTATTTATTTTCTGCGCTGTGAGTCAAAGGCGATAAGGATAAGGTTTGGCGATACTGCTGCGGCTGGTTAAAGTAATAATCGCTCACTAAATGCGTGAAATGCTTGTTTATTTATGACCTCAATGAAAGCGAGGGACCCACTTTATGGCTTTGAAATCCCCCCGATATCGATAATACAGCAGCAGCCAAGAATTTCGAAAGATAATTCTAATAAAACTTCCCTTTAATTTATTTGGTTTAAAGAAAACTCAAGCATTTTAATTATGGGAATCCCTATGAGAAGGGCTAAAGCTTAATCACACTCTCAGCTCCCTGGCAATTAGGAGGGCTTCATTTGCATAAAAACAAACCAAAAAAAAAAAACAAAAATAATACAAAAAATAAGCAGAAACCAAATTAGGTTAAATCTTGGATCGATAGCCCGACATTGACTTTGACATCTCAGGGAACTAATGATGATGAGAGGCCGCAGCTCATAAATAGGGGAAGCCGGAAGGCATTACTGGCCAGGAGCACTCTCTCCCTCTTCGTACAAGCCATGTCGCTGCCGCTGCTCTCGATCTTTCTACTCCTCCTGGGCACAGCCAGTGTCCTGGCCAAGCATAACCAGAGCGAACCGGACTGGAGTCCCCGCATTGTGGGCGGAACCAAGGCCCACACGGGACAATTTCCCCACCAGATCTCGCTGCGTAAGCGTGGTGGCCACGCTTGCGGTGGATCCATCCTCTCCAGCACTTACATCCTGACCGCTGCCCACTGTGTCAAGCAGGGGAATAATGTGTGAGTTGATTAGAGCCACTTGAAAATATCCCCAAAACATATACATCCATATTTCTTACATCCCAGAACTCCTGCCAGACAACTGTCCATCTTGGCGGGCACACTGAAACTCTCGGGCGGCGGCGGGGAGACCCGACAGGTGGCCGCCGTTCATGTCCATCCCCAGTACAAGGGTGACGGCTATGATGTGGCCGTTCTCCGGCTGACCCAGCCCCTGAACTTCAATGACAATGCCAAGACCATCAGTCTGGCTACCGAGGATCCGCCCAGCGACGCCTCTGTTTATATTTCCGGCTGGGGAGCCATCTCCAACAGCGGACCCATCTCCAATGACCTGCTGTACGGGCAGGTCAAGTATCTGGCTCGGGATACTTGTAAGCGACAGTACCTTCCCCGACTGGCAGAGACCACCATGTGCCTGCTCCACGAGGCCAAGAAGGGCGCCTGCTATGGCGACTCTGGTGGCCCGGCCACCTATGAAGGACGGCTGGTGGGCGTGGCCAGCTATGTGCTTGGAGGCTGCGGCCGAGCTGCTCCCGATGGCTACGAACGGGTCTCCCAGCTGAGGCAGTGGATCAGGGAGAATGCAAAGCTCTAAGGGGGAGGATATGACCCGTTTTCATGGGGTTTTCTTGGGAAATTTAATATTGAGAATATTATTTAGCTAAGAAAGCAAATGGGGTTTAAAAATTGGATTCGTTTGGCTTTCTTTGGCTTTATAAGAAGTTGTATGTATTTTTCCTGTACAGTTAACCCTTTACTTAAATATTATTATTAACCCATAAATACATATTATATATATATATATATATCAATATTAAAAATAAAAGCAGCACAAAAAAATGGGTTTTCGACTTTTAATAATTATTTATAGCTTTAATAGTAGATAAGAAATAATGGATAAAAAAAGATAGGCCATAAATAGTTAATATTTAAAAAATAAAAAACATCTATAACATATCTATAAAACCCCAGGACGAACCTTCAGAGACTCCCCAGATTTATTTTTAAACACAGAACACAGAAAAAAAACTTCAAGGATTTAATTTAGAATTCTAAAAGAAACACCCTAAAATCCTCAAATAAATATAGAATTCCTAGAAAAACATCCAAAAAACCTCTTTAAAAACCATGATATTTAATCATTTAATTTATAATTAATTGCAAATACTATTATTAGACCCAAAACAATTATTTAAAAGTGACTAACACTCATCAAGATCGTTTCGAAGTGAGCCATCCTGGTTTTTTGGGTCACCGCCATGACTCATTTGGGAGCCAACGAGTTGTGACCGCCCATTTAGAACGCTCTTTCTGGCCCAACTCTGACTCTGACTCTGGCTCTTTGAGGGGTTATCAGAGCGCAACTGCCTGGCCCCGGCCACCTTTGCCCCCTGGACTCCCCCGGAACAGTGAAAGTGAAAATGAAAAACCTCGTTCAACTTTTTCTATTATTTCTCGGTAATTTTCCGTCTTCATTTTGTCGCTTTTAGTTTAGTTTTGGTGTTTTTTTCCAGCACTTTGCGTTTAATGACTTTGTTTTGCTTTTCATTTAACTCTTGTCTTGTCTTTTCCCCACTCTTTTCTTGCTGTTTTTCTTTTTCGAGAGCTTCAATTTTCCAGTGTTTTTGTGCGCTCTCTTTTGGGCGCAATTATCGGATCGCTGGGGATCGTGCCGGGGCTCAGTGGGCCCTGGCTTATACTGGTCGTAAACCCGCACGATTTGTCCGTCTGCCAATCCATCAGTTTGTCAGTCTGTCATTTTTTGTATGTACATATATTTTATGTCAGCCTGCCACTCGAAATGCAATTCACGCTGCAAGTCATCGAACTGTTTGGGGTCCAAAGACTGACTGAGTGCGCGATCTCAGCAGTGAGTCACAAGGGGCTGGGCCTTTTTTTACTGATTGCCCTCAAAAACGTAATACTATTATTGTTTACTGATGTATAGGGAATATTTCTAATATTTTATATATATTTTTAAATGTATATATATTTTTATATATATTTTTAAATCCTGTCAAGTCAAAAATTTAAAATGCAGTGAAGGAGTCTATAAATCATATATATTCTTGGTGTGCGGATGAAAAAAAATGTTGTTGCAATTTTTTTTTTTAATTTTATATTTGATTTACACCGATAAATTTTTTAAAAATTTATTAAATTGAAACTTCTAAAAATGTTATTTATCAACCTTATTAAAACAAACACCAAAAATTAATTTAATGTATTTTTGGCTTAGTTATAGATTTTGTAAGTTTTGATTTTAATTTTAAAAAATATTAAATTCAGTATGCAAATTTATAACCTATACCTTGGTTATAGTTTATCATTTGTCCGTATAAAAATATCGATAAATATAGATTTAAAGAAAGATTTAAAATCATAATAAATGAAAAACTAATTATAAAAACTGTAGCTATCCAAAAATTGCTTCATTTATCTATTTATCTAAACCTTACAAATAATTGTAAACTAAGTGCTAACTTAGGGTTAAGAGCCATAGCAGCTAAGGCCTTCGGCTCATTGCTTCATTTATACTTTTAACAACTAACAATATTCCTCAATATATTTAATTTTTCTCCAACATTAAACATTAATTTTTGTATTTATTATTCGTATTTGTGTTTCTTTATAGTGGCTTGTGGCAAACCTGATAAGAAATCGCAAAGTTTATCATCATCTTGGTGGCTCCAACTCCATCTCAATTTCACCTGGCTGTGCCACTTCCAAGAAGCCAACCACATTAGCAGCTCACCAGTTGCAAGTTGCAAGTGGCAAATAGCAAGTTGCACAGCCACTAAAAGCTAAGGCACACTGGGAAATAATATTTAATATAAAATATCTAATATAAAATCACTTAACTTAAAAACAAAAAAATTAATAAATAAATAATGGAAAGTCTTGTATCATTTGCTACTACAATTCAGCTATAAGAAATAGAGTTTTGGTTTCATCCGCATGAAAAATATTTATTTTAAAGCCTGATAACTCTAAATGGCTAGATCGATTTGCCTGCTGAAGGTAAACAAAAAAAATAACAAAGTTTTTAGGAATTAATAAATGTCATATTATACAAAAATTCTAATTAAATAGTCAAAAATAAGGAACCAACTTTTCTACCTTAACAAGAAATAGTTTCATTCATTAAATTAATTTCTCCCCATTTTTTCTTGCTGTGCAGCCTGAAACTCAAGTCTCCCCAGACATGTCGCCGCAAACAAATTTCTTTCAATTAGGCGCCCCGCTTATTTTGGGCCGAATCGGCGTTTTGATTAGCATGGAAAGTAAGCGAGCGAGTGTAAGTGGCTCTTAATGGTCAAAGCAAGACCAAGAGCAAGAGCAAGAGCCAGGCCAAAGCCCGGGCCAGTGCCAAAGCCGATCGGCGGGTTAATGCTAAACTAACGGGTTTCCTCGAATCCGGGCTCAGCGAAAGAGAAACAGAGGCAGGAGGAGGAGGAGTAGGGTGGGCAGGAGAGGTAGCGAGAGCGAGCCATTTAACCCACTAACCTTGTTTGCGACAAAAAGCCAGCACCGAAAGCCCGCACTTGGCCAAAAGGCTGCTCCGCCACTGCCACTGTCAAGTTCAATGCTAGGCACACCCATGGCCATCAATATAATGGAGCGAATTTATAATACTAAATTTGTAAAATTATAAAAAACTTAAAAAAATATTATTTATGGTAAAAGAAAGAGAGGTAAACTGATTTTATATAAAGCAAAATGTCTTGTGAGCACTTTTTTCTTAATTTATTTTCCTTAAGCATTTTTATTACTATTTTTTTTAAGGTTTACTTTATTTTTTAACTCATATTTTGTGTTATATTTTGTATAAACTTTAAAAAATACTCGCAAGTAAGTACATTTCTGAGCAAGAAATGTTTTAAATTTCGAATTAAATTTATAAAAGAATTATTTGTTGTGTTATTAATATAAAAAATACTAGACACTTACTAGGAAGTAAATAAATATTAACAAAACATTATAAACACTTGAAATATTCCGAAAAATATACTTAGAGATCTTTAAATTTCTTTAAATATTTTCAACTATATTAATATTAATACCCTAGACTTAAAAACAAACCATAAAACATCCTTGAAATTGAACACATCCTTTCTCTAACATTTAAAATTTAAAGAGCTGACCCAGGTGGGTCAGGTTCTTGAGGTCTTTCCGATATAGAGGACCCACCAACACCCCAGCCAGGAAATGCCGTTTTCCCTGACCGCAGCTGTTGTGGGCCTTGGGGGGCGACGCTGCTTGGAGGTCAGGCGACGGCCTTCGAAGGAGGCGACATGCGCACTACTGGGTTAGTGAGCCAAACTCCCCCTGGGTGGGGTGTTTATATAACAACAAAAACGGCTGCAGCCAGCCGACATTCGCCTGCAATGACCTTCACCTTGGCAAAGAGGCGAGCAGCCACCCAGCAGGCGCCCCATCGCTGGCCTTGATCTTCAACTTTCCCAGCCAGTATTTACCTGAGATTTCCTGGTGATTTCCTGCAAACGCCTTGACAATTTCTAATTCACGAACGAACGCTTCTTCTGCAATGGGAAATTTGCATAAAAAAAATATTCAATCAACTTTCATTGTTCCAGGCGGATGCCGTTGCCGGGCTTCAGTTTCACACGAAAAAAAGGCAAAAACAAATAGAAAACAAACAAATTCTCTTCTTTTTTTTGGGTAGTTTCTCTTTACGCCTACGCTGGCGCCCAAAAAAAAAAAAATAATATAGGCACTAAACAAAAAAGAAAAGAATCGCCCGCGACACTGGCGCAAATTAGAATTATTTATTATTTTTATTCTTATTTATTTTTTTTTTTTTATTTTTGTGGCACCTTTTTCTCTGATGGCTTACAACTGTTCCCAGGAAAAACAAAAACAATAAAACGACTTTATCGCAGGGCAGTTTCGGAGAGAGGTTTCAAAACGCGTCCGCCGTGTCCGACATCAACCGACTGAATGAGTGGGCCATCAGGCAGTCCCCAGCAGCGATGTCATTTCTTGCTGAGCCGAAAAGGCTGGCTCAGCAAAAAATATAAGCTAAATAAAACGTAGAATTTCGGGAATTCTGGAATAAAGAAGTAAACTGATTTTTTATTATTATTATTATTGTATTGTGTCAGTTTCAGAATACTTGAGACATGCCGAGTCTTTTTGTAACCCTAACAACACCTGTGGATTCGTCTTGAGGTAAGCTTATTTGGGAGCCGCCAATATCCTTACGTACAGGGAAAAAGAAAAAATGTAAGAGATCCTTGTGGTTTAACGTTTCATAATAATCAAAAAACTTAAGCTGAATTTTGAATCCATTTAAATTAAACAAAAACCAATATTCTGAATCATAAAAATAAAGAAACAATTTAGCAAAAACAACTTTAAGTATTTAATAAAAAATAGTAATAATAAATAAAAAACCTAAGCTGAGTTTTAAGTCCTCATATTAAATTTAACAAAAACAAATCTTCTGACACATAAAAATAAAGAAATAATTTTAAAAAATTATCTTAAAGTGCTTCTTTTAAGTATTTGCATAATCCATGTCCTCCGCTTGATTTAAATTATTATTTTAATTTTTGTATATTATTTTATGTAACTTTTTCATTTATTCTGAAACATTTTAGTTGATTTTTCATTAAAATATCTTTATATTTTTTGTGGTTTTTAGATTAATTTTTAAATGAAATCTTTTGAATTAGAGAGGTATATGGCAGTCAGCCTTTTTCCGGCAGCGCAAGTTTCCCAACAATCAGCTGTGCCCTTAAAATTAAAAATAAAACGGCATATTTTATTTAAATTACAATCAACATAATGATCACATAAGAATATATATAATAAAAATTAGGTTAAAGCAAGAAAACCAATGGAAATAATTATTTTTTTAGCCCCTTAAAATAGATATTAAATATATAATTAAAACTTAAATCGAAGTTAGCCGATAAACATAAATAACAATTTTAATAAAGTGTCATATTCGTATTATGAACATTTGTCAAACAACACACAGTTTTGATCAATGTTTTCAACCATTTTATAACAGTCTATAACATTAAGCCAAGCCACCTTTTCCAATTTTTTTACCTTTTGTACTTTTGTATTTTTCCCCGAAACTGCCTGGGCCTGTTTTGTTTTCTTTTCACCCGCTGTCGCTAGCCAGAGAGCCGCTCTCAATTTGGGAATCCCATAAGCAAAGTCTGTTAACGAGCCAAATTCTGTAATCGAGAGCATTTTTATGTTAACTAACATTTTGCCTTGCAATCAGAGTGACCAGGGAGAAAATACCAAATATCGCGATTTCGGTATTTTTATATACTTACATTTTTACACTCTACATGAGAATTCGACCCCAAGCATGTAAAACATTGTTTTGACATTTTTTGCCTTGCAATCAGAGTGACCAGGGAGAAAATACCAAATATCGCGATTTCGGTATTTTGATATACTTACATTTTTACACTCTACATGAGAGTTCGACCCCAAAAACGAGAATTCGACCCCAAGCATGTAAAACATTGTTTTGACATTTTTTGCCTTGCAATCAGAGTGACCAGGGAGAAAATACCAAATATCGCGATTTCGGTATTTTGATATACTTACATTTTTACACTCTACATGAGAATTCGACCCCAAAAACGAGAATTCGACCCCAAGCATGTAAAACATTGTTTTGACATTTTGCTTTGAAATTCAGAGGGACCAAGGGGAAAATATAAAACAATATCATGCAAAAATATCGCGATTTCGATATTGGGCAAAAAACATCGAGTTGGCAACACTGAAAAGGCGCGCGTCATTAAGAAAATCGTTATTAACGAATCGTTCAGCCCCGAGCCCCGACGTGAGATAGGAGATAAGCCACCGCGAATCGTGGAAATCGGTTGTGTAGTCGAAGCTGAAGGAGTTCAAAAATCTGCTCTAGCCTAAGCTACTATTTTTTTAAAGCTCTAAATCTTTCCAAAAACCAAGAAATATCTAAAAAATAAAAAATTAAACGAACATATTTTATCGGCGCGATTGCTTGTTTTCCTGCCAATACCGGGAAAACAGAAAAATAAACAAACGGAAATAGCTAATAACAAAAACAAAGTGCGCGTAAATTAGTTCCGATTGGTGAGCTTTTTTTGTTCAATTATTTTAGGTGCGTGTTCCGTGTTTTTTTTTATTTGTACATGCCTGTGTGTGTGTGGATTTCTGTATTTTGTGCATCTCACTTGCAGGCGTATTTGTGTAGGTCAAGGTGACGCATCTGCTTGGCACCGTTAGTTTTCCACCCATTGACTATGCAGTTCTCCGTTGCACTTGTGTGTGTGTGTGTGTGTGTGTGTAAATAGAGTGGAAACCTTAAAAAGTCAATATTGCAGTAATCTGCAATAGCTCCTCTCACCCTCCCTCTGCATGTTCCACCCAAGTCCCTCTTGCTGCCTCGCTCGCTCGCTCACCACCCAGATAAGCAGCACCGCCACAACAAATAACTGTTTAACTTAACCCTTAGGCGCGAATTGGCAAAGAAATTTCTGCGACGCCATAAAAAAAGCTTAAAAATTCAATTATTAGAGCACAGGAAAAAACAGGCCATGACTAAACATAGCAAACAATGGCCAAGCGCACTCGTCACCACCTGCACCTGCAGCCGTAACTAACTAAGCTAAGCAAGCCACTAGCCGAGTCTCTGTAACTAAAGCCCGTTTCGTTTAACCCCCAGGCGCGGCGGCACAACCAAATAGTAAACAATAAATGCTTCTGCCACTGCAGTAGCAACTGGCCAAACGCAGTGAAACACAGCAACTTGCAGCAACGTGCGAATTGCAACACAGCACAACAGGCAAGACGGCGTCGTTTCTGCAGCAGCGTCGCCTCTTCGGCGGCGGCAATGTGTCTTCATCATCGCCGGGCTCCAATGCCTCACCGGCGGCGCCCATGAAGCACCAGCCACCGCCTCCGCCCCTGCCCCTCACACAGCCGCCAACGATGGGCGGTACATCCGGAGGAGCCGTGGCCAACGCCATTAGCAGCCTCAACGGCGGGAGCAGTCATGCCAACAACAACAACCACAATGGCATTGAGCCAGTTAAGTGTCGGCCGCCACTTTACCCAAAACGTAAGTAAAATCCAGATTTCAAGGGTGCAAAAATTCAAAACAACAAAAATCTGCAATAGGGGTTAAATAAAAGGGTTGATCCTGGTGATGACACACTTTAAAGATACATACAGTCGAACCCTTCTTGACGTTAAATTCTAGGAAAAGATATATGTATTTACATGAGCATTAAGCTATCTCTATTGTTTCTTGGTAAAAAACATTAAAACTTTTTTATAACTTGGGTAAATAATGCTAAAGAACTTGTGTACATATAAGATCACCTGATGTACACTTACATACATATGTACATGTATGTACATATATTCTCCAACCTAAACTCTAAACTTATCGTGGCAAATGGTTATCGATTTATTGAAGCCCTATTTTTATTTATTTGAAACTCGATAAAAACTTAAAGGTTTTTGTATAGCTCTGCATAATTCTTAAATTAAAAAGTAGGAAGCCAAATTTGTATACACTGGCAGGAAACAGGAATAAATATGAATACAAAATTTAAAAATTTAGAAAATCAAAAATGTTAATTTTTGAAAAATTTAATAAAATTAAAAAAAAAAAATCCATTAAATAATAATTTTTGGGAAACATTAAATTAAAAAATTCATAACTCGACCAGAAAAGCTATAATTTTCGAGAAACTTCTCTCAGTTAGTTTTAATAAGTTTAATAAATCTGCATAATTAATTTAAATTTTTGATCAAATTAAAATTTGTGTAAATTGTTAAATTTTGAAAAAGGCTAGATTGATTCGGCCTTTGATGCTGATCAAGAATATATGTACATATATGTTTTATAGGGTCGGAGATTCAAGATTCAGGAGTTAGATAAACCCTTAAAAATTGAAATATTTCCATATAAATATATGAATATATTTTTATTTTCATATATTAAAATGTTTGTAATTTTAGTATTTTACATTTTTTAAACAATTCTTAGATAAACTTCCTGGGTTTCATAATTAATTTCAGTATTTATTACCGTAATGTGGAGATATCAGAAAAGGCCTTTAGAAGTTAATAAAAACTGAAACAAAACAACCCCTTGAAGTGTCTGAAAAAGTATTATTATATACTTTATATTTTCTTAAATTAAATTTAGTACAATGTACTTTGTATACTTAATTGTGTTCACTAAACTATAAAGTAAATAATACTTGGTAGTATTCAAGTACGAATAGTTATCTCTCTTTATCAAGTTAAGTGCTTAATTTTGGTGACCTTAAATGGGCTCCAAAGACATTCTCCCAATATGTTCGATTGGCTTCGCCCCTTGGGTGGATCGATCTTATCGGGGACCCAAGATCTCCACTGGCTTCCACCATTACGTGGCTTTTCCGTGGCGGACAAGAAAATTGGCTGGCAAACTATTTTCCGATGGCTTGGAAAGTCGGCTCGGTGGTGGCGGCGGCGGCTTCCTTTCCTTTTTTGCCCACTTCGCTTTCGCCGTGGTTACTTGCTTATTTTTATTATTATTTTTTTTTTTTGCTTTCTGGCTGTTTGCTTTCGGACTGGAAGTTGGGACTGCCTCCCGTTTTTGGTATGCGTAGACTTTGTTTTTATTTATTTACATTTTCTTTTCTTTTGGTTTGGTGTGGTGTGGTTTGGTTTGGGTGTTCGTTTTGGTTTTGTAAAGTTGGCCGCACCCAATACCCCCACTCAGTCCCAATTGCAGATCGGCCAGGGCCTTGGCCGTACCAACAGTGGCAGTGGGGCAACGTGACCGCAGCTAACGGTATCCGTGGTTGACATGTCGTTAGTGTGTTCGATGAGCATTTATGCCGAGCAGGAGGGGGGTGGCCCGAGGTACTAGCCAGGCCTCCAGGCCTCCCTAGCCTGGCCATGCGGGCTCCCCTTTGACTCAGCCGGCGAATGAGCACAGAAAATAAATAAACAAGGAGTTGGGTCTCCTTCTGGGTATTAATAGGAGAGGAGGTATGTGGTTATTCAAGCGAAATTGATTCTTTTGCAATCTATAATTGTGATTCTTAAAGTCACTTATCAATTGGATATCAAAAGTGCCATTGAAAAGTCTCTTAAGAATTTATAGCTGATAATTCTCTGGTTTTCTTTGTGTTTATGGAACATAAATAACAATGTACTGCTTATATTTGTTTATATATATATATATTTTTTTTTTTTTCTTGGTATAATAATCATCGGCCAACCCAGTTCCCAGTCATAGCCACAACTAGAAGCATAAATGATAAGATAAGCTGCAATATGTAGCCATGGCTAATTGTATTAATAAATATTACGAAGCTCACCTCAAACTGTGCCTTATTGTTGTTCTTATTTTGTATTTAAAGGTTTTCAACTGCTTATTTTTATGAAATAGGGTGAGGATTATAATATATATTGAATTCTCAGGAAAAATCAGACAAAAACCTATAAAACAGCTCTAAAGCTATTATTATTCAGTGTATTTTCCCACAAAGTGTTCAATTATTTAAAGTCTCTGAAAAAAATAGCAAATTCCTCGATTGTCCGGGTGTAGTCATCGTCATTAATGTACCCACACACAGTTTGCCAGTCTGTAGCTCTCATTCCCCTTTTAGTCTCTATATTTTTTAGACTTTCGTTCGTTAGTTCCAATTAAAAATTGTGCAGTTTAGCGTTTAAAAACTCATTAGGAGCCCAGCTTCATTGTTATGCCAAATGAATACACATGTTTCTGCGCTGTCCCATTCTGGCTGTGCTATATGTTCTTCTAAAAGTTCTACATGCATTGTTCAAATGCGGGGCGTTTTTACAATGCTCATTTACAAATGCAGCTGAAATAATAGCAGCAAAGATGGAACCTTTAAAAATTATATTATATATTATAAATATTTTCATTTATTCTTTACCTGTTTATATATTTCAAATACTCAATAAAGAATTTATTGTATTATTAAAAACTAAACAACGAAATAACCTCAAGTACTTTACCATTCGAAAAACCCCCTCTTAAACTCTAAATCCTATTAACTTGACTCTTGCTGTGTGCCTAAAGAGTTGATGTGGGCAATATCAAAGGAATTTTCATAGCAATTAGGAAAATCTGTACATAAAAGCTGTCAAATATTCAGTTCCCCAAAAACTAAATAAAGGGGTAAAGGGCTGCAGTGGCACAGATTTTGGTTTTTAGATTCAAGTATTATAAATAGATCGCGTAAATCAGGCGGGGTCCATTTCTTCAAGGGAAAAGATACTAAAGAAAGGGTAGAATGTCAAAGAAGGGGACAGATCCATTTGAAAAATCTAAGAAAATAATTATAGATAAATGATCTTTTGATTTGGTATATTATTTAACTTAAAATCAAAAAGAATTTCTTTTACTTCAACAAGTTTATTTTTAAGTCTGGGATGGCTTTTATTCTGACCCAAAGATATTGCAGAATTTATGGTGTAATTTTGTGTGGCATCATCGGTCGAGTTCATGTAACATAAACACTTATCCCTCCGTCTGTCTGGCTGTCTGGGAAACTAAAGAATTCCGAAATCGAATCGCATTGGAAACCAACAGAATCGAAAACGACTCTGAATGCTAAAAATTCCACTGAAATGCAGTCAGTGGAGAGAGCTGCTGGAGCTGAGGACGCTGTAAACTTGGACAGCAGCAGCTACTTCAAATGCCGTCAATTGTTTTAGCGGAGGGATAGGCGGTAGGAGATGGGCCTCTATTTATGGAACAACAGCGAATGCCCATGGATGTGTGGATGGATGTGATGTGTACAGTGAGGCATGCCCTTTGTAACAAATTCATTTTGCAAAGTTGATATACATAGATAAATTCTTAGTTATTTAAACTTGGCTTGGCTGAAAATATTATTTTTAATTGAAGACTTTGTTTGGTGACTCATTCCTCAGTGGCTTCTATATCCCCCCTTGGCATTTGTTTACATGCCCAAATGCCTTTATGAAACCCAATGCCAATGCACGTTCAATGCATCCAAGAGCCATTCCCAGCCCGAGCTCCAGACTCAGCCCGCGTATCCCCTTACTGGGGCAATGCCTCCTCCGGTCCTCCTTAGTCTGGGCACTCGTGCGTTCAACAAGCCACTCGAACTTTGTCAAGAGGAGGAAAACCAGATGCGTAGGGCACAAAAAACATATATATATATATATTTATATATAACAAGATTCGAGGTCTAGAGCTTGGGTAACCCAAATCTGAAATACCCTTAAAGGCCTTAAAGTTTTAAAAATGAGTTCAACAAATACAAGCTCTAGTCTGGTATTCTTATTTGTTCTTAAATATTGACAAGTTATAGAACCCGTTGAGAGGGTATTGTGTGTTCATATAACCGAGAGCCTAAGAAAGTGAGCTGCATTCTGCATCACAGCTTCAGCTCGAATTGAACTTAATTGATCAATCAAATTGAGATGGGCCAGAGCAGAGAAAGACAAGTAGGGGCATCATAATACCCTGGGTTCCGAGTCGACGGCTGAGATTGAAATTGATGTGTCGCCAAGTGTTAAATGGTCTGTCATAATGTCGAGCGTGTCGAGAGAGAGAACTCAGATATATCATTTCCCAGGCCATTTGCCAGCCATTTCGATCGGGCGGCGATAAATGCTCAAGTGGTTGACACCGAAACAACAACTTAACTCACGATTCCCATCGACAATTGATGGCATGCACAAAGAGAATACATCCGAGAAAAAAACAGGTCAACATTTGGGTAGTTTATAATAAAAAATTACAATTTTTACCCAGTTCTGAAATATAACTTGGGAATTCTAAGCCAGATTAAATAGAGAAATAGGTCAAAATCAGAGCATTTAATACTAAATATTATAGCTTTAACTTACACGTATATTCCCTTTAAAAGTAACTTTGAAATTCCCAGTTCAGATTATTCTCAATTAAAGCTTATTCAGCTCCATTTTTCTGGGTGTGTTTTATAGAGAGACAGACCCCCGACCTAGTCATAATGACGATGACAGCGACAAGTCTAGTCAATGAACCACACACCAAAGTGTACGGAGGGAAAATCAGAGAGGGAAATGGGGTAGGGAGAGGGGAATAGAATGAAAACTGCAACGCCCACAGAAAAGCTGTTTGGGATAAACAAACGACAATAAGCCAGCCAGTCAGTCGCGCGTTAAAGATCTCGAATAGGAGCAGAGAGCAGACACAGGGAGAAATTCAGCCACTAACTGATTTATCGGATTGAGAGCTCCGATTTTGTCAGCTGCATTGTGTGCGTGGGTGGGGTGGAAAATGGGGGACAAATTAGAGGGGGAGTTCTCCTCCTTTTAGGCGGGCGTCTTTGTAGTGGGCGTTTGAACATCTCTCTCGAGTGACAGCATCTCATGCACACCAGCAGGTGGAGGTGGAGGATGAGGGGAATCATCATCAGCACCATCATCTTTCCAGTTTAAATCTTTCAGATCTTCTTGTACCTTGGGTTGCTTTTGTTAAATTTAGCTTTTTATTTTATAGGGAAATGGATTGTGGTTTAAACATTCAAAAATATATTTATTTCAAGGGTAATCTATCTCTTATTTCGCACTGTGCACTTGTACTGGATGCCCTCGTTTATTTACATAAGACAATCTTCCAGTCGGGCCAAGTCAACGCGCTCATTAGCCCTCGTTCCGTCCGCTCCTTGCGGTCGGGGCCCAATTTCGCACATTTATCCGACAGATGTAGATACGGTCGCATACCACATACATACTATATGCCCAGAGATCCAGCAAAAGATAACTGTATCTGCGCCCTAAAGACACAAACAAACAAATTTCTCGTATCGCCATAAAATGCGGCACAGCAAGTTCATTCATTTGTTTACTCGCTCGATTCGCAACAATTAAACAAAATTTGCACAAAATTTAAGCAAAGCCGCGCGATCGTAATAAAAGATGAGGCTAAAATGGGATATAACAGGGATTTTCCGACCTTTGATTTCCTGTTTACACTCTTTTAAGTGAATGTTTAAAGGTTACAAGAAACCCTAGAGCTGGGTCTCTGATTTACTGATCGAGTTTATATATTTTCAAGCAGTCGTAGATGCCTGCTTCTGGCTGTAGCAACCCCATGGGTACCACGAGATAATGGGTATACATTTCAGATTTTAAAGCAAATCTGCTTTAGTACCACAACTGTGCGTGGGTGGCTGCATTCCAAAATCGATGAATGCAAAACGTGAGCTGGAACAATGCAACCAACGAATGTCCTGCTGACTGTGCCACCCTTAGACTTGGTCCTCAAAAAGGGGTGGGATCGCCACCTCTGTGAAACGGAAAGGACGTAACAGGGGCGGGAGAAAGAGAGGTTTCCTGGTTGAAGGAAACCCGAGTATCCGGCACAGGATACTATGATTTTTGTTTTTGAACTTTAGCCAATAAAATAAAACTTTAAATTCAAAATACCTTTGAAATAATAATTATTTGTAAACTAAAACTAAACTAAATCATAGACATAATCTAAAAACCAGGATATATTTTATAACAACCCATCTGGCAACGCCGTACTTCTTAGCCAAAAAAACATAAAACCCCCGCGTAACATCTGGTTCACTTTTCCGGGCTTTCGTTAGTTTCAAGCAGGTCCTTGAGCGCAGGCGCTGAGAGAATGAAAATAGAGGGTAACTAGTGTGGGGAAAGTTGCATTTCGGTGTTGCCACTTCACAAGACATCCTTGCGGATAGAAAGAGACAGCGGGCGAGCTAGAGAGAGAGAGAGCGGCAGTGAGGGAGTGACGGAAAGAGAGCACATTAATTTTGGATGGTTTTAGGGCAGTTGGCCTGCGAGTTGCACCTTCGCCACAATACTATATATACAATAAAGTGTTCATCAATCTCGGGGATCTATATATTATTTTTATTTTCCAAGACCAAACCAAAAACAATCCAAGAAAACAACAACTAAAGCGGCCAAAGAACAAACAACAATGTGGCAAATTGGCTGACAAAAAAAAAAAAGAAAAAAGAAAATCAGCTAACAATAACGAGAGATACAGAGTGAAAGCCCTGAAGGCTGCAGGAAAAGTGCGAGGCTTCTGCCCAATTACGTTTTAAGTAGGCGCTCGGTATACACACGAAGCTCGGCCGGAAAGGAGGGCGTCAGGAAGCGGAAGACAGCACACGGCACCAGGAAGCAGAAACAGCCAGGAACCACCAGAAACCACCAGGAACATGTGTAAGAGTCCCGGGTTGTATATTACGGCAAGGGGCATGGCCCTCCTGCTGTGCCTCCAACGCTCTCTTGAGGGCATTGTCACTCCACTCAACGACAGCCATTCAACCGTTCCGTGTGCCTAATGAGACAGACGTTGATGGGGAGACTGTCAAGGAGCGAGATTCAAGGCCCAAGAGCAAGGTCCTTCAGTCGATTAACCCGTTTTGTGTTATTAAGCATCTCTCTTGGGTCACACGCAAAGAAATTACAGCTGAAAAAAACATCAAATCCTTTAGTAATTTTTTACCAATTTCGTTTTTCATTTTTGCAGCCAAGACACCATCCTTCGACAAGGACAGGGATTATATAGGCTTCGCCACCCTACCAGAGCAAGTGCACCGGAAATCGGTAAAGCGGGGCTTCGAGTTCACTCTGATGGTCGTGGGGGAGTCCGGACTGGGCAAGTCCACCCTGATCAATAGCCTGTTCTTGGGGGATCTCTACAAGAACCGACAAATGCCCAATGTGGAGGAGCGCATCGAGAAGACGACCAAGGTGGAGAAGAAGACAATGGACATTGAGGAGCGTGGCGTGCGGCTGCGGCTCACAGTGGTGGACACACCCGGTTTTGGGGATGCCATCAATTGCGAGGACAGCTGGCGGGTGTGCACCCAGTACATAGACGAGCAGTTCCGCCAGTACTTCACCGACGAGAGCGGACTGAATCGGCGAAATATACAGGATAATCGGGTGCACTGCTGCCTTTACTTTGTACCGCCCTGGGGACACAGGTGATTATTATGCTGAAGATCTTATATAGTGGATATATACCTAACTAATCTTTATCCACAGCCTGCGACAGATGGACCTGGACCTGATACGGCGGTTGCACCGCAAGGTGAACATTGTCCTGGTCATTGGCAAAGCTGACTGCCTCAACAAGCAGGAGGTGCGCAAGCTGAAGGAACGCATCCTGCAGGACCTCGAGGATAACCACATCCAGCTGTACCAATTCCCCGAATGCGACTCCGACGAGGACGAGGACTTCAAGCAGCAGGACCGCGAACTGAAGGCCTCCATTCCGTTTGCCGTCGTCGGCAGCAACACCATTCTGGAGGTGGCCGGCAAGAAGGTGCGCGGCAGGCAGTATCCCTGGGGCGTGGTCAATGTGGAGGATCCGGAGCACAGTGATTTCATCAAGCTGCGCACCTTCTTGATATCCACGCACATGCAAGACCTCAAGGATACCACACAGGTGGGTTGTCAGATATATATGTATATACCTTCCCGTAAGTTGTACTTATCACACGATTATCCATTGCAGGATGTCCACTACGAGAACTTCCGGGCACAGTGCATCTCACAGATCTCGCAGCATGCGCTGCGCGAGCGCGGCAAGTTGAAGCGAGACTCGATCAGCTCCACAAACGGATTCGATGCCGCCATATCGGAGACCGACCGCCTGCTGCTGCAGAAGGACGAGGAGATCCGGCGCATGCAGGACATGCTCACCCAGATGCAGGAGAAGCTCAAGCAGACCCATCTGATGGAGATGAAGAAGAACGACAGCGTGATCGACGTCTAGGAAGTGTTCAATTTTGCACCTTAGTATATGCATCTACCTAAGCATAGGACTTATGTATATGGTAGCGCCGGGAGATCCTGGAGCAGCCAGCTGCAACCAAAACGACTTTGTTCATATACGCTAGCACAGACTTTTTAGATCCCAGGACTAGCTGTGCCCACTAGATCCAAAATTAAGACAACGATAAGCGCGAGATATGCACAACTAGGCTCCAAAAATCACACACACACACACACACACACACACACCGAAAGAAAAACATCACAGCCTTTTCCAATTTTGTAGCTAAAGAGAAATCGACTTTTTTCCACTAAGATAAACGACTTTAAAACGCGCATCTAGCATTTGATCAGTATGATAACGATTACGATTACAATTACAATTACGATTACGAGATATATTATACCAAAGTTGAAGGAGTTTCAAAAACTTAACGAAAGTAAATTGTTAACGAAAAAGTTCATGAACCCACAGAAGAGGCACATACATACAATACATACATAGCAGTACCGTTACCCAGGAAGACAAGAGCATAGACAGAGACAGCTATACATTTATTATATTTATTTTTGTTTTTTATTATTATTATTTTTTACCATTTTTGTTTTTTGAAGCAAATTTTTGCTTTAATTAATGTGTAAAGAAAATCTTGTAACATTACATGGTAAGCAGAATATATATCAGATATAGGACAAATGGGTCGCTGGGCGCTCTTGGCACTGAATTTCCAAGGATCGGCGCCCACAGCAAGAAGTTCCAATTATTTACGCAATTAATTACGTATCGTATTATCAGATATATATACAACACATACCTATCTATGGACAGAACCTATTTTGTTGAAACGAATTGTTAATGAATTTATTTTAAATTAATCAATTAAGCCTTCACGCAACAACCATAATATTTAAATGAAATTATAGTCGAAAAATTATATATGTATAAATATTAGAGCTGGGAAACTATCGATGGTACTATCGAGGTATCGACTTTTTCCTTTTTTTGAGCCACCATCGATAGTTTTTTATCACTATCGATAGTACGGGACTATTTTTATATCTCTGCTTTGTTGCTGAAATTTAGTAAGAAAAATGCAAACAAATATATATATATATATATATATATTTTTTTTTTTATAATAAAAATGTATTCTAAATTAACTTAAATTGGAGTTGGTGGTGAAAAATATTAACTGAATCTCAAAAGAAAGGGGTCTACGCCACGTCTTCAGAGTCTAATAGGGTCTTCCCACACACCGTCAAAGCGCATCTGGCATCCGTTGAACAAACGGTCCATAAGGTTTTGCCGTTCCGAATTTTCTCAATTGGCCCTGCATCAAAGCGCATCTAAATGTAACGACCGTTTGTTTGGCGATAGTTCTTCGGTGCAACTCTGAAAATTTGACCATCACTACGAAAGTGTATACACACTTGGCGAGAAACAAATGAGATATGGAATTTAAAACGTGGCGCCAAAGCTACAAGCATGCCCAAAATAGATGTTGGCGTTTTTTCGGTATATTCTTGCCCCAATATGTCCCCAATTGTTACTATTTAATATAAACCGCCTACCTCTACCTTATTTTAAAGATTTTGGATGCCTATACCACCTATAGACACTTTTCGGTGAATTTGCTCTTTGTTAGAGAAAAATCATTAGAAAAACTAAAATTCCTTGTCATTTAAGTCATTTAAATTTATTGCGGATAAATTCTGACGCAATCTGTGCCTTTTGCTGTTGTACAACAGCCAAAATAGCTGGTAAATGCTCCATTTCAAATTTGCAACTGCCAATTCGACCGCCTTTGTTTACGTTTTCATGAGCCACAGCTGATCGATCAGCTGTTCGGATGCAGATGCACTTTGATGCAGCTCTGTGGGAACACGAGTTTCGCATCTGCGAAAAATCCCAAACGTTCCTCACAGATGCGCTGTGTGGGAAGACAGTATAAGCGTATGTTTAGCAATGGTAATACAATTTTATTTGTGCAAAGTTGCTTGGATAGAATATTTATGTTAATTACTTAGTCAAAACATATTGAATCTATATATATAAAAATGGAGACAAAAAATGTTAGGGATCAAATCACAAGAGAACGGCTGGGCCGATTTGGATCAAATTTTTTTTCAGTTTTTTGTAATTGCCAGAAGAAGGTTATAGCATAAGAAAATTTTGGAAAGTCCTTCCGGAAAGGTCGCTAGCGGCTCAACAGATGGACACACTGTTGTATGTAAAATTCTGAAACACCCTACAAAGATCATAGCTGCGTTGAAATTGTGTATCAATGAACTCGGTAAAAAAATATTTAAACAAAAAAATCGAGCTAACGAAGCATTACCAAAGTGAGCTTAAACAATTGGAAGTAATGCCTGCTGTTAGACGATCAAATCTTGGGCGGCGTTCACGCAGTGCAATAAATAATCAGAATTTCCGTAATAGTCGGACGCAAGAGGAACGTACAGAAATAAATGCATCGATACGTGCCCAAATGGCACAGCTTCGCGCTGCACAAAGACCACCTCAAGCCCGACAAAATAATAGAGGAAGACGAGCCGCAAATGAAAACTTGAATCGCGCTGCATTCCCATACAATCCTGAAACATCCTACAAGGATCTTACGTGCGTTGTTATTGGTTCATTATCTGTTGTATGTCAGCATTGTAATGCATTGAAGTTTCGGCTGGAAACCCCCGGCTTATGCTGTGCAGGTGGCAAAATGAAATTGCCCGTTTTGGCTCATCCACCAGAGCCATTGTACTCGCTACTATATGGAAACTCAGCCCAATCAAATAGTTTCCTGAAGCTTGCACAAAAATATAACGGATGCTTTCAAATGATGTCTTTTGGAGCCGAGGTTGTTCAACAATCAGGCTACAATCCAAGTTATAAGGTAATGGCGTCTCTTTATTATCACATTTTTTCAAAATTGCATCCCAACATTCAGATTCAAGGGCAAATTCACCACCGAGCGGGCGCTTTGTTACCACCACAAAACAAAGATCATAAATTCCTTCAGATCTATTTCATTGGTGATTCGGAAGTTGAACTAAATCACCGCTGTGCAATTTTTACTGCAACTAAACGTGAAATTATTCAACAATTGCAAACCTTCTCCATGAGCATAATGAATTGGTCAGATTGTTTAAAACCGCATTGGATATAATGCATTATGACGAACATAAAATCATTATCAGCGCTGACAAAAGACCCACTGGTAGCCATGCAAGACAATTTAATGCTCCCACTATCAATGAAGTCGCAGTGGTGATTGTTGGCGAGAATGTTGAATCACGCGATATTGTTCTTAAGCGTCGGGATAATGGCCAATTGCAGCGAGTTTATGAGACTCATCGGTCTTATGATGCTCTTCAATACCCGTTGATGTTCTGTCGTGGAGAAGATGGGTATCACTTCAACATAAAGATGGTCAATCCAACGACAGGTTTGTTTAAAAGTCATCACGAATTCCGATTATTCCAACAGATCTTCCATTCCAATTCAAGAGGAGTCAGTTCCCAGTTCGATTGGCATTTGCGATGACAATCAATAAATCGCAAGGCCAATCGTTGGAAGTCTGCGGGATACATCTGGAATATCCATGTCTTTCACATGGCCAGCTATACGTAGCCTGTTCGCGTGTGGGAAAGCCGTCATCATTATTTATTTTTGCACCGGATAACAAAACAAAAAACATTGTATATCAGATCGCTCTGCACTAATTTCAGGTCAAAAAAATTTGTCAATCCAACGAAAGGTTTGTTTAAAAGTCATCACTTTTTTTTGATTATCAACTAATTTTGAATTTAAATTTTAGGAGAAGATAGGAATAAGGTAAGGTAATAATGTACGTCAAAGTAGAAACGGAACGTCTCAATTTAATTTGTTTTAATCAGTCGAAGTTGGGGCGAGATAAAGTTCGCCGGGTCCGCTAGTAGTAATATAATTCTATTTTAAATTGCTATAACTTTAATTTGCAAAAAGAATGGTAAAAAAGCGATACTATCGATAGTATCGAATTTTCGTATTCAAAACATCGAAAATATCGAATGGTGCCACTATCGATAGTTTCCCAACTCTAATAAATATAGCGATTGATAAGAATCGATTTCAAAATAAAACAAAAGAGCAAAAACCATTCAACAATGCTTGGGACACTTTTTCAGCTTTTTACATAGGCTTATAGCCGATTCAGCGGTTGATGCGGATCAAGAATATATATGATTTACAGCTTTGAAAGTACTTTCTAACTTCTGTCTAAAAAATGCCATCATTTAAATTGCTGATGATTTATAGAGCAGTAAATGGCTTTAAAAAACAGAAAAGACGTTAACTAGTGTGACCAGCCTCAGGGCGAAATAATATCGCTGCAAGTCGATTGTCACAACTATCGATATCGAAAGCGTAATCGACTTTATCTCCCAGCTGCAGCGTCCCCCACCGCCTCTCCACCACTATTTGAACACAGCAAGCGAGCGTTTTTGGATTGGATTGGGTTTGCTCGGTATCAGCAGAGCGCAGCCTTAACACCTGGGTGGCCTTCAAGCGCTCGCACCTCTTGGAGCAACAGCAGCAGCAGTAACAGCAGCGACTCCAACGTCAACAGCGGCGCCTTTGTCTTCCTTTGTGTGTGTTAAGTTTGTTGTCCACTTTTTCGCCAGCGCCGCCTCCTAACTTCTTTGTGTGCTTTTCCACTTTTCTGCACTTTTCTTCGGCTTGCTGCTGCTCCTTTGTCTTGGACTTGGACTTGGGCTTGGACTGTGATCCCGAACGTGCAGAGCTGTTCAAATGCTGTGGACTGTGCACTTGGAGGGTGGCCCCCAGCGGGTCAATCACGCCGCTGTGGGCGTGGGCGATTTCATCTATAGCTTCGGCGGCTACTGCACTGGCTACGATTATCGCCACAACGAGCCAATCGATGTCCATGTCCTGAATGCCCACACCATGCGCTGGTCGCTGGTGCCGCAGCAGCTGGACGAGGACGGGGAGCCGCTCAAGTATCCGCATGTCCCCTTCCAGCGCTACGGTCACACAGTGGTGGCCTACAAGGACCGCATCTACATCTGGGGCGGTCGGAACGACGAGTACCTATGCAACGCCCTATACTGCTTCGATCCGAAGACGGCCAAATGGTCGCGTCCACCGGTCACCGGCGGCCTGCCGGGAGCACGTGATGGCCACTCCGCCTGCGTGATCGGCAACAGCATGTACATCTTCGGCGGCTTTGTGGACGAGATCAATGAGTTCAGCAGCGACGTTCACTCGCTCAATCTGGACACCATGGAATGGCGCTATGTGCAAACCTTTGGCGCTCCGCCCAGTTACAGGGATTTCCATGCGGCGGTCGCCTACGAGCAGGAGCGCATGTACATCTTTGGCGGGCGCGGGGACAAGCACAGTCCGTACCACAGCCAGGAGGAGACCTACTGCCACGAGATCGTCTACCTGGACATGAATACCAAAGTGTGGCACCGTCCGTTTACGGCAGGCAAGGTGCCCGTTGGCCGCCGCAGCCACAGCATGTTTGTGCACAACAAGATGATCTATGTGTTTGGGGGCTACAACGGCCTCCTGGATCAGCATTTCAACGATCTGTACACCTTCGATCCGCGCACCAAATTGTGGAATCTGATCCGTGCCAATGGCAAGCCACCGACGGCTCGCCGAAGGCAATGTGCCATTGTGATGGCCACCAAAATGTTCCTGTTTGGTGGCACCAGTCCCAGAGGCGAAGCCGCCTCCATTGATGCCGTCCCATTGCCTTCAATGACCGCCACGCTTACCCAGGAGGCGGCCGGCGGCGGTGCAAACGGAGGAGCACCGACGGGCGTGGCCCTGATCGATTACAGTGATCTGCATGTGCTGGACTTTGATCCGACCCTAAAAACGCTGGCCACGATGGTAGTGCTGGAGCACCAGCTGGACATCTCGGGGCTGCCGCGTAGCTTTCGCTCCGACCTGCAAATGCTCACACTGCCGAACAGTATTAGCCGGCCGATAAACCAGGCCGGCTAGCAGCCCAAAGGGCAGCTGGAGACGGTTGTGTGAACGAACGTCAACTGCCACAACTAAAACTACACTGAATCTGGGAGCCACTAGTCCGGTTCCTGGTACTTAAAACCATGGTAGGAGCGAGCTCGAATTGCACATAACGCAGCGATAACAAGAACGATGATGACGAGAAAAGGAGAGAAGTGAAAATGGAGAAGGACGAGACCATGATGCAACCACATAACCACATCATGCAGGCAAAAACTGAAAACCTGACATAGTTGCATCATGGCAGACACTACGAAGAGAGAGAAGCCCCTTGCTGTTGGTACACACTTATAAACAAAACAAAAGCCCCAAATACTTGAAAACTGCGAATGACACTATGAATGCTGATAGCGCTGTAGTTTGTAAAACATTTGTATCAAGAAGCCCAAATAAAAACTCCATTAACTATATAATAATCCAGGCGCAAACGAGTGTGCCAAGGGTGCATTTGTATACTAAATATGTCATGTGTTGTTGCCATTTCCAAGAACATTATATTTAGTTGGAAGCGCCCTCTCCTCTCCTCTTTTGATTTCCTTTCCCCCTCTTATATTAAGTACGTAATTTAACAAATTTGTGATTTAATATTCTTAGCAGGAGCTGCTTAGTCGCTTTAATTGTAATGTTAACTTATTAGTTTAATGGTAGTTCATAAATTAAATTAATGCTTATTAAACGTACAACGAAATAGTAGTTTCATTGCAAGTTGTAGCCTTGATCTGGCGACACTCGAATTCCATTTTCATTTGCCACTCCCTTACTAGGCATACAATGTGATTCCCGAGCACTCTTTGACCTTCAGCCAACTGTTCTAGCCAGGAAGCAGCCTCAAAGCCGCCACCTTGCACGCAATGTTGGGAAAAGTAAGGTCAGCCAGCTCCGCAATTAGCAATTGTTGGTGGGAATCGCCAGAGTTGTGGGGACTATCCCACGGCACTCGTATAGCCACGAACGGTTAGGTAGCCATTAATGATGTCCGAGGGCATATTCTGCATGGAAGCGTATTCGTCGGCATTGGCGTACCGCAGCTTGGTATGGGGATCCGCATACGGGGCGGGCAGGCCGCTTATGTCCGAGTATTTCTTGGCGGGCACCAGCGAGGGCGGTGCATTCAGCGTGAAGTCTGCAAGGCAGGTAAAGTTAGACCCCCCCATAATTTTCAACAAAATAAAGACACCATTTCCTGCACTTACAAGTGGGCCGATCGGCCGGCAGCTTTTTGTTGCGCTCCATATTGCATATTTGCCGCAGCGGACGGTAAACGCAGTTCTTGGGGAAGGCGAATGGCCGCTTAAAAGAGCGTTTCGGTTTTGCTTCCATTTAATTATTTTTTGTTTACCTTTTCGCTACATATGGTAGCCAGTGTGACCCTGGCTCAACTATTACGATTTACCGTATATCGCTTACTTTGGTGTATATCGATAGCTATTTTGCTGGACGAGTGGCAACTTTGGCACTCACGCACACTCGGCCAGTTAACAATCTTTTTTACTTTTTGTCCACACAGATGTGCTGTTAAACTTTATTAACTTTGCGACAGACCCAGCGGCCGTAACGTTTCGAATGTATTCAATTAAAGATAGTCATTAAATTGGACAATTGAAAGCGACGCAAAAATGATGTAAAGGAAAACTCTCAAGTAGCTTTCGTGCGTGTGCGAGTGGTGCGTGAGTGTGTGTGTGTGTGTGTGGAAATTAACGTAGTGTGAAGAAGAGTGGCGAAGGAAAAGCGACAATTGCAGTCCAAGGCGAACAACAAAAGCAACTACTACTGAAGGTTGTCCAACCCCCCGTTGCCCCCTGCCCCACTGCCGCCATTGGCGGAGGACAACAGAAAAAGGAGTGCAGTAAGTTCCAATTGGATTCCTGTAAACAAAACAACAACACCAACAAAACGGCACAATCTCTGCACAAACAAAAAGAATTTCGTTGCTTATTTTATTGTTGCTGTATGTTGTTGTTGTTGTTTGTGGAACGGAAGCGGAGGAAGTTGAATCATCGTGGCAGAACTTGTTTTTCCCAACTCCATTTGTTGTTGCCGCTCCAAGCATAAAAATGTAATGTATTTAATGTTAGGTCCCATACAAAGTCCAATTGGGTTGTAAATGCATACAAATCCAATTCGAGTTCCCGGGTTTATCGGTAAATGTAAACAAAAGCATTTTGCGCCATGCGGAAAGCCTACCCTATATTTGCCAAGTATCTAACGGCGGTACAGTGGATCCTCGCTGAATTTATTCTATACAACGTTAAATATAATATTTAGAGTTACAAAAAAACTACAAAAAAAAAACAATACCAATGTCGAGGATTTCATTTGAGCTTTTTACTTGTCAGGCTTCAAGCTGCTCCCCTTTGTAGAAGTGAACTAAATAATCAAAATAATGTTTACTTGATCAAATCTTCAATGGTCATGGCCTCCAACTAAGATAATACAAAAAGAAAAAGTTAATTAAAGTTGAAAACAAACACAACTCTTCCCCACTGTCGCCAAGGTTCTTGACCTTATCTTATCTCTGCCATATCCAAGTCGCTTCATGCCTTCATTCCCAAGAATTAAGCACTCAACCCGGCTTTTTTTTTTGCTATCTCTTACAGAGGTCCAGAGGTCCCTGAGGAAACCATGGAGGAGAAACGCATTGCCGACTATTTTGTGGTCGCCGGCATGCCGGAACAGCCTCAGCTGCTGCAGGAGAACATCTTCAATGACTCGGGCCGGCTGAGGGCGGCGAGCACCATTGAGCCCATCACGGACATTGGCGTCTTCTTTCCCCTCCTGGGCGAGGAGATACCCGAGGGCTTTGAGCTTCTGGCGCACACGCCCACCGGTTTGCCGGCCAACCTTAATCATGGATCGGTGCGCACCACCGAGTGCTACATCTACTTTCGGCGGGGCAAGGATCGTCCCCCGCTGGTGGATATAGGTATAATACCAAGAAATTTGTTTTAAAAGGAAACCCTAAAGTGACCCCAAACTCCGTCCTGATAAGCACAGCCTAAGGCTAAGCCAATTCCGTGATTTTATAAGCTTGGAAAAAATGCAAATTTGGGAAATTATAGCGATAAGCCGGGCAGTGATCTCATTTTTAAATAAAAACCTTGATAATCCTTATAATTTTAGCTCAAAAAGCATAATTAAGGGCAATTTTCTATATAAAATTCGCGTTAAAAAAGTCAATTATAGGTTGTTTATTATAAATAAACCAGGAACCGTAAATAATCATTATATTTATTTTTCAATCTGTTATATTTTTTTAATATCTTCAAAGGTAATTATTACATTTGAGTAAAAATAAAAAATAGAACAATAAAATATTTAAAATTAAAAATATTTTTTATCACAAAAAAAATTTCTAAAATAATGATTATTAATTTGTTGTTAATTTATATACAGTTTGTGATAAATAAGTCAAATATATTTATTTATTTATTATTTATTATAAATCAAATATAAAAAAACAAATAAAATTTATGATATACCTACCTATTTTATTAAAATAAAATTAAAAAATAATAATTTTTATTTTTGTTGCTATAAATAAAACTCAACCGTGAATCACAGGTTCCGTTTGCGACAAGAAAACAAACTAAATATTTGATATTTATAATATAATTTATAATGATTACGGTCCCTAAAATAAACATTGACTTAGGCAGAGAGGCTCCAATCAATCAATCAAAGAAGAGCTCTTGTGTGGTTCGGTTTTTCATAGATAACAAAAGTAAACTTTAGTTCTGGGAACTTGCTTTATTTGAGGAATTTAAGCACAAGCTTTGTGCACTTATTATAAGGCAATAGTATGCCAAACATATGGGTTTTTCCCATCTCCATTTTTATGTAATCCATCCCTCTCTTCTGTTCTCTTCTCTTCTTAGGAGTTCTTTACGATGGCCACGAACGCATCATGTCGGACGCTGAAATCGTGGCCGAAACTCCTGGCGGCCGGGTGGCCAATGTCAACAACTCATCGGCCAAGACCTTCCTCACGTATCGACGCGCTCGGGCCGATATGCCCTGCAACGAGCTGGTGGTCACCGAACTCTGCGTCATCGTCCAGAGCAAGGGGGAACGGGCACCGCATGCCTTCTGTTTGATCTACAAGACGCTGAACAAGGGCTATGTGGGCAGCGATGTGTATTTGTGCTACAAGAAGTCCATGTACCGGCCGAAGCACATCAGCTACAAGCCGGAGATCCTGCTGCGCTATCCCACCGTCGATCACAACGATTTCCCGCTGAATCTGTGCCCCAGCGTTCCGCTCTTCTGCCTGCCGATGGGTGCCTCCCTGGAGGCCTGGCCACATGTCAACGGAACGGAGAAGCGAAAGCCCATTAGTCCGGTGTTTAGTACCTTTGTGCTGACGGTGAACGATGGCACCTACAAGGTGTACGGATCGGCGCTTACCTTCTACGAGGATTACGAGTAAGTGGCTTTGCTTATGTCTGTTTTTGGCTCCTAATTCCTGGCTGCCTTACAGCGAGTCCCAGTTGTCGGAGGATCAGAAGGAGCTGCTCGGTTGGGATGAGACCTTTGGGGCCCAGCACTCGCTGCACATGATCAAGGCGATTTGCCTGCTGTCGCATCATCCCTTTGGCGACACCTTCGACAAGTGGCTGAAGTACCTTCACGTGAGTGGGCCCCCCCTTTGCATATGCACTCCCTAGCGAAAGTCAAGCTCTTCTCTTGTCCCCCACACAGCGCATGGTATTGTATGGCGTCAATATACCCATTCCCGTGGAGCGTTATATAACGCAGCTATTGGACGAGGTGCCATTTCCGGCGCCAAGTATTCACCTGCAGCTGTCCAGCGAGTCGAATGATCGCATTCTGCTCACGCAGCCGGAAGATTCGCCGCTGCCAAGAAGCGGCGCTGGCTTTCACATGCTACTCCAAAACCTGGGCACCGACAACTGCCTGCATGTGCTCCTGCTGGCCCTCACCGAACAGAAGATACTCATCCACTCGCTCAGGTGGGTTTCTTTCTAGGATCTATCTTAGTCTCCTTACTCTATTGTCTTTGCAGGCCTGCCACCTTGACGGCCGTGGCCGAGGCCATTGTTTCGCTGCTGTTCCCCTTCAAGTGGCAGTGTCCGTACATACCGCTCTGTCCCCTTGGCCTGGCCGAGGTGCTGCACGCCCCATTGCCGTACTTGATTGGCGTGGACTCGCGCTTCTTCGATCTGTATGAGCCGCCCACGGATGTGACCTGCATTGATCTGGACACGAACAATATAAGCGTGAGTAGCTGGATAACTCTTTGCTTTACATGTAAATCCCCCCCTCTAATTACTCACCTTTCTTGGCAGTTGTGCGAATCGCAGCGTCACTTGTCGCCAAAGCTGCTGCCCAAACGGGCTGCCCGCCTGCTCCGCCATACCCTGACCGAGCTGGAGAACGCCAAGCCCATCAGCTACGACTCAACGAATAGCCTGGATCGGGACATTAGGAAGCGAAAGCGGGAACTGGTGCTGGAGCAGCGCATTCAGGAGGCCTTCCTGCTGTTTATGGCCAGCATTTTGCGCGGCTATAGGGACTTTCTGGTGCCCATTTCCAAGGCCCCTTCGGTGGGGGCCACCGATCCGAGTGCCCTCTTCCAGCTGAAGGCCTTCCTCCGGTCACGGGATAAGGTGAGCTTGAATTATTGCCGCCTGTTTTGATGATGATTGATTTCCTGCCCTCCCCCTCCGACCAGTCCTACCAGAAGTTCTTTGAGCTACTGATGAAGACCCAGATGTTCATCCGGTTCATCGAGGAGCGCTCCTTCGTCTCGGACGGCGACCATGGGCTGAGCTTCTTCGACGAGTGCGCGGAAAAGGTGGGCAACTACGATGAGACGCCGGCGCAACTGCATCTGGTGGACTGGGATACGGGCCAGAATAGTGAGCGCACCAAGTATATCTTTCCGCCGGATGGCGGCGTTACACCAGGACCGCACGAGGAGCCGGCCTACAACTATGAGAACTTTACTCTGCAGCCGCAGCTATTGGAGGGCACCAAGAAGACGGCTCTGTCCAAGTTCCTGCAGCTGCAGCTGAACGCCTCGCTGTCGCCAGGATCGCCAATTGCCCGACGGACCAAGCACGAGATCAAGCTGTCCCAGAAGATGGCCAGCCGGTGTCAGCAGCATCCAGAGGCATGGTCCAAGTACCTGCTGGCCACCTGCTATTCGCTGTACTTCCTCATCCTGCCCTCGATGGTGCTGGATACGCGGCATGCGGGCAAGGAGCCGGACATATTGCGCGCGGCGTACGATGTCCTGGTGCGGGCCAGTCGGCTGAAGATTACCTGCGATGAGTTCTGCTACCGGATCATGATGCAGCTCTGCGGCATCCACAATCTGCCCGTCCTGGCCGTGCGCCTGCACTACCTGATGAAGCGATCGGGCGTCCAGGCGAATGCCCTCACCTATGGCTTCTACAATCGCTGCGTGCTGGAGTCCCAGTGGCCGAGTGACAGCACCACGCTGAGCCAGATCCGTTGGAATCGCATCAAGAACGTGGTTCTGGGAGCGGCGCAGTTCCGGAGAGCTGGCAAGCGGCGGGCAGCAGCCAAGGTGAGTCGAATTTTTACTCTTTTTTTGGGTTTCTATATGCTATTTTTTGGGTCTTCCAGGTGAGCAAGTCGCTGAGCGCCTCGGAGGATCAGAATCTTAGCACTCTGGAGACAGTGGACGGTCAGTCGCGTAGCAGCCTGGCCTCCTCGGGCGGCGGCGATGGTACTGGCGGTGGCGGTGGCCACGGACTGCTCGACTTTGCCGCCTTCGATCGGCTGCGCAACAAGCTGGGTAGCATTGTCCGCCAGACGGTGACGGGGGGCAGCAATGATGCCATGCTGCCCACGGATGTCGGCGAGCCGAATGCTCCGCATGCAGCCACGCCCACCTATGGCGGCGACACTGATATCCTGGCAAAGGCCCTGCAGCAGCAGCAGCCGCGCAAGCAAATTATGAGCATCGGTGGCGGCGACGACGACGACGACGAAGAAGAAGAGGACGAGGAGGACGATGATGAGTACACGGCGGGATCGCCCAGCACATCGCCACAGAAGCAACAGGAGACGGGCTCCCATGAGCTGCAGTTTAGTGGCGGTGGCGACTATGAGGCCGATGAGGAGGATGACGATGCGGAAGCGCAGGATGACGATGATCGTGTGGCCGCCTCCCAGCGCCCCAGACAGCAGCGGGTCCAGAGTCCAACCAAGTAAGAGAGTAAGATTAAGACTAGGAGAGGGAAATACTGAACCAAGCTCCATCTAGGATATCACCGCGTACCCCCGTCACCCAGAACGATCCGCTGGGTGCCCTCAATGAGGAGGAGTCAGCAGCAGGAACTGGCGCCACACCTGCTGCTGCTGCTGCTGCCGAGGAGCAACAGGAGCATCAGCCAAGGCAGGTGGACAGCAGCCTGTACAGCGACAAGCCGATACTCTTCCGCGGCCAGAGGAGTGCCACTTTTGACGAGTCGACACAGATTGGGAAGAGCATGCACCGGTCGGAGACGATGCCGGTGGCCAGCAGCGGGGTGACCCACAGTCTGGCCAATATCGGATCCTCGCTGAAGTTCACATTTGGGTAACCTTCCTTTAGAGCCTCCTTTCATCATTATTTGTTTGTTGTTGTCGTGTCCTCCTCGGTTGATTCACCTTTATGAGACCCACATGTGGCTTTTCACGACCCCACCCACCACCCCCCTCCTCGTCACTCACAAGCCAGGATTAATTATCCTCTGAACTAATATTCAATGTTTCCAGCCTTTTCCTGACTCGAAAAGAAGCGAGAAGAGAGACAGGAAAGGGCTGTACATCTTTCTCTCTCTCTCTCTTTCTTGATGAACCATTTGTTTTATGATTTATTTCCATATATATACATATATATATATATATATATATAATTATATCTTAGACGTTATTCACCCGCACGATTGTCCCTTAAGAAAGACTTGAAATTGCCCGCCAATATTATAGAAAACATATCGAGCATAAGGTAAGTGAAGACCTTTTCTTTGGAGACACACCCACACACAAACACGAATACTCGAAGTTTACATTTTGCTTAACTTAATGTTTTATCTTTCTTGGTTATGGAGTCTTGCTTAAATAATAAAAAAGGGATGATTTAAATAAAAATTATTATAATTATTTAATTATAATTATATAAATTTTATATATTAATTAATTGATTAATTATTATGAATTAATTATAAATGTCATGAATTAATTAATTATAATTATTATGAATTAATTAATTATAATTATTATGAATGAATGAATTAATTATAATTATTATGAATTACTTAATTAATTATTATTATTATGAATTAATTAATTAATTATTATTAATTAATCAATTATAATTATTAATTGATAAACATCTCAACGGTTTTGGTTAATTTATCAGTTTTTTTTTTAAAACTGAAACTGTGTCTGTGACTAATTATTTAAAAATGATTTAATTATCAATGCATGTACATACATATTTCTGTTAATGTATTTATTAAATGAATTTCTCAAAATTAAAAACGGAATATCTGGAATTTTTATAAACTTTGGCTTCCCAAACTTAACCTCCTACCGCATTAGTTATTTACTTAAATTATTTAATTATTATTATATTATTTTATTTATTTACAAGAGTATTGTTTTTGATTTAATCAAATTTATTCTTTTTGTATTCTGTTTTGTATGTGTTAAAAGTATTGTATATGTTACTCTAAACACAAAACACGAGACACAACTCAATACCCACTCGGTTATGGTTTTTATGTAAACACAAATCCGTGGTTCAGTTCCCCCTCAAAAGAGTCTTCGTTGGTGGCGGTGGCGGTGGCGGGCAATTCAAGGTTTGACAAGAGCCACGCATAATACATAACATTCACACTAACACGATGTAACTAGCCATCATCATCATCCACAAAGCAACAAGCAAGCACCGCACCACCATAGAGAGCAGGGGCCAGCGACAGCGGCAAAGGGATTCCGGTTGGATGTCAGACTTATTCGCAGTTGCTGGCTCCATTTCCATTTCCATTTTATTCTCGTTTTATCATGATAAACATGCCGTAAGAATTCCCAACTAATTACTCATTTCTTGTACCGCACACACAGTCCCAGCTTGACGGGCAAAAAGTCGAACGAGCTCATCCAGGGCAGCCTGAGCAGCATCAAGTATGCCGCCAACTCGCTGACCAAGAAGTTCGATGAGATTAAGGGCGCCATATCGGCCAACTCGACGCCGACAAAGACGAACAATGGGCAACATCAGCATCAGCAGCAGCATCATCATCACCACCCGCACCATCATCATCATCACCATCATCTGCATCAGCAGCATGGCAATCCGGAGCTGGAGGAGCATGATGCTGCTGCTGTTCCTTCCTCAGCCGTTCACGAGGATGGCAAGCTGCGGCGGGTGTCAAGTGATTTGGATCCCTGGGGCAGGCTCAGCGAGTCGCGCAAGTCTAGCTACAACAACCTGGTGCCGCTGGGCGAGAACACATCCAGCGGGGCCCTGCACATGCACGCCTTTCCCGCGCTGCCCGACAATCTCTACAGTGTGACAGGAGAGGTATTTAATTTATTTTAATAGAATTAAATAGTTTAATAAGATTTAAACATAAAAATTGACCAAATTTGTTGTATATTTCCAACAGAATGCCGCGGACAGGGACTGCGATGTGTTGATTCAGCTGACGACGTGCTCACAGTGCCACAACTGCTCGGTGCTCGTCTACGACGAGGAGATCATGAGCGGGTGGACGGCGGAGGACTCTAACCTGAATACCACCTGCCATGCCTGCAACAAGCTCACGGTGCCCTTCCTCAGCGTGCAGATCGAACGGCAGGAGGCGGAGGCGGAGGTGGAGGCGGACCAGCTGGAGGGCAGCAGCTCCAAGGATCAAAACGGAACTAGCAGCAGTAGCAGCAGCCTGACAGTGCCGTATCTAAATCCCCTGGTGCTGCGCAAGGAGCTGGAGAACATACTCACCCAGGAAGGCGACATGGCGCTCATCAAGCCCGCCTTTGTCGAGGAGCACCCCATTATATATTGGAATCTGCTCTGGCTTATGGAGCGGATCGAGGGCAAGACGCACCTGCCGGAGTTATGTCTGCCCGTGCCGGTTAGTGTTTAAGTTTTTGGCCTTTCCAAAAGGGCAACAAGTAATCCGCATTAACCTTTTAGAGCGACAAGGAGCAGCTGGATCCGCTGAGCAAGGTGAAGACAGTGCACATCCAGTGCCTGTGGGACAATCTCAGTCTGCATAGCGAGGCCAGCGGCCCGCCCATGTACATACTGTACCGGGAGGTACAGCCGACGAGCCTGTTTGCCGATCAGCAGGCGCAGCTCAACAAGAAGTGAGTGTAATCCCGGCCAGAAACTGACACTCTACCAATTAATCCCTCCTCTCCGTTGTTGCAGTGTCATTCAGCAAATCATTTCGGCCATTCGATGCAACGATTTGGCCACTCCCCTGAAACGCTTGGCCAACGAGCGGCACAAGCTCAAGAGCGATGGCGTGGAAAGATCGCACTCCTTCTATCGCGACATCCTCTTCCTGGCCCTGACCGCCATCGGCCGGACGAACGTGGATCTGGCCACATTCCATCGCGAGTATGCGGCCGTCTTTGACAAGCTAACAGAGCGGGAGTGCAATATGTATTATCGCAACCAGGATCTGCCGCCCTCGGCCTCGACCATCTTCTGTCGCGCCTACTTCCGGCCTCTACTGCTGCCCTGACGCTGTCCGGCTGACGAGGAAATGAAGGAGGAATGAATCGGGAAAGCTAGAAAATATGGAGGCACAGCGAAACTTAAAAAGACAAGACAATGGCAGAGACCAAAAAGAAAAGAAAGAAAGAAAAAGGAAAAGAAAAAGAGGGAAAACTTGAACGAGAACCGAAACGCTTATCAGAAACCTTTCTAAAGTAAATAGCCGGGGGTGACAATTCAGGCACCATTTTTCCTTGGGAACAAAAGTTAATACATCAAATGTTGCTTAAACTACACTTTTTTTTAAAAGAGAACTTACTTACATACCTTCTTGTATAAATGGTAGAAACAAAAAGAAAACTATTGGTTTCTAAGGAAAAATACGAACGAAACAAGAACCCTCAGAGTAATTAGTATTTTTTGTATTTTACGTGACATGTGTAAATATGATGGTAACGAAATGATTTTATTGTTTAAGTACTCCTGACTTGATTTCTACGAGGAAATAATAACCGATTATAAACACACACACGAATGACAATACATAATTACTTGCTGCACGGGGGCAGTGCGTTTCACGAGTGTAAAGATGTCCCCACTTACTAGCGACTGACTATAAATTCGGTTACTTAATTTTATTTATAAAATATATTATACATTTTTATAATATATTCATTTTATTTATAATACTTACTGTACTTATCGCACTTATGCCACTGAAACGCACTGCCGCTTGGATACTTACTCCACTATTCATTGGCTCGATCCAACTCGATCCTCGTCATATATTTGCCTTATTATATATAATATAAAACGTGAAAACAAAACATGTACATACGTAGGTATCTGTATGTATGCGAGGTTAAAAAAAGAATCCCTTTAACTTTTATCTTGAGATTTCCTTTGGGTAGGAGGGCACACAGTTAATAACGATAACAACTAAACAACGATTACAATTAGTTATTATTTATGCATAATCGTAAAGTGTAAAGCGTAAATCAATATAGGGACAATTCTGGCGGATCTAGATGTACCACACACACACACTGGACACTTTCGTTCATGTTCGTTCACGTTTAAAGGACACAGCACACACACACACAAGGACCCTCACTTACATATGTAATGCAGCCACAGTAATCATTTCTTTTTTTTTTTTTTTTTTTTTGGTCGGGCATCTTAACTAAATGTATATTAAATAATTAATTTAATTAATTAATGAAACGAAAAATGAAAACGAAAATGGCAAAAAGAATAAACAAACAAGTTTTAAAAATACATACTATTAGCCTGTGGTTTTTATTACCTAACATTTAATAGTAATCATCATTAGGAATCGATCCTTTTGGTCAATTATTTTTTATTTATTTAATGTTTTATTATTATTATTTAATCTCTTTATTTCTAAGTAGAAGTTAGAAAATCTTAATTCATACATCTATAAATTTAAATATATAACATTTTTATACCCTTGCAGGGTATTATAATTTCAGTCAGAAGTTTGCAACGCAGTGAAGGAGACCTTTCCGACCCTATAAAGTATATATATTCTTGATCAGCATCAACAGCCGAGTCGATCTAGCCATGTCCGTCTGTTAGCTGTTTTTCAACATTTTTGCACCATTTTTTAGATATGGCCATTTTATATTATCCGAAAAGTGCTTGTCAAACTGTAAAAGTTGAATCTCACTTGGACCAGTGCTTATCAAACTGTAATCTGAACTTCCGCCTAAAAGATGCCACGTTTTTAATAGAAAACCCCAAAAGTATGCTTTAATTTTTTAATAATGCTAATGAGCATCACAGATGCAAGTGAGCAAAATTTTTCATTCAATTTGGCCGCTTTCCAGACTGGGGTAACAGGCGAACAGAAACCAGCAGCAAGCAACTGAAAACTGGTATAAACTGTTATAAAAACTTTTGGGCAAATATAATAATTGGTATAAACTGTTATATTTCATTTTATGCATTTATACCTATTTGTTGCCGACAACAACAGCTTGATGGCAACAACAACCCCTTTACAACAACATCCCTGCAGCAGTCCATACAAATTTCTGAAATTTTCCATGCAAATTGCCCGTTTCCCAAATTGGGATAACAGGCGAACAGAAACCAGCAGCAAGCAACTGAAAACTGGTATAAACTGTTATAAAAAGTCCAAGTTTCGAACCATTGATCTTGGAGTAAGCGAAGACTCAAACCAGATGTGACCATATTGTACATTTTTTGGCTAAAATGTTGCTTAAATGCACCTGGGCACACTGAATCTGACTTTGCATCAGTGATGCTCATCTATCTATTTTGTCCCAATAAAGAAATATAGCTAGATGGGCATCACTGCTATTACGCCTGATATATTGCCTCCCAATATTGCAAAATAGCTACATGAGCATCACTGATGCAAAGTCTGATTTTATAGCCTCCCAATATTGCAATATAGCCAGATGAGCATCACTGCCATTAAGCCCGATTTTATAGCCTTCCAATATTGCAATATAGCTAGATGAGCATCACTGATGCAGATGAGCATCACTGATGGAAGTGAGCATCACTGATGGAAGTGAGCATCACTGATGGAAGTGAGCATCACTGATGGAAGTGAGCATCACTGATGGAAGTGACCATCACTGATGGAAGTGAGCATCACTGAAGGAATTGAGCATCACTGATGGAAGTGAAGCATCACTGATGGAGATGAGCATCACTGATGCAAGTGAGCAAATTTTTTCATTCGATTTGGCCGCTTTCCAAACTGGGGTAACAGGCGAACAGAAACCAGCAGCAAGCAACTGAAAACTGGTATAAACTGTTATAAAAACATTTGGGCAAAAATAATAATTGGTATAAACTGTTATATTTCATTTTATGCATTTATACCTATTTGTTGCCGACAACAACAGCTTATGGCAACAACAACCTTTTTACAACAACATCCCTACAGCAGCCAATCCAAATTTCCGAACATTTCCATGCAAATTGCCCGTTTCCCAAATTGGGGTAACAGGCGAACAGAAATCAGCAGCAAGCAACTGAAAACTGGTATAAACTGTTATAAAAAGTCCAAGTTTCAAACCATTTCGGAGCCGGCGGAAGTAAGCGGAGACTCAAACCTTTTGAATCCAAATTTAGGTGTTATTTTACAACTGCACCTGGGCACACTGAAACTGATCGTCGTTAAATTCAAATTTGACAGTTAAATTCAAATTCAAATTTGGCAGTTAAAATATTTAAAAATTTTTTTAAAATTCTAAAAAAATTTTAAAAATCCAAAAAAATAAGTTAAAATATTAGAACAAAATTTTAAATCTAATTTGAGACATGAGCTTCTGGTATTTTATCAGAATTTTGGTATAAATTTTATGAAAATCGGACGACTATATCTTATAGCTGCCATAGGAACGATAGGGAAAGTAATAGACAAAATTATAACTTCGTTGTTTTTCAACGTATTTTCATTTACTTTAAGACATGAGCTTATTTCAGAATTTTGGTAACAATATTATGAAAATATTAAAATTTTTTTAATTTAATTAATTCATTTTTAATTTTTTTTTAAATTTAATCGATTTATTTGTATTCTTAAAAAAAACTCATAATTCTATAAATTTAAATATAACATTTAAATTATTTCAATTTTCCATTTTCATCTATTTCTTTGTAGAATTTTTTAGAACATAAATTCAATAATTCAAATTTTATATTTAAATTTAAAGATTTTAATTTAAACATTTTTTTAATTTCGATTAAAAATGTTTACTATTGGAATTATCTATTTTAATGGATTTATTTGTAAAATATTTTTCAAAAATATTGAAAATATATTATTTTAATTATTTAATTTTTTTTATTTTAAACGATTTATTTGAAGATTTCTTTAAAATCTTTAAATTGATTCACTGAAAATTGATTCTCAGTTCTACCCCGCACATTCGACCCAAAAAAAAGAAGGAAACGCCACAGGATAATGTATTATTGCATATATGTATGTATTTAGACTATACACATGTATAGAGGGGGTTCAAGGGCGTCCGCGTCCGACTGCGACTGGAACTGGGAGGAGGAGGAGGAGGAGGAGAAAGGAGAAGGGACAGGGGTCACGCGGAACACATTAAAAATTAAATCAACTTACGAGCGAATCTAGCGACAAAAAAAAGGTTTAATTATCTGAACATATATATGTATGCTTAAAATGAGGAAGACCCATCACAAGGGAGTTGCGGGATCGAGACTAATCCGAGAGCATCACCACATCCTCGTCGACAACAACAACGGGCGTCGTCGGCTTCTGCTCCGGCTCCTGTCCCCGCTCCATCCGTTTCTCCTTATCCTTCTCCTTGGCCTCCGTCTGGCGGCGCAAGAACTGGCTGATCAGTGCATTCTTGGCGGCCGAGGGTATCGGCTGATCCCTGGGCACAGACATGAGCAGGGTGGCCCGCTTCTTGGGTCCGCTCTTACCCACGGGCGTTGTGTTGGGAGTTGTCGAGGCTGAGATCGTAGCAGGAGGTGGTTGGGCGGCGGCCACTGGCGAGGCATCGGCTGGAGGACTAAGCTCGTGCTGCTGCGCCTCCGCTGCTCCTCCTCCTCCTCCTCCGTCGCTCACCTTGGGCGTCAGGGTATAGTCCCACTGATTGTGCAGGGTCAACTCCTGGAGATGGAACTTCTGCAGCATTTCGCTGGCCACTATCCAGCAGAGACGCTTCTTGGGCTTTTTGGTCTTCTTGGCGGCCACTTCGGGTGTGCCCGACTCCACAACCTTCCAGCTGGCCAGCTCATCGATCTTCTCGCGGATCACCGATTTGGGGGGCAGCAGCGATCGATTCGCTTCGCCGGCGGCCGCTGTCTGTGTCTTCAGGTACTCCAGATACTCGTTGATCAGGAATGTCTTGCTGTTGCGATTGCCGTGCGTCAGGCGGACCAGCTGCTGGAGCAGGCGCTCGTCCAGCTGCAGCGGCAACAGCGGTTCGGGCGCCAGATCCTCACGGTCCGGCACGGGCGGTGGCTCCAGGCTAATGGAGTCCACGGCACTCCATGCGGCATACATGCCGATTGTGTGGGCAAAGATGGCGGGCAGCTGCTCCGACTGGTTGCCATTCTCGTCCAGCCAGATGGGTCCCAGCAGGCGCGGCTTGATCTTCTTCGTCTGCTTCTTCATCTCCTGGGCGAACTCCTGCTGCAGCACCTGCAGCTTGGCCTTCTGGGCCTCCCGCGTGTGTCCATCATCGTCGCCATCGTTCTGCAGCTCCTCGTCGCTGAGATGGCCGTGCGGGACATACCACTCGTTGTACTCCTCCTCGGACTCCTCCTCCGATTCGCGTTCCTCCTTCTCGTCCTCGCTGGCGCTCAGCGACTCGCCCGGCTCCTCCTCCTCCCACTCGCAGTCAGAGTCCAGCTCGTAGTCGAAGTGAGCCTAAGCAGAGATATTTGTATTTATATTGAGAAATTGGTATTCCCCGAGGATCCCTACCTTATCGTGGGCCAGCGGACGGCGGGCGGATATGGTCTGACTCTTCTTCCGCCAGGTGCCGTAGTAGGGGGGCCTGCGGTTGTCCGCAAAGTGTAGATACTTGGTACGCATCCTGGCCAGCTGCTTGGGCTGCTCCTCTTCAATGGGTAGGCCAGCGGTGGCGAGGTCATCTGGGGGGAAATTCGTATTGTTGCATCAGGGTGTTATGGTAATGGCTACAGAGGATACCCACCTAGTACTTGGACATCCTCGTCGTCCTCCTCCTTGGTGTACCTTTGCAGTCTCGCGTCCCGCAGCATCTTCAGCGGCTTGTGGCGGCCACTGTTCAGTTCACTGAGATAGAGATGCGCCCGGTTGGGTGGCTTCCGGCGGCAGATGTCCTCCTCAGCATCCGAATCTTCGCCATCCTGGTGGTCAGCCGCCCTGAAGAGCCCATCCAGCTGGGAGCGATGCTCGTGGCACATGGAGGCACGCGTGACGGGGGCCAGCAGCATGTCATCCTTGATCTGAAAGGGGCGAAAGGCCAGGGTCTGACTGCTGGCCTTGGTGCTGTCGCAGCTGGACTGTTCGTGCTCCAGGCAGGAGGTGGCATTGGTATTGCCACCAGATTTCGGCTGCTTGGGCACAAAGAATTTGGTGAAGGATTCGGCTGCGCGCTTCTTCTTCTGCTCTGCCTCCTCACGCTCCAGCTCTTTTTTGCGACGCTCCTCGTCCTTCTTGCGCTGCACCTCCTCCTTGGCCTCGTTGCGCTTGCGCTTCTCCTCGTTCTTGGAGTCCACCTCCGCCTGCCGCTTGCGCTCCTTCTCCTCCCTTTCCACCTTCTTCAGCTGCTCCTTCTCCTCCCTCTCCTGCTTGCGCTGCTGCTCCTTCTCCTCCCTCTCCAGCTTGCGCTGCTGCTCCTTGTGCTCCTTCTCCTGCTGCTTGAGGCGACGCTCCTCGGCCAGCTTCTGCTCCTTCTCCTCGCGGGCCTTTCGCCGCCGCTCGAGGAGACGCTGCTGCTTGGGCGTGAGTGTCTTCTGGGCATCGATGGTGGACTCTGGGAGGCTCTTTCTCAATGGGGCATTGGCCTTCTCTGCGGCCTCCGTGTCCACATCCATCTCGTGATCACTGCTGGAGTTTTGGTCCTCGCTGCTGGAGAGGATTACCGAGATGTCGGCCTCGGCAATTGCCTCTTTATTCAGTTTCTTCTCCTTCTGTAAAGCTTCCTGACTGACAGTGGACTCTGCCTTCTTGGTTTCTTTTGGCGACTGATCCTTCTCCTTCTTTTTCTTGTCCTCCTCGTGCTTGTCCACATCCGCAGCCACTTGCTCCACAGCCTCCTGATCGTCTTTCTGACTCTTCTCGTCCTTTTCTGGCTCTACAACCTTCGGCTTCTTCTGGGGATTCAACTCCTCGGCAATGGTCTCGATATCATCGCTGGACTCGCCGCCCACCTTGTCCGCATCCTTTGGCGAAGCGTCTACGGCGGCATCCTCGGCCTTCTTGAGCGACTTCCTACGCTTGGGCCGCTTGTTTGCCAATGGCCACTTGATTTGTATGGGAGCCGGAGAGCCCTTCTCCTTGACCTTGCCCTCTGACTTCTCCTTGGACGCCGTCTTGGCGGCCTTTGAAGTCTTCGCAGACGTTTCCTTAGCTGCCTTGGGCTTTTTAGGTGGCGCAGCCGGCACTTCCACTACCGCTTTCTCGTCCTCGTCCTCGTCCTCATCATCGTCATCGTCCTTTAGCTCGATAACCAGATCCTCCACATCTTCCGTGGTCTTGGCCTTCTTGGTGGCCACGGCGGCGCTCAAGTTCAGGTTCTCCTTGCTGTTGGAGCGACGCAACAGCTCGTTCTCCGTAGAGCAGCCAGTGCCCTCTTGTGGCGGCGTCTCGTCGTCAAAGGATAGCTTCCGCTTGCGCGGCTCCCTTGTCGCCGGCGGATCATCTTCATCCAGGTTCACCACTGCACCAGGCTCGCCACCAGAGGTGGAGGCCGCAGCGGGGGTGGGTGCTCCGCTGGGCGTAATCATCTTAAACGGCAGACGCGTCTGCACGAACTTCTTGCCATTGCTGGTCGTACGCTCCGCGGACTTTTGTACACTTTCCTTTGCTTTTCCATTGATCGGTGTTTTCACCAGGCCGGCGGGCATTCTGCTAAGGATTTTCCTGCTTTTTGCCGCTTGTTTTTATGGGATCAAAGAATGGAAAACGCGCTGAAAACACACAAGAGCTAGAGATGCACGGATGTGGGCGCGAATTGCCGCCAATAGATCGCCGTCGCGATCGATACATCGATAGGCGCATCAAAGCCTAGGTCATCGGTTGGGGTCTGGGACATTTCTTAAGCGGAGACTCGAACTAGAAATCGATGAATGGAAAAACATCGATAACGCTGGAAAAACATCGATGTATCGATACATCGCCGTTGATTTTTTCCAAAATTATTCGATTATTATAAAAATCGAGTGCGTGACGTAAAAAGCGCCACCATTTTTTTGAAGAGCGCAAAAGTGACGTAAAAATCGTCACGTCGAACCGATTTCGATTTTTCGGTATTTTTTTTAAACGCCTGCGGTTTTTTTGGGCAGCAAAGTTTTCCACCATCTCGTTTCCCAATTTCACCACCTTTTTTTATAACAAATTATACAACACTGGTTGGTAGGAAATTAGAGCTGGGAATGATGCTTAAAAATGAAATACAGCAGTTTGGACAAGTTAAAAAGGAAAAATCAGTGCACTTCTATTCCACAATAGTTTGATTATTTTCTTGTGAAACAACGGCACCAAGGATACAATAAATAATATTGCATTGCATATTGACAACGGTTTCTACCGGCTTTTGGGCTTCAGTGTGTTTGTGTGTGTGCGTTGCGTCTGTTTTTGAAGGCAAATATATTTATTTACAAAATATAAATACAAAGGTTTGTATTTGCTGGTTCCGAGTGACTTGAATGCTTAACAATTGTATGTTTTTACGCTGTAGATTGACCGAAAATGCTCTGGCGCGAACTCTGTCTGCTGGCTTTGGCTGTGTTGGCCACAAAGCCGGCTTTGGCACAAAACTCGCCGGCTGTGGTCTCGGACATTGTCACCCTGGTGCCGGGCGCCTCCGTTAATGTTACCTCCAATCCGTCCGGCAAGACGCTCTGGACATTTTGCTACAGGGGTAAAAAACCCTCGGTTATCAGTTTCCTGGAGACAGTGGAGTTCCACCTGGCGATTGACAGCGAGGACTATGCCCAGTATGGGGGCAAGACGCCGGCGGAGGTCCTGAATCACTACAGGGAACGGCAATCGCTGTTCAGTGTGACGCTGTTCTCCCAGAAGCGCCAGCGCATCCAAATGTCACCGTTCAAGGAGCAATGCATCGGCATTGCCTCTCGAGAAGCGTACAGCGTGACCCTTAATTACTTGCCCCTGGATCTGTGGCGTCTCCTGCAGCTGATGGCCGGCCTCGCCATCTTCTGGATCAGTCGACGGCTGGCCAAGAATAGTGTGTTCTACTATCTAGCCGGGGTTATCCTGGGCATCTGTGCCTCCATGCTGGTGTTAATCTATCTGGCTGCCAAGCTCGTACCGCGTCGTCCCATGATGTATGGCGTTTTGATAGGCGGCTGGACCCTGGGCTTCTATGTCCTCAAGCAGCTGTCGGACAACTTGCGCCTCATCCTGCTCACCTATCGCGAATATGTGGTATCGTACATAATCATCACAGGACTGATATCATTTCTGGTGAGCAAGAGGAGACCCTATCTGGACTGGCCTTGACCTAATCTTGGGTTTATTTTACAGATTTGCTATCGCATCGGACCGCCAGTGAATCCGCGCTCGCAAAACATCATCATGTGGGTGCTGCAGGCGACGGGCGGCGCCCTGGTTTACTTCAGCAGCTGGCACACGAACGCGGCCACCTTTCTGATGGCTTTGAACTTTGTGGCCTACTACTTCCCCCAGTCGCTGCTCGATTACTGCAAGCGGGCATATCGCCGACGCTTTCCGCCCAAGAGGCGTCTGCTTACCCAGGAGGAGTACTACCAGCAGACCGTCGAGGAGACCTCCAAATCCCTGACCGAGCTGCGACAGTACCTCAATAGTCCGGCGTGCAAGCAGTGGGATGTCATCACCAGGCTGCAAAATCCCATGCGCTTTGCAGAGTTTGCCAATGGGGCACCCCATCTGGAGGACGAGGAGATCGAGGACTATTCGCGGGCCCTGGAGGAGTCCCTGGAGCAGGCACAGGACGAGGATGCCGAGGAGTTTTTGCAGTGCAGCATGCACTACCGTCCGCCGGCCTACAGGCGTTGGTCGGACAATCACAGTGGCCTGGATGTACCGAGCCACCGATAAGATTAGCTGTAGAGGAGCAGGAGGAGCTCTAGCCAGGGGAAAGTGCCACAATTGAGACTGCATTTTGTCATAGTTTTAAGTTCCTATTTGTACTTAATTTAAGTTTTTCGTTCCAACACCCCGTCTCACTTGCGTCCTCTGTTCCCATTGATCTGTAATGTTGAAGTACAAAAACAAACACCGAAGAGAAATATGTACCATATGTCGAAATTAAAGTCTTGTATATTGAATATCAAATATACTTTATTTGATTAGTTATGATCTTTTAGTGAGCCGCACAGTGGACTGGCTGCCACTGACAGGCCTCCGAGGGCGGCGTGTGCAGCTGTCCCGGCAGCATCTTCACCCGCCGCCTCTCCTCGTCATGCTGCTCGGCCACACACATGGTGAGATCCCGCTGGCGAAAGATCAGCACGTTGTCCAAATAACCGATGGTCCAAAAACTGGTCGATGAGCTGGGACTGCCGGAGCGCAAGGCGCCCACGCGGTTGCCCTCGGCAGGATCCACATACAAGTACCATTTGAAGTACTCCCCGCGGAGGGTAAAGACTGGAGTGGCAGCTTCAGCATCGGCATTGGGCTCCTGGAGAAAGGCACGTATCAGACCCGCCGAGTCGGTGTAGTTCTGCTGACGCCAGGTGAACACCTGCCTTCCGTTCAGCCCGTAGTTCCAATCATCCGTGATGGTCGTGTATAGATACTCCCGATCGGAGCCACTCAGCAGACAGAAGCCCTGCGGATCGAAGAGCAGACGCAGCACGGACGGCAGGCTCTCCTGCAGGGCAGCCATGCGCTTCTGCAGGCTCGCATCCACGCTGGCGTACATGTGATGCGTGACTATCCGGTTGGCCACGCGGGCCACATTGAACAGGAACACCTCGTTGCTGTCGTGCATGGTCTGGTAACGCCAATACAGGGCCAGCTCCGCCTCGATCATCATCTTGAAGCTCACCTCGTCGCGGTCCGTATAGAGCTGCTCCAGCTGCCGGACCAGCTTGTCCAGCGGCCTGTGGAAGTACACATCCTCGACGGCATTCACCAGGATGTCCCTCACCAGGGCGGGCTCTATGCTGGCCGCTATGTACATGCCATAGGACTGTATGTTCTCCTCGGCGTTCAGCAGGTTCGCCAGACGCTGCGACATCAGCATCTTCAGGTGCCGCCTCACCTCCTGCTGCAGCTCGCAGACGGAGCGTCCGGTGGGTCCGCTCAGGCATGGCTGTTCGTCGCGCCTAAAGTTGCCCAGTTGGGTGTACAGGAGCTTGGCCTTATCGGTGTCATCCACAAAATCGGATCGCAGGACGCCCCAAATGCTCTGGAACAACTGGAGCTTATCGCTGCGAGTGGCTGCTCGCGGTAGGATGCCCTGGGAATGGAATTAAACACTTGAGTTCACCTTTTTCATGGGATTTTTAACGCCAAAGGTAACCTGCAAGTTCTCGAAATCGGGCTCCAGGGGCAGAACCTCCCCGAGAACCAGTGCTGCACAGCAGACACAGAGGAGGAGGAGCAACTGCTGGCGCTGCTGCATATTGTGTTAGCCAACTGATGATCCCAGGCGACGATCACAACAGCCGCGCGAGAGAGCTTATCGCTGGCAAAAGGGGTCACTGGAGGTCCATCTTGATTTGCTTGACAACCTTGTAATCGGAGCTGGACTGCTCCACTGGCAGCGGTCTTTTCTGGCCCAGCATGGCCGACGTCTTGATGCGCTGCGTCAGTTGCTCCACTTCCATGGGCATGCCCATGGTTGGGGGATGGGTTGCCGCCGCTGATGAGCGATCGCGGGGCTGTCTTCTTGGCTGGGGCACCACAAACTCCTGGTAGATCTTCTCCAGCTGGCCGTGGGACAAGCTCTCCAAGTGGGGCACCTGGAGGTGACGCTATTTAAGCTGGTAATTATATTTTTCAGGTGAAAATTACAAGGAATTCTTACCTTTTTAAGCTCGGTTATAATTTCCATGCGCGTTTGGTTTTCTTCCATTTTGTTAAAATGATGTACACGTAGTAAAATAATAATATAATTAAATAAAAACAAATAAGAGTGACAAGAAGCAAAGTGCAAAAGTTGTTGTGCTTGCAAACAGCTGTTTAACAGCTGTTGTTTGGTCTTGTCTGTTTTCGAGATCTGGCACTTTTGGTCGCTGGGACTCAAAAGTCTGGCAACGCTATTGTACGAGCACCGCGTTGCCAGACTTTTCGGTCCCAGCGACCAAAAGTGCCAGATCTCGAAGACAGACTTCTCCAAAACAGTGGCAGCGCCCTCTATCAAGATAATTGTGGAACCTAAGTGAATAATAATAAAACTAATCTGATGGCGCCACCTGCTGGAACCCGAAACTGTTCCCACTATTACCGTTCGCTCGTTGTGTGTGGGCGTTGCGGTCCACAATGGGTTCCACGGCAACGATTGGCTGCCAGCCAAAGCCCTGCGCAAGCGGCAATTTAAAATGTCTAAATGCTGGCCACGCCCCCGGTCCCCCTCTGCATAATGTGTGTGTTTTCATCTTCTATCTTTTTCGTGTACACCGCTGCTTTGCTGTTTCTGCTTCTTGTTCTTGTTCAGCTGCGGCCGCTGCTTCTGCTGGTGTTGCTTCTTCTTCTTCTGCTATTCCCCATTTTGTTGATGTGTGTGTGTGCGCTATGTGTGTGTGCTGTGTGTTTGTGTGGTTGTTTGTTTGTTTGTTTGTGCTTCGTTTGTCGTATAAGTGATGAGTCAATTAACCCAACATTCCTGCAGGCCACATATTGCTTTAATTAAACAGACAAACAAAATCGCAGCAGCAACAGCCACAACAACAACGGCAGCAACATAAATTGCACTACTTTTGCCACCATTTTGTTGGAACTGCTTTGCCCGCTCTCGCTCCCACTCATCATCTCCCTCTCCCCCCCCTTCCCTTGTCAGCCTCATTTTCCCATGACTTTTGGGGCAGTTAAATGGCAAATAAATATTTGCATTTATTTCCACGCACACATGCACAGGGATACACGCACACATGTGCAACCTTGAAACAAAGGCAAGAAGAGGAGCACAACTCTGGCTGGCTGTTAATTAAACTTTAATTACTTGTAATTAATAAAGTTGATTGATTTGCCGGCCATAAAATAAACGCACTTTATAAGCGTGTGTCTATGTGTGGGTAAGTACATATTGCACGCTGCCATTTTCCTTGTTGGTTATATATTTTTAGTTTGAATGTAAATAAGGTACTAAAAATGAACTATAATGGTACTTATAATAAATATTAAAAAATAAAATAAATATAATAATAATAATACAAATTTGTTAATTGAAAATAAAATGAATAAAAAGCAATACTTTCAATGTAGAATCCCATATATATTTCTTTTATATTTCTTTTTTATAATTTTAGACCTAAAAGTGAAACAAAATTTGTTAATTTCACATAAAATGAATAAAAAATATTAAAGTAGATTTACTTATACTTTTAATATTTGTTTCTTAAGTTTTAGACCTAAAAATAAATCAAATATTGTCATAAAGATACTAAAATAGAAATAATAATATATAAATTGTATAACTACAGAATATTTTTATTTTCCTAATTAGAAGGCAAGTTGTGTATAAATTAAAAAACTTTTAAGAAATAATTTCGAAATTATTGCTTAAATCACACAAAATGAAATTGTTAACGTTTTTCCTTTATAGGTAAATCCCATATCCTTCGTTCAGGTGTTTAATATCTTTTCAAATGGCTTCTTTTGGTTTCACTTTAGCCAAATATTTGGTACTCAAGCGTTTCACCTCTGTCACTATTACCGAACCATAATTCCCCGACATCCATCCAGACAAATTTCCCGAAAAACACTTCCCCCCAGAGCAGCCAGGAAGATGATGATGAGGTGAGTGCCAAAATGGATGGACAATGGCCAGAATACGAATGGCAATGTATGGGTTTATACAAGGGATATGGCATACACTCTAAAATAAAAGGACACAAGTCCAGAAAAAAGCTGGAAATTGTTTTAAATTTAATTTTTGTAGAGCGAGATATAATATTAATATTTTGTTGTTTAAATTCATTGAGAACTGTGAAAATGTATACAATTTTCCCCTGAGAATTACCCCCATCTTTATTCCAAGTGTAGGATATATGTACATGTAGGTTTTCGGATAGGGGCCATGCAAATTGCTGTGGCAAAATGCAATTGAAAAGACGTCGAAACAAAGGCCACACACAACTAGTAATAGAAACAGAAGCCGAGCTACCAGGACACTCAGGACCCGGCCAGGACAATGGACCCATGGACGATGGACGCGGAACAATGGGCCAGGACTGAAAATAAATTTTGCATGCTAAATGCAACAAACAAAAATAGTATTTCCCAAAATTCGCAGTGCGAAAGAGATGGCGCCCATGGCCGGAGTATATGGGAATAGGAATAGGAATAATATTGCACTCAATAAAGGATTTCCACTCGAATGTTTTTCGGGAAAAACACAATGCCGAGAATGGTTAAAAAAAAAGAAGACAGGAAAATACCAAACAAATGGCAATGAAACGAAGCTGCAAAACGATTTTTTGTTTTCTTATTATTTTGTCTTCTTTCTGTCACTTTTATTCGAATTTCTATTTCTATTTATTTTTATTTTCATTTTTTTCTGGCTTGCATAAGCCGCAAGCTTCACATAAAATGCGTTTCACAAAAGTAACAACTCTGGGGAAAATTTTAAAATGTAATTTCTTACAGGAAAAACATATATGTTGAAGATCAAGGAATGCGTTCCTAAAACCAAAAATATATATGAAAAAAATTCAAGTGAGATGCTGCCTACTGTCACGAAACGCACTGTACTCGCGGCCACCTACAGATAGTAGTTGCAGTTACGGGATACAGATACATCTGCGGAGCGCATCGTCCACACTTGATCGACTTCTGACTTAATGCAGCTCGGGCGTTCAGAATGCAATTTAGCGGAGCTCGCAAATCTTGCAGCAGAAATAAAAAAATAATACAAAAAAAAGAAAATAATACAATAAAAAATAAATACAAAAAAAAAAAAAGATAAAGGAAATTGGGATGTGAGAGAGGCAATCATCAAATAAATATGCGAGTGAGTGCCTCTCGTCCGGAGTCCTTTATTTTTGGTTCGCTTGCCAAACAAAGGGAAAACAGGAGGAAAGACGAGGAGACGAGCAGACGACGAAGGCATCACCATCATCTCATCGGGACCCCGTCAAAGTCGAAGTCCTTTGAAGATATTTGATACAAATTGAAAGCGATGATCTGGAAACGTCGAGTTTGAGTCTGAGTTCGAGTTCTACCGAATACTATAGGCTATCTCCTCCGATGGCACCCAAAGTTGAACCAATTTAATTCGCCAGATCGATTGCGGTAGTTGATCTTTGGAACGTCACTTGGGGATGCACTACTCCCTGCAGATGCCCCGGACCTAAGTTGATTTGATTTGGCCAAGCGAATGGAAATCGAATCAAATCGAACCGAGCGGAGTGGAGTCGAGTGGAGTGGAATGGAGTGGATTGGATGAATGGATCCGAGGAGGTAGCCGTACGCGATTATGGATTCATTGACGGGGAAGGCGAACCAAAAATTATGAATGAAGGAGAGATTCTTCCAGATACGATACTGATACTGAATGGTATATCATTTAGAGAACTTAAGGCAAAAACCATACTGAATAAAAGAAATTAAAAAATTATATGGAAATGTGTTTCAAGTAAATTTCAAGTTTCTTTTACAGATTTCAAACAAGATTTCTAACAAAGATTTCAAAATTACATATCAATTTGATACATTTTTTCTTAACAATTTTAAATAATTTTAAATAGTCTACGATTTAATTATATTATATTTGTATTACTTCATGTAACAATTAAGAAGAAGAATAACATTTGTGGTTCATTTCAGAGTTTCCGAATATTACCTCCAAATATTAGCTTCCCTTGCGAATGATATTTATGGGAATTCTATCAGGCGTCACTAATACAAATCGCTGGACATCTGCGAGTCCCTAACCCCTCACCCCCCCCCCAAATGGAAAACCCGGCCGCTGCAGTTTGTGCCTCTCATTTTTTATAGCTTCCGCTTCTTGGCTAACAAAAAATTGCATTTGGAAAAATCACTTTGGGCACGCATGTATCCTGTGTCCTGCGTCCTTCGTCCTGTTACCTCATGGGTCCTCCACCCCCACTCCATTTCTCGTTTTTTTGTGTGATTTTTTTTGAATCGGCGTTTCCGTTTTTTGTGTTTTGTTTTTTGCACGACGCGCTCTCGCTCAGCTGCCGTCCTCAGCCTTCTTCGTCCCTTTTAAAAAGGAAGTTCCTATTGCTCAGAATCTTAATATTTTTAAATCAAAATCATTATATGTTTATAAATTTAACTGCTTTATTGCTATTTTAAAATTAATTTTATTTTTCTTTATAAAAAAAGAGTTCTTTAATGAATTATGTACATATCTTTTCTTATTGCTGTTTACCTGTAAGTATTGTACCTGTCTTTTCACCAACTTATACTACCACTCTTAATACTTTTTCCTTTTTAGCGGCTTTCCTTTCACTTGAGTTACAATTTCTGTTTCGCTGCTTTTGTTTGGATTCTATTGTTGTTAAAAAAAAAAAATAGAAATCAATTCATAAGCTCGAAATTATGGCGAAAAAATGTAATGTTGTGTAACATGTATGATGTACATATGATGTATCTTTAAATTCTAAATACTCTAATTGAACCTATTGATTTTTAGAAAATAAGTATAATAATATAAATTAATAAAAGTTAAATTAAAAATTGTTTATAGATTAATGTTTATTAGATTTTTTTTGTGACATTTTTGCCCACCTCTGACCGCTACTGTTATTGGCGGCTGCCCTTTGCTGCCGCTCCTCTCATCATCATTGTTGCCTTTGCCTTTTTTACGAGCGCGAGAGCGCGAAGAGAGCGGCTACAAAAACAACTATAATTGCCGCGGAGGACGACAACGACGACAGTTAGTCTGGGCAGAGCGGCCATCATTTCGGATTAGTGTGTGTGTGTGGAGGTGCGCGTGTGTGTCTGACCTTTTGCATCTGCCAGAGGTCGCAAAGGGAGAAAAAAAAAAAAGGGGACAAGCGGGGGAAGTCGTGGCTCGTTATGGA